GTTCGTTTTATTTTATAGGTCTTGTAAACATTCCTTATTGAAAGGAAGACTCAGAAGACTGGCAACCGTACAGTGGCAACCTCTTTTTCTGTGAAGATGCACTTAACAGGCAGCACATGGTAGATGCCATCTGAAGTACCAAATTAACCGGAAGAAGAAAAGCAACTTCAATCAGTTCAGCTCAACATTGCAAGTCTTCTACTAAATGCCTACTTGACATCCTTGCCCTGGACTTCTCTACCTTTTGCACAAGGTATGAATGTTACTCACTTGCATATGTGATTTACAAGAGTGTCCTTCAATCAAGCACAGTGAGCATTATCCTCTTCTAATTAACATTTAGAGGACACATGATTCATCCAGTTGACACTCATTTTTCTCTTACTCCCTGAAAAATGTTTTAATATTGTGAAGCCCTGAAGTTAGATTATGCGGAAGGGAGCAGAGATCAAAAGCTTATTGATTGAAAAGAAACAAGGACTTCAGATTGCAGCGATTTGGGGTGGTGGGAGAAGAGTGAATGATAAATTACAGTCAGCAAAGAATGAGTTCTCCTGCTGCATTCAAGTGAAAGACATGTTTGCTCAGGACATCTGCCCAAGGATAACACAGAATCAACAGCTATGCCATGAATGCTTCACAACTTATCCGAGAACTTGTGAATTCACTTTGGTTTTCAACTGGTGGGCCACTACTTATAAATAAGTTATTGCATCCCACCTTTAAGCAGGTCATGTTAATGCTATCGCCACCATTTTTGCTCGCTTTAAGAGGAAAGGGGAAAAACCCAAAAGCATGTGAGGCAGTGAAGAAGATGTACTTTTACAGTACAACATTACAATGGATCCCATGTAATAGGGGCCTTGCTTAAAGGAAGGACCTGGTTCTGAAAATGTTGAGTATGACTCTTCTGATATCACACATACTTACCTACCTGTCCAAGGAATGAGATCCCATAATAAACTGGCCTTTGAGGGAATTACTAAGAGACACTTATTTTGTGGGACATGCCGTCATATATACCAAGTGTAATTCCAAATACAAAAGCTAGCACCAAATGTTCAATACATATAAATATTTGATAGCTAGCTTGAGCTTTCAGTTTTAGCCTGGCTGGTTGGCCCAACCCACAACTCACTTGAGAAGGAATGTTCGATTTTTGGCTAAATTAGTCCCATTAGCCAAATCCATTGATGCTTATGTAATCATACATTCTCAAGCTGACCAGATTTGCAAATTAGCCATGTGTTCCCACTGATACCCTAGACAGAACTTCTTGGGATGGTGATTTTAGCCCTAATGTCTTAAGAACATGGAGGACCTAGAGCTGTTTTGACAATCTGGTTCTTTGACGATTATCTCCTTGAAAAACACTTAGGTAGTTTAAAAGATGGAGGACACAATGTTGTTCTTTTCAATACAGGTGAAGAGTTATGTGCTTCCAGAGAAGGGTATAGTCTTCTAAGGTAGACTGCTTTTCCTGTTGATTTCCAGAAACATCCATCACACACGTAAATATATGGTGTTTTAATGAAAGACAGTGCTAACCTTTTAACAGTGAAATCCTGTGCATTTCTACTTAGAAGGAAGTCTTTCTGAGTTCAAAATGATGTTTCCTGCTAACTAAGTGGGTTCAGTGGGGCTTATTCCCAGATAAGTGGCAGCTTAACCCAGTGTTTAAATTATAACTTACAACTTAACTGGAATTATATTCTTGGGTCTCCTTAATTAAATCTAAAGGGAAGAAAGAGCTGGGTTTCTCGCCATACCTCTCACTCAAATGCAAAGCAATCCTGGACACCACAGATGAAGACTCATCTTCCAGCAGCAGTTCAAAATGACTGACATAATGCAACAAATGTGCTGCCTGGAATAGGATATTACATTTAAATCATTGGTATTCATGCTCTAAAGCCTGTGCAGTATTCTGCAACATAATATGAAAAAACTAATGTACAAATAGGAATGATGATAAAAATGAAAAGTAGAGAGGAGAGCTAGGAAGCATTTAAGTGGGCCTTCACCATTTACCTTTTTCTCCACAAGCAGCTGCTTCTGATTCTGATCATGTTAACTTGAGTCCTGAAGTATTTCACTGCTGCTGCTTCCACATGCAAAATTCCGCTGCAGTTTAATGAATCTGATTTTCCCTTAATTTGCTCTTTCATGGAGGTAAAGATATTCTTGGCACAACATGTTTTCCTACCATTCATATTCTATTGCTGAACTTCAGAGGAGAGCACCTGCCATCATGTAGCAGTGCCCATGGACAAGAGAGAGACAATGACAGACTTTGGGAAATGCAAATATTTGCACCAAACCTTCTCTAGAAAAACCCCTGGTGGGGCAGGGCAGGGGGGCAAGAAACCCCACAAAACAGTCCTTTGTTCTTATTATGTAAATGCTGAGTGAGAATCTTTAATTCTCTTCTATTTAAACAATATGACTGCATCTATTTTTTTACCGCAGAAACAGGGAAGGGAATCCCACCTCATGAATAGATCTTTTTGCTGCATAGAACTGACAAAAACAGCTTTAATAGATGCTGCAGGGATTCTTTCCCGCCTATAACAGAAGTGCCTGTTTGGACATTTCGGCACAGGTTCCCTTGGGAAACTGAGCCATATAGATTCCCAGAAAGGTTACACACAGACTCTGCCTTAATATATCAGATTCCAGGATGGTGTTTATCCCAGTTCCACAGAGGCTGATATTAAAATTCTACAGCAAAATTTGCCTCTCTTCTTTATGTAATGCTATCGTAATTGAAGAGTGTATTATCAGACCTGGCCTGGTCCCAGGTTATCTTAAGAGTGGCCTCCACACAAATGAATCTGCTGAAACTTGAAGACTGCTTACTGAGCCGGGGTCCATGCTTGCCCACTTTCTCAAGCATCACAGGTGGGCATGAGGGACAGACCCTCTTCTGTGGTACACTGCAACAGTGGAGCGCCCTGCCACAGTGCCACAAGAAAATCCACATGGCCCCATTGATGTTCAGCTTTTGATGGACAGCTAAGACATCTCTCTTCCAATGTGATTTTCTGCAGCTCTAATAGGACTACAGGAACAAGGTGCTCCATATCCATACAAACATGGAAACAGAGTGAGTCAGAAGGGGCCTCCTGGGCCATCTAGTCTGAATCCCGGCTCTAGCTGGCTCCACTCATGACATGCCTACCATATGTATGTCCAGCCTATCCTTGAACACCCTCACTGCTGGGGCTTCAACCACCTCCCATGGAAGCCCATTCCATACCCTCGAGATTCTGTCAGGAAGTACTCCCTGGCATCTAAATCGAACCTTGGTTCCCTGATCTTTGCTCCACTGGAACATTTCCTGCCCTCCACTGCAGGGGAAAACAGGTCATGACCCATCTCCACATGACACCCTCTCATGTACCTATATGTTGCCAACATATCCCCTCAGAGTCTCCTCATCTGCAGACTGAAAAGATCCAGTTCCCTCCGTCTCTCCTCATACGGCTTTCCCTGCAATCTGGCCACCATCCTTGTGGCCCTTTGCTGCGCAGATTCCAGCCTGGCTATATCTTTCCTGTAATGTGGAGCCCAGAACTGAACACAATACTCCAGTTGGGGGCACATCAGAGTCATACAGAGTGGTAGTAATACCTCTCTTGATCTAGAAGCCACACTTCTGGCTATGCAACCAAGGGTGGCATTCGCCCTCTTGACCACCACGTCACACTGCTGACTCATGTTTAGCCTGCAGTCAACCAGTTCCCCGAGGTCCCTTTCACAAGTGCTGCTCTCCAGCCACTTTTCCCCTAAACTGTACTTGTGGCATCCATTCCTATGCCCCAAGTGCAAGACCTTGCACTTATCCACATTGAACGCCATCCTGTTGTCCCCCACCGACTTCCATAGTCCGTCCAGATCCTTCTGGATCCAGAGTACCTGCTCCTCAGTTGTGGCCATTGCCCCAGTTTTAGTATCATCTACAAATGTGAGCAGCAGACTTCTTACCCACTCCTCCAGGTCATTGATGAAAAAATTGAACAGGACCGGTCCAAGGACTTAGCCCTGGGGGACCCGCTCATCACCATCTGCCATCCCGATGATTCCCCACTAATGGTTACCCCTCTGCTTTTGGTCTGTCAACCTTGCCCTAATCCATCAGACAGTGCTCGGTCTATCTGAAAACTCCGGTTTCTCAACCAGGATATCATGGGGCACTTTGTCAAGGGCCTTGCTGAAACCCACGTAACCCACATCCACCGCATCCCTTCAGTCTAGCCACCTCAAAACCCTGTCATAGAATTCCAGAAGTTTTGAACCTTGGTATCCTGGCTACTACTCACTAGGAAAAGTCAAAAGAAGATGACAAAAGGGAGGATCATATGAAATAGATTGAATCCATAAAGGAACCCACAGCTTTGAACTTGGAAGAGCTGAATGAGCCATTATGGCCAAGACATTTTGGAAGGTTTTCATTCATAGGGTCGCCATAGGTCAAAGATGACTTGATGGTGCCTAACAACAACCAACTGACTATGATTTTCATGTTATTCCAGAAAATTCCATGCTGCTTTTCTTCTAGGAACCAGAGTTGGGGCCACTGTTAAGGAACAGTGGTTTTATCTGGGACTAAAAAGGATCCTAGAATTGAACAGATTTGTAACTACTTAAGGTTGTAAATATTTATTTAATACTGACATACAACATACACCCAGTCGAGTTTTAGCATACAACCTTGAATACAGAGCAGGGGTTTCTTCTAATGAACAGTTATGGGGACTTTATCAGGATGTAAAGTTCCCAAGCCAATAAGGGCACATGGAACTGTGTCTATTACACTCGTTAGCATACAGGCATACCTCATTCTATTGCAGGATTTTGCCCAGTTGGCCGGGGGGGGGGGGGGGGGGGGAGAGGGAATCCATGAGAGCTTTCCATTACAGTGTGTTCACTTCTAATTTCCTCCAGGAACTTTTCCTTTGCATTGCACTTCACTTTATTGCACTTTGTAGATATTGTGTGTGTGTGTTTTGTTTACAAATAGGTGGCCTGTGGCAATTTGCTCACTTGCATGGATTTCCCAAAGAGGAACAAAGAGCTTCTCTGTTCCCCAGCTGTTCTCCTCCACCCACTGCCAGTCAGCTGGACAACTGTCCACTCCAGGTGTCGGTCCTTAACCAGTCATTGCTGTTATCTCCAGTGTCCCTGAGACCATGAATTCTGATATCCTCCAAAATGCATCAAAAAGGGAGGAGGATGTCTCCCAAGACTTTGGGTACCAGATTCCCACTGGGAATCAGCAAGTATCACCCTGATTGGTCAGCAGCTTTTCACATCAAGGCAGGACCCTCTGCCAGCAAAAAGAACTCGACTTGCTGAAGGCTCAAATTATTAGCATTTTTAAGCGATAAAGTGTTTCTTAATTAAGGTGTGCACTTTGGTTTTTTTTTAGACATAATGCCATTGCACACTTAACAGACTGCAGTATAGTGTAATGTAACTTTCACTGGGAAACATGCTTCATTGTGATATTTGCTTATTGCGGTGGTCTGGAACCAAACCTGCCATATCTCTGCACTATGCCTGTATATAATTCATGAGCATGTAAACTGGATGTTAAGAAGTCATAGGTCCCTCTGATACAAGGTTAGGTGCTTCCCCTCAGGGTTCTCATATTGGCGCAAAAGCAAGCCTTAGCGTAGCAGCAGGGAAGCTTGCCGTAAGGCCTCCTAGACAACTCCCCTGCTAGAAGCTTGGCTGCTTGAATCAGAGCTGTCTGAGCCTATATCTGAACTTGCATCTGCAATATCAGGGTCACCTTGAGCCCTCGCAAAGTTGATGAAGACCTGAAATGAAACAAAACACATGAAATCAAATAGATCCTGTTTTACAAAAAGCTTACCTACACGTTCCTTCCACCCCAAGTATACGTATGTGATACAAACCATGTGATCGGCAAGCACGTCGCTGTGCTTCAGAGCATTGCGTGTAGAGGTGGGATGAGGGGGTTGGGGTGCAGGGGAGTGCAGCTTAAGCCTGCTTTTCCCAGGGGCAGGCTCAGCAAACATTCCCAATCCCAGTAACAATTAGCATTGAGGAGGAACCCACCAGGCTGGATATTCATGACAATTTAAACAGACTGGTCCTCAAAACATGCATGCATATACGTTAGGGGATCTCCTTCCTACATAACCTTCTGCAATGTTATGCATTATATAAGCCCCCCTTTTGTTGTAACTGTATATGAAACGCAAGCTCTTTTTTATAAGGGCTTATGTTGAACCAGAGCTTGGCCAGTATAAAACAGTCGCTTATTGACGGCAAAGTAATCAGCAAATACAGATGAGATATCTGGCTCATAGCTGATACACATCCTGCTTTTCACAGATGTATAAAAACGGGTTTTATCAGAGACGTAAGATAAGCATCTGACCAGTGCAGGCTACAAATATGTGGAACAGTTGCATATTCACTCTAGTCCCATACAATCTGTTAAATTGTTTTTAAATAAGTTCAGGAACTGACTAATATAGAAAGGGATTTAATGTGTCTAAAGGACACCACCTCTTCTATAAATCTGTACACCTCATGTTTTTTTCAGACTGACCCCTCCTGTGTAAGTTAGGAGAACATTTGCCAGGAGCACACCTTCTCTGTGATGGTGCCCTGGCTGTGGAAATCCCTCCCCACGGCAGCAACACTACATCCTAGGACATGGTGGAGCATTTCCAAGGTCTGGGTGACAATTCTCACCCTGAGAACCCATCACATACCTTCCTCTGCAGCTGTGCCACCCTTTTGCCACGACAATTTCGCAGTCCGGCAACAGTAATGGTCAGATTTTTCTTTGCAGACCATGGCTTATTCTCCTGAAAATTGGGGCAGTGGCACCCTTTTTGATGCTATGCCAGGAGCAGTGGCAGCGGTGGTGCACAAGGAGCAGGGGTCACAAAAATGGTGAAGGAGGCCTCATGCAGCACCTGGGCTTGGTGTCCCATCCAAGTGCTCGTGGATGGTCAGACATCCAACCTGGGGCTTCCCTGTCTGATGTTTTATGTGCTTCAGTGTGTAGGTTGTAGTGCTATAGGTGGTGCTATATTTTAGATTGTTTTGAAAACCAATAGCTGCCTTGAAGGCCCAGAAAGGCCCTTCTTCCTTGTATATTTTCATGGACAGGAAATGATTGGCGTAAGTCAGAAATGCTTTAATTACAGGATAACCTGTTTCAGAACAGAGACAATATACCTATCTTGAGAAGCGCTTTTCCAAATTCTATATTTCTTACACATTAGTCCCTTATATGTAAAAGAACAACTTTGCTATCATAAATAAAATTTACTGTTCATGTTTGGAATGGACAAGTATAATTTCATACCTCTTCTAGAGTTGTTTGACTCACTGAGAAGTGCCTGATTTTGAAGACTGCTTTGTTCAATTCTAGCAGTTGAAATATGTTTGCTACGCCTCCTGCAGACATCGGGACGTGATATTCTACCATATTGAACTGATGGTCCTATATGAACAAGAAGATTTACTGCAAATGAATGTCAGATTGAGAAGAGTGGGAATTTGCTTTGGAATGTTTGCTGCCGATACCACCCTGTCCTCTCCTGCTTGGCTTTTCTGCAAGAATGCACCAACTTCTTTGTAAGACTCCCAGGACCAGCAGAATTCATCCTGGGTCTCCCCATGTCAGTAATGCAATCCAGGATCCATTTCATCCAGTGTTACTAGCTGCTATGGACTGGGAAGTTGGCTCAACCATCAGCTCTCTCATTTTCTCAGGGCACTGAAGACTGATGCAACACTGCTTAACATGAACTTACACTCCAAGCCTCAGTACCCCAGTCTATACAATTACTGTTGGACATCTACTTCACAGTCTTAAGGTGAAGGAAAAAAGATTGTAGTCTTCTGTATGCACTGCACAACTAACAATGCTGTGTGTGATCAGAGAACTTGGCTAGTGCTGCTTCTGACAGGAGTGCCCCACTTTGATGATGGGATTGTGAACTAATTCAAGACACTAACACTGCATTGTGTGCAACCCCACCTTGGAGAGACAGAAAAGGGGGCATTCTGATGGATGAGGAGAGGAGGGACTGGAGAGCTACACCGAGGCCTTTGCAGCCTCCTTTCCTTGCCACTGCCTCCAACTTTGGTGGGGTGGAGATCTCCAGTATTCTGTGGCCCATCAGTTCATCTCTAGGGGCTATAGGACTGCTCTCTCCAGGATTCCAGACATAATCTGAACCCTTCCAAATTGTATTCTTTTATATTTACCTTTAGATAGGTATCTGGAAAGTTTGACTGCAAAAATTCTGTCAGCTTCTCTATGCTGTCTTCATCATTATTCAAATGCATCTTCACAGTAAATCCTTTTCCAAATCTAGTGGAGGATATGAAAGACATATTTTATGGAATATAAAATATTTTTTAAAAGAATCCATACTAGATTCAAATAGTCCTTCAAGAAAACCCCATGAAAGTCATATTCCTAGTGAACATCAGGGATCAATCACCAAATCACAGTAGTTCAAATAAGGCCTACTTATGCAACTCTACTTTGGCTCCCAACTTTCACTTAAAGAAAAAGCAAGCATACAATGCACCCCAGTGTTATGACAGTACCTTTGTCAGCAGATTAATATTAAGCACCTTCCTCCATCTGACACACAAGTCCACACACACCTCAAAATCTAGGCCAGCAGTCCACAAACTTTTTCAATAGGGGGCCAGTTGAAAGGATGTGGTGATCGTCGTGGGCCGGTGAGGTGGGGGTGCCTGGCGGCACGGGCCGGTGAGGTGCCATCGGGCACGTGCGAGGTGGTGGCTCGCTCGCTCGCTCGGAGATCTCCCAGTGAGTCCAAAACCATCTCCAAGCAAGCAAGCCGCCACCTCCCCCCACCCCGTGCTGTGAGGCAGCAGCAAGTGCATGCGTACAGGAGACAGGCAGCGCCTTGCTCACTCAGAGACCATCTCCGAGTGAGCAAGTGTGCGCACAGGCGGCGAATGGTGGCGTGGGCCAAATGGATGGCCGTGGCGGGCCGGATCCGTCCTGCGGGCTGTAGTTTGAGGACCCATGATCTGGGCCATTATCAGGGGTGAGCTTGTGCAAAAGTACCTTACACTCATGTTTAGAGAAAGAACGGGATATAGAAGAGACACCTTGTTCTAATTTTGGCCTGAGTGCTGCAACAGAGGTGAGGAGGAGCTCAGCTGAGCCTTTGAGAATCCCTCAGCGGATGGGTCTGAGCACTTCACTCAAGCTAGGACAGAGCACGCTCCAAGTACCTATTCTTTATGTACATAGGGATGAGATACAAAAAAGTGACACCAGTATGTGAAGTGAGCCATAGGAGTTCTTATTGATAGGACTGAAAACACAGTTTCTTTATTTTACTTATATTTTTCCCTTCTTGTTTCTGTTTCAAAGCATGTAAAAAGCTGCTGGTGATATGACTCCCTACTTGGTCAGCAGAGTTAACCTGTAAGGACTGTCACATGGCAGTCAGGTTGCCAACCTGTTCTTTATATGCTGCAGTGAACCCATGCACCGGAAACGGCCGTTGACCATGATAGCCAGACGTGTGCAGAGAGCCTCACATTCTTCCATGCTGCAAGTAAAGAAAAGAGAACATTATCAGCAAGAGAGAGCAAGAAACATCATCAGTTATGGTGGGGCTGTGGGTGGTTTTCCACAGCCTACTTGGAAAATGCACCAAATTTGCACATCAATCCATTCCAAGCAAAACAAGCTTCCACTGTGCAAGCTTCTAATGGTTTGATACAAATGAGGAATCTTCCCTGGACTCTGGGCAGTGATCAGCAGCACGGCTACTTCTTCCAGAGCTGGGCTGAAGGATGTGTGGTCCTCTAGATGTTGTTGGATGCCAACTATTCACCCAGCATCACCAGTGGAAGAGGAGGGGAACTATAATATCTGGAGGGCCACTGATTCTCCATCCCTATCTTACAGGCTTTCCTTTCAAAGGAAGACATAGGGGAAACCACATCTGAAAAGGCTGGGGTGGAGAAGGGTTGCAGTTGCCAGGTTAATCAGACTATCTGGAGGAAAGCATTCCCTTAGTCAGGATATGCTAAGAGTTGCCAGGCAGAAGTGTAGGCTTCACAATTTAGAAGCAAACTAATCAGACAGAATCACTGCTGATGCTAATCAGACTCTAATCTGGACTTCAGGAGAGGTTTACTTCTGATTTCCCATGCTCCACATGGAGCCTGCAGACTTGGATCTGTGTTTGTATATGAAGAACACATTTAATTTAGGGTACACTAGGGCTTAAATATCAGCCCTCACAAGCTTGGATAATGTGGAGGGGAAAAGACATCACCTCTTATTTTTGGGATAATGGGGCAATTTGCTAGACAATGGCTTGAACAATGGCTTTCCCCACTCTTGAATGGAAAGTGAAAAGAATGGGAAGTGACTAATCACACAGACCAGTTGATTGACTCATTAATACTAACCATATTTATCACTAATCACTTTAGCTCTTGGTATGTGCTGCCGTTATCTTATGACATGCTATGTCATGTCATGCAGAGCCTATGAATGAATGTTACACAGGCATGGAGAAGTTTTTGTTCATGGGATTTTACACCAACTTCTCCTATTTGCACCCCAATTTGAAGGGGAAACACAGTTCCACGAGGGCTGGGGAGGCCCAGCTGGGATGGCAGCCAGGTCAGGAAGGCATTCAATGAGGAAAGAGCCCGCCCTGGCTCAGGCTGACCTGACCTGCAGCTTGTTATGGATATTTTTATAATTAGATTTGAACTTGGTTTACTGCTGTTACTTTGCTAGTGCTTTTATGTGTCATGCATTACGTCAGTGATAGTGAACACACCTGCCAAAGCAGCAGCACTGAGGAAGAGGCAACCTTTGCAGATCAATTTTGCTCAGCTGAAGATGACAACAGAAACGGTAGCTGGAACTAATACTAGAGTTGCTCTTGATATTGTTACACTGATCATATAGTTTTGGTTCCTTTTTAATTTTGTATTTCTGTGCTTTATTGTAAGATTAGTATTTTAATATCAAAGTTGAGCATAAAATTAAGGGAATTAAACATCAAAGCAGGGGGCAGCAATGTCCTGCAAGCAGAGCTGAAACATGTGGCCCATGTTGTGAACAGCTTAGCAAGAATAACACGTCATTGTGTGAGGCAAGCTAGGACTCTGTTTTTCTTGTCAGCATTTAGCTCAGAGGAGTGCATAGTGATATTACTTGAGATGGTGACTCTACCTGAGAGAAGCTTGAACACAGATTTTAAACTTAGAAAGAAGCAGGGATTCCCCTCCCCACCATTAGAAGGTACCCATCATCCTGGGGCACTCTACCTGTGAGAAGTAAGGATCACTGAGCATTGGTTCTGTACTTCCTCAGTAATGATTTTCCACAGATGCCTCTTAGCATTTGGATCCATTCCAGAGCTTGGTTCATCCTAAAATCAAAGAAATGCATACAGATAAAGGCAGCATCCAAGCCTTCCTGAGCACAACAGTGGTTCCAGGAACAGGTGGAAACTACCCATGTTTTGAACAGGGTGGTTGAGTGGAGGCTGCAGAAGGAAGCACTGCTGACTTTTCCCAGTGCAGAAACATACACTTCTTTCTGCTTGTTTCCAGGTTGCTTTATGAATGGTTGTGTTCCATTGTGCCAGTGGTGGGTCTGACCTGCACAATAGATCAAGCATGAGTGCTGCAGCAACAGTTATTGGACAAAGAGTAAAGAAAAGGAGATTGCTTTCTCATCTCTTCTTCAAAAGTGCCGATTCTTGCCTTCGCACCAGTTATTTCAGCCTTTATTGTAGAGTTCTTCTCAGAAGATGATCATGACGACCCCACCACGTTCTACAGGACTTACAGCTGAGCAAAAATGTGCACGATTGCACTGTAAAATACCTAGAATAGCTAGGTACTCTCCTATACACGTATGCATACACACGAACATTGTTGGCTTACGAAAGCTTACCTTGGGACCTAAGAGTAATTAGAGATGAGTTAAAGTCTAGTTATACTTGATCTTTGTTTTCTTTTCTGAATCCTCTTACGCACCGGCATGGAAGTCCCAGATGCCAGACCTCACTGAACTTCCACAGATATGCTCATATGGTCAAAAGGGTCTTCTCTACATGGGGCATTTAACCCTGCCATTTTTCAAAACCTTCCCAGATTCTCTGCAAAATTAAGATTAGTTCCTTTTTGCATGTTTTCCCCAAGGATTGTCTGCCTTTTTATATGTTTTGCTGAACATATAGTGCTGTAGTAGAGTGAATTGTGAAAATACACAAGCTTTTCCTTCCACCATTTTCAGATTACTACTTTCCTTGATCTAAAAAAGCCCTATAAATGCTTGGAAAACACAGGAAAGGCCCTGGAAGTCAAAATGCTGTACTTATTTGATTCCTATCCTGCCCCATTAGCCTCATGACTGCCTGGGCAGGTTACATATACGAAGGGTGCAATGCTATGGCCTCCCAGTGTTGTCTGGTTCATTTTCAAAGGAAAAAAAATATGACAGAAAATTCTTTTCTAGGCAGGCTGCAAGGAGGATGGGGCCAGGGGGCATGACTGGGCCTTGGAAAGGAGGAAGTGGGGGCATGCTGTGCCTCACTCCATTTATGTGCATCTGCAGCAGAGGCATTCAACTGCACCCTAAGATGACCAAGAGTGTGATCATATGCATGTTTACCAAAATAAAAATCCTACAACTCCTAGCCAGTCAGGAAGGCTGGGCATTTTTGGAATAGAAGATTCCCCCCCACCCACCCCCCTCCATCTGAACATGCATAGCTCTGTAACCCATAATGATTATTAATGAGAAAGTAAAAGCCAAATGCAAATGTACATGGCAGAAATGCTTAGCAATGAGCACAGGTGCACAGTGTTATAAAGCAGTACTGGTGAGATAGGGTGATGCTGAAGGCAGATACAGCAGTGCAGATACACAGGACTGGAAGCCAGTCATGGAAAATGGTTTTATATAAAGTCAGTTGAGGGAGAAATACGAGCAATGAAGCTCACGCTGCACGCATGCTTGTGCTTGGAGCTATATCTGCTTCACTGGCTGATGAAATAAGGCTTCTGCTTTGAGCATTTCACTCATAGACAATAGAGCACAGATGAGCTACGGTACGCCATTGTCCTGAAGCAGGAGGCATCATCAGCAAAATTGTTTGCACTGCGGGTCGTTTCTGGATAACATGTTACTCCAAACAGAAACAGCGCAGCTTGGTGGTCAAAACCCAGGCTGCGTTTGCTGCTCTCCTGAGCATAACTCCTCCCCCTGACCCCTTCCCCCATGGAAATTCCTGGTCCTTTATTAGGAGTAAGGGTCTTTCAGAACTGCTTCTCCAGTCACACAAGAATGGCCACGATCCACTGGGAGTGCGTGGTGGAGCTTTTCTTGACTGTGGGCAATGGACGAAATGGAATCCCAAAGCACATCGATATTCCCTTTTGTGCTGTTATTCAGTGTGGTACTGCACATCAGCCACAGGGAAGAAGGAAAAAGGGCCACTCTGAGGACTGACAAACTTTACATTTCCCAATTTTGAACCTGGCATTTTGAAATCTTCACATTAAACTGAAAAGGCATGCAAAGCAGAACAGGGGCAGAAGGAACCCATGGAACCTCAGCAGAATTGCATCAGGGAAAGCTGCTGCTTCTTCAGCTGGAGGTTCATAAGGAAATGAAAAGAGTGCAAGGAATCAAGCGCTGTGCTGACCATGAGCATCAGGTGAAGCACACCGCTTTTTGTACTGCTCTTACTAGAAAGGGAAGGTCTGGCGATCCAAACAGAGGGAGAGTTTATACTAGTGACCCACTGATCCTACACTGGTGACTTCCAATTTTTCAATCCATAATTGGCAGTTATGGGAAGATCATTATTTATGGTAGCAATCCATGGATAATTGCAATGAACAAATAACAAAGCTTGGGTGAATTTGGCTTGAATCCTTCCAAGCCCTTGCTCTCTGGGGCCTTCATACAGGTGCTGTGGCACATAGGTGCTACACGTTGACTGCAACTGTGGCTTTAAGGCATTTCTGGCTCTACCCTTGTGGTACTGTGGCAAGAGGACTGATGCTCCAAGTGGGTGGATGCTAATAGAAAGGGCAGTTCGCAGAACAATGTGGCACAAAATGGATGGAGTATAGTATGCACTTACATAAATACAGTAAGAGACATTTAATTGTGCATCCTTCCAACAAGGTAGAAAGGGAATATGGTATGAGGTGGAATGGCAATACAACAAAAAGGGTTTGTAGGAAAAATAATACAGGAAATACAAGGTGGGGAGAAGGGAGAACCTAGTTTGAAAGAAGAGGCTTGAGTAAAAGATGACTCAATAATGGGAGAACAGCTGAAGGAATAAAGATGTAGGCAAAGGGAAGCAACATTATTTCTATGGGGAAATTAGGCCTGCAGTGCTAATAATCGAAACATAGAAACAGAGTGAGTCAGAAGGGGCCTCTCGAGCCATCTAGTCTGAACCCTGGCTCCAGCCAACTCTGCTCATGACATACCTACTATGTGTATGCCCAGCCTATCCTTAAACACCCTCACCGCTGCAACTTCAACCACCTCCCGTGGAAGCCCATTCCATACGCTAGGGATCCTAACCATCAGGCAGTACTTCCTGGCCTCTACTTTGAACCTTGGTTCCCTGAGCTTTGCTCAGGGAATGTGTCCTGCCCTCCTCTGCAGGGGAAAAAAAGGTCATGACTCACCTCTTCATGGCACCCCCTCACATACCTGTATGTGAGGGGGTGCCATGCTAACAGGTCTCCTCTGAGTCTCATCCTCTCCAGGCTGAAAAGACCCAGCTCCCTCAGTCCTTCCTCGTATGGCTTGCCCTGCAAACCGGCCACCATCCTAGTGGCCCTTCACTGCACTGATTTCAACCTTGCTACATCCCTCTTGTAATAAGGAGCACTTGTGGACGCATCAGAGTCATATAGTGTAATACCTCTCTTGATCTAGAAGCCACGCTTCTGGCTATGCATCCTAGGGTAGCATTCGACTCCTTAACTGCCACGTCAATAAAAATGCTGAGTAATCCTCTGTAATGCACGGTAGTTTCTATAGACCCTGATTTAAAACCTACCTATGCTGTGCTATACGAATGCAAATACAAGTAAAGCAAGTAAAATCACACTGTTAACGGAACTGTTTTATTTTGAACATACAGCTTTTCTTTTCTTGCTTTTGTTTAATGTTACAGAGAGATCAGAGAGGGAGAGATCAGAATATAACCTATGTAAAGTTAGATGACAATACAATAATACGAAAATGTTAGAAGAAAAACATGCTGTTATTTTCAGATAGGGGTCTCTGTTCTAACTCTGAATACTGCACCTGGCTTGGCCTCTGCTACAGATACTGGCAGGCAATCCTTTGCTAGGCTTCTCAGTGCTAATGGTCAAGGACAAGTTGGGGCCTGCAATGAAATGTCCCTCTGTTCCTCTTCACAGTTCCGCCAGCCATGCCCCTCTTCCCAGGACAGCCCATTTCATTCTAATCCCAGGCCCATGTCTCATATTCCCTTTGTGATTCGATGGGTTACTCTAAGCCTGCTGATGCATCCTTCTTGTTGCTGCTTGGTCCTGCTCTGCCCATAGCCCTGTCAGCACTGGCTAGCTGCGTTTGCAACTGCAGCAGGTGATTTTGGCTTGACCTGTCCTCAGTGTACAACCCAGAATTTAACAGAAAAGCCTTAATGATTCTTCACAGGGGGATGAAGAGAAGTGTGATTTCTGTCATCAACATCAGGTGCTGATAGCTCAGAGTTAGAGGGAGGAGCAGAGGAATGTTTGGAATCAATTTATAATGTAAATGAGAGAAGAGAGAGAAAGTTGGTGGAAGGTGAGGCAACCTTGGTGCAGGTGCTCTATTTGTGAAATCTGATGCAGGGCTGGTGCTGTACTTTCCCAGAGCAGGAGTTTTATTTGTATCCATTAAGGACTGCCTCTGCGTTTCCAAATGGAAGGCCTGTTGCAAAAATGACACACATTTCCTGTGTCCTCTCATCTAAAGGAAATAAAATCCTAACCTGCCCCAGGAACATCTTGCCACTCAACCAAGTCAGGGTTTTTTTTACACACTGAACAGATAAAAAAAGAATACAGATTTCTTTCCTATACAGAAAGTGATTTTAAAACAAGCAAGCATAGAATGCTTCTAGCTTTCTTGAGGGTGAATCTTTTTTTTTTTTTGGTTTCGCTCCAATTAGTCTGTCCCACTGCTCTTTTCTGCCCAGAACATAAATTCTGCAGCTAAGCATGGTGAGCCCACCCTCTGGCTTCAACAAAATGTCCTGCCTCCCTGCTTGCTGCTATTGCCACTGCAGGGCTTCAGAGACAATGCAGAGTCGTAAGTCTCTCCCGCCCCCTTACCAGCCCTGCCACCGTAAAGCTGTAATTTCTTACCAGCAGTAAAATAGATGGTTTCCCAAGAAGGGCCAAAGCAGTTGATAACTTTCTGTTTGTGCCATAGCTGCACATCGAGGTGACTTTATGTTTGTAGGGCATCAGATTAAGTCGATAAAGAAGTTGAAGTACCACCTATGGAAACAATATTGGGAAAAACACACACACAGAGAGAGAGAGAGAGAGAGAGAGAGAGAGAGAGAACTTAATGTTGTTACTCCATATGACAAGGGACCTAACATAACCAGGAATGGTCTGGAGGGCGGGCCCCTTGTAGAATCCAGGCTTCCCCGGTGAGGCGGGTATCCTAGGGGTCCATCTGGATCCATGTACGCAGCAGGGTTGTTGTAAGAGGCTGCATTCCACTTCAGTGAGCCTTTTTTGGAGACTCTTTCAATGCATTTGCCTATTTTGTGATGGCTGATTTACATGAACAATGTGCCACAGTGAACCTTTGTTCAGCTGAGTGTTCAGCAGTTTGTGACCAAGGCATTTGCCCCACCCTCCCTACTCACCTGCTCTATCCCCTTGTGACTTTTTTTTTGTTTCCCTGGATGAAAAAAGTCCTCAGAGGGGAACATTTTGCTGATGTGGAAGAGATGAAACAAAAAACAGCAGAAGCACTAAAAGGCATCAAAATTGGCAAGTTCAAAACCTGTTTTGAGCAGTGGAGAAGTCTCAATAGGCACATTGCATCAGAGAGTACTTTGAAGGTGATTGAAGTTTGAATGTGTAAAAATAAATACACATTTTATAACTAAATTCTTGGTTTTTTGGGTCCCCCCTCATATATCAGTGTTATTTCCAATGATGAAGAGAGGACGATGTAACTATTGGCACCTGACATGAAGGCAAATGAGTTTCTTTGGCAGGTGAAAGAGTTTAATTCTTTTGACTCTCAGCTATCTGCCTTTTTTTTTGTTTAGTACCAACTCAGTGCTAGCTAATCAGCAATGTTAAACTTGCACACATTTAAATCAAACTTTGCTAAATTTATAGCAAACAGAAATAACAACTCTCTTGTTTTTGCTTGCACTGCCATGCGAAATTAAGCAGTAAGTCTTGAGCTACAAAAGTGGTGACAAATTTACAACCACCTTGTGCAAAAGCAGTGTATGCCGTTGATTAGCTTCTCCAGCAGCTTGGGAGTTAGCAAGGAAGGCTAGCAGCAGATAACTGCCGGGCTCAGTTAACAAAATGCTCCTGTTATGCTCTGCTGTCTTTTTGGGGGTTTCTATGCTGCAGCTTAAGATGGGCTCTCATCCCAGCCTCCCCACCAAATATTTGCAATCCATGTGCCAGAGGTCCTGGCCCGTTCCAGGCCCTTTTGCCCCTCCCCATCATGATTCAGGCAAGCTTTAAAAATTTAAAGTGCTGTATGACTGTTTATTTGAGCAAATATATATTCATCCCCTCTTCCCCTTTACATTTCTAGAAGCAGAATAATTGTGTGTGATATGAAAATATGTATGATTGGAGTATTGTGTTCAGTTTTGGGCCCCTCATTACAGAAAGGATATAGCCAGGTTGGAGTCAGTGCAGCGTAGGGTCACAAGGTTGGTGGCCGGTTTGCAGGGGATGCCGTATGAGGCGAGACTGAGGGAACTGGGTCTCTTCAGCCTAGAGAAGAGGAGACTCAGAGGGGATGTGTTGGCGACATACAGGTATGTGAGGGGATGTCACATGGAGATGGGTAGAGACCTGTTCTCCCCTGCAGAGGAAGACAGGACGCGCTCCAACGGAGCAAAGCTCAAGGAGCCAATGTTCCTTTTGGATGCCAGGAAGCACTTCCTGACAGTCAGGACCCCGAGGGTGTGGAATGGGCTTTCACGGGAGGTTGTTGAGTCCCCATCTGTGCAGGTGTTCAAAGATAGGCTAGACATGCACATGGTGGGCATGTTGTGAGTGGAGCCAGCTGGTGCTGGAGGTCAGACTAGATGGCCAGGGAGACCCCTTCTGACTTGCTCTGTTTCTATGTTTCTATGATTGTCAATTTGGAAAATTGCTTCTTGGGTGAAGTAGCAACTTGGCTAGTGACCCGCCCAGTTCCCAGCCAGACAACACCATGGATAACAGCCTCTGCCACAAACATGCTTTCCCCCACAAATTTGGAATTTTAAAAATTAAAATAGCAATCAACTAGTTTAAAATAAACAAATATAAAGCAGATTCACAAGTACATATATCATTACTACCAAATACAACAGGATTATGAAGGTTTTTTCCCAAAGAGAGAGAGAAATCTCACCGTGAAAAAGCTCTTGGAGAAACTTACTGTCGAATAGCCTAGAGCATGGGTCCTCAAACTACAGCCCATAGGCCAGATGCGCCCCTCCATGACCATTTAACTGGCTCACCCCACAGGTTTTGCACTTGTCGGGTGCGCACACAGGTGCACGAGGGTGTGTGGCTTGCTTGCGAAGAGGTTGTTTTGGACTAGCTCGGAGAAAACAATCTCCTCATGAGCAAGCCAGCTCCTGGTGGCAGCTTGCTCATCAGAAGAGCATTTTGGACTCAATCAGAAAAAATGATCTCCCGTGAGCAAGCTGGTGCCTTGCCCTGCATGCCACCCCCGCCCCCGCCTCACCTCATGTGCACACGCGTGTGTGCACACCCCGCCCCATCACTGGCCCATGCCCCCCGCCGGCACCGCCTTGGCAGTCTGTGTCCACCACTGGCATCTGCCAATTGGTCCCCTTTAGAAAAAGTTTGAGGAGCCCTGTCCTAGAGCAAAGTAAAAATTTTCCATATCTTGCCATGTTTTTGCTGGAAGAGAGTGGAGTCCATCACCTTCTTGATGAATGACATTGATCAAGGTAACCAAGTATGCTCAAAACTGTCTGTGTGTCCAGATGGTCTTTTAGATGCCTAACTTGTTGGATCAGTTTCTCCAACAGAGCCAAACTGCACACTTCTCCATACCAGTCACTCAAATTAGGAATTCTATCACCTTTCCAACTTTGGACAAAAGCTTGTCTAACAGCCAAAATAAAAGAACTCAAATCTTTCTGCAAATATTTAATGTTGAATTCATTAGTTAAATTAAGTAAGGCATAACCAGATATAAAGTGATTGATTGGTTAATGTTTTTATTAATTTCATTTTCAATCTCTCCCCAAAGCACTGAGCAAACAGGCATGCCCACCAATGGTGAAAGTACATACTTAAGGCTCCACGCCCCTCCAACGTAATACAGAGTGACTTTTAGTAATTCTTGCAAGCTTCACTGGAATGAAATGCCATCTATTGATCACCTTGACTGAACTTTCCTTAGTATGTGCTGAGACTGATATCAGTAGATGGGCAGACCAATTTTTACATTTATTTCATTCCCTAGATCTTGCTCCCAGGCTGTCTTTAAAGCTTTTAGATTATAATTAGCAATATCAAGGGAGGCATTTATAGATTTTTGAGACAATTTATTTAGAGCCCAGGGTATAGCTAAGGAGGTAATTTTCAAATTGTATAAGCTGCCTTGTGGCTTGCTGTACAACCAATGGAACTTTTAAAAAAGTCCTTGGTCGACTTGGAGCCATGTTTTAGAGTTATTAGAAATACTGTCTCTAATTTGTTGTCCTGTTAAACACAAGCCCTTTGAAAAGAAATATGACAACTTATATTATGTAATATAACAACTTTCAACCAGCAAATTGAGCTATTTTATCTGAATGGAAAAACAAAGGATGTCTCAGAAAAGGTGTAAGTCATGGGTCCTCAAACGATGGCCCGTGGGCTGGATCCAGCCCGCCATGCCCATTTATCTGGCCCACCTCAGAGGTTTTGGACTCCCCACGCCCGCACCCACCGCCACGACTGCTGCCGCCTGCCTCACCACGCGTGCATGTGCTCACCACCACCGCACGGGCAGCGAGGCGGCAGCTTGCTCTCTCAGAGGTGGTTTTGGACTTGCCGGGAGATCTCCGAGCAAGCGAGCCGCCGCAGCCTTGTGCGCGCCTGCCGCCTCACTGGCCTGTGCCCGTCACCTTTCAACTGGCCCCCTGTTGAAAAAGTTTGAGGACCCCCTGGTGTAAGTGGTGAAATTTAAATATATGCCCCATTTATTCCAAAGTGAATTCTGAAAAAGGATTGTGTAATGCAGCTATATTTATACTATCACTGGGCAAAAAGAAATGATTTAAACAATTTTATCCAGGATGTTCTATTTCCACCCAAGTTATACTGAAGTCTTTATTGGAAAATGTTCTGCCACAAACATGATTAACACATTTCTTCCAATCTCAATCCAGGTGAGAAGGCTGGACATCTGACAGCGGTATGCCTGGAACTGAGCACTTGCAAATCTGATGTGGCCAGGTATTCCAATTTAGCTTAAATCAGATAGCTATTCCAGAAGTGAGAGCAAAGTCAAATGTGGCATCAGTTATTCCATGTATAATTCGTGCTGTGCTTATTTATATCTTCAGCCTTGTACTTAACTGTATGCAGCCTTACAGATCCAGATTACTGAGAGTTGAGTGAGCAGATTGGCTGTTCAAGAATTCACATTTGCCTTTTAGAAAACTCTTTTCTCCTCACAACAGTCAGATTTTGCAGGTGCATTCAGAGATCACTGCTAGACATTATCTTTATGCAGGAGAACTGAAAATTAGCATTTTTTTCTCTTGAAGGGAAAAGTTGTGTATGACTGCAAACCGAAAGTCTTTGATTGATCTCTGGAAGAGTCAGATCACTATTCACTGTATGTAAACCACCGAATAAGATATTCAGGTCAAAACAAGTGTGGCAATCTGAATTTCATTTCACAGTCTTCCCAGTAAATCAGTCTGGGCTGCTTCATTTTGATCTGTAAGATTATGCTTTGTAGGTTAGTGGAAGGTTCAGGAAACTCTTTTAAAACTACAGCTTTTAAACAGAATTTTAAGAGAAATTGTGGATACTACTCATTCAGGGCTCCATCCTACTTATAAGCATGACTGAGCCTCTGCATTCAGGGGTCATGCTCATCCAGTACAGGGAAGGAGGATCTCTGCAACTCCTCTCCTCGCACTCTCCTCCCTCCCCTCACACTGCATGGCCACTGCTCCAAGCAATGGCATCTCAGAAAGGGGTGAGATGCCTCAGGGTACCTCACCTCCTCCCAGCTCCAACTCAATGCACAGACACCGACTTCAGAGCATGCCTAGGTCCACAGCATCTTTCCTGAAGAATATTTTTTTCTTGATGACCAAACAACGAGGGTCAGTTACTTAGGGTTCTATCAGAGGGACACAAGTGGTTCAAAAATATAAAATAAACCTCTGTCAAGAAGGTCAGAGGTTTTGACACCTGATACCCTAAAAGGAAGTATAGGTCAAGATAACCATGTGCAAAAAAAGTAACCAAATGTTTCCTGCTATGATGTTTTCTATTACTAATTATTACAAAAAGGTAAATGTATAAATTTGCTGTGTATGATGACTCTGGCACCTGGTCCTGACTAGAGATGGACTCACTCTCTATTGCTAATATGCACCTACGATAAAGAATGGGTTTTTTTTATAAAACTACTTGCTGGTGTTGCATGTTCCTCTCATGGTCAGACAGTGGACAAGGGGGACCTTTTTGCTCTCAACGTTCCCTTAGGAATGTTTATACGAACCATAGTGTGGTTTATTACAAACTGATACCAAAATAAGCTCATCATTTAAATTCCTGACATTTCTATAGTTTTCATTCATCCTAACCCAAAGCACAGTGAGTGCATTTCCACAGTACACTCTTACTAACATTATGCATGTGAAGGTTACTTACCCCTTTAATATGTTTTTCTGGGATGCCATGTAATCGAGCGTAATAGTACATGTGTTCTTCTACTGTCAGCAAATCATCAAGGGCATCTTCTTGAGGGCAGTACCCAAACAGTGACCAGTGTGCATCATCAACATCATTCAAAGAGCTGCATTTTAAAATAAAAGGGTTTGTTTGTTTGTAAGGTTTCTGTTCCATTCTTCAAGGGTAAGTTTAATTAAAGCAAACAAGGCTCTGTGAAGAAACGCCTGCATGGGTAGTGGTGAAGGAGAAGCCATGCCCACTGCCTCAACCTACTCGTTACCCCTGACTTTGCCATGCCCAAGGTTGCATCTGCATATAGGCCCCCAGTCAGAAAACCCATTCTGCTCGGGCTAATAAAGCTTGAGCACGTCCCGTCCCTCGGAAACAAAGGGTATATGCAGTAGAGCTCACTGATGGACATGCTGCTGGCAAACAGGCACAGGGCCTTGCCTTGAGGGCTTTGGGGTCAGAACTGACGGGGCCCAGGCAACTTCTCTTCCTGACTGGTAACACAACAAGGAAGCTGGAGGACTCCTTGGACCTGCATCATTTGGGCTGAGTATGTCTTCTAAGTTTAGGGCTTAATTTTCTTGGTGCCAGATAACATCCATGAGAAGTATCCAGCTCTTGGCCAGAAGCAGAGGCATCAGAACATGGAGGCTAAATCCAGTGTTTTTGTACAGCATTCTTCTTGTGGGATATTAAGTGGCATTAAAGCTCAGTGGGAACTTGATTCTCCTTCTCATTGCTATAAAGCACTTTTTGAAGGCAGTGTCCTTGGTACTTTCTGACGGCAAACTCTTAACTTCTGTTTTGTGGATATGTTGAGGTTCACAGATCAGATCTGCAATTCCATGCATATCCACATGGCAGTAAGACCTACTGCAACCATCACAAGACACTGTTAAGAAACATGCAGGTGTTCAAGGATTAAGAATGACTGGCTGCTGATTCGGGCAGTGGGTTGTACCTCCTTTTCTCTGCAAATGATTTGGCACAAACCTACAGACTGACGGCATGAATGTTTCTTTGGAGGCTTGTAGCATTCCTGCAGTCTCCCATTAATACCTAGAGATAAGCAATACACCTAAGTAATTGAAAGTCATATCATTTGGGCTTTTGCTAAGACTTGTTTCCACAATTAAACTGGCTTTGATCCAAGTTAATACCACATTTCTTCAGCCAACATGTTTATCTTTCATTGCAGGGAGAAATCAAGCCTCCCTACCCAGTTTCATCTCGCACCAGCAGCCTTCCACTAGATGGCACAATATCTCCTGTCAGCATTTTGAAGATGGTGGTTTTCCCAGCTCCATTCACACCAAGCAAGCCGAAGCACTGGATTATGAGGGGGAAAGGACAACAGTTGGTTAAAACAACATAATTTCCTTAAAGAAACCAAACTGCTTCCATTAAAATGGATTTGAAGTGGTCAATCTGGTTTCTTATTTGCACTGTTTTTAACTCAAATGAGAAAATTAAAGAACACTGAAATTTGACATGATTTATTGGGCCAACAAAAGGATGTGTGTGGGTTTGTATGTATCAATATTCAAACAGTAGTACAAAAATCAGTACTAAAATGTGAAGACAAAAAAGATAAAATCCTTCTGCTGAATGCTTCACTGCACATGCTGTTTTGGGATTTTGGGGGGGGGGGTCTTTAATGTGGGGAGCATATCATGTGTCCCCCCCAACATTAGAGTAGGCTCTGAGCTTAGATACTGGTGTTACATTGTGTTCATCTGGTATGAGGAACACCCACTTTTGATACTGCTCCCGGCAACTACAGAAAAGAACCCTGGTTGGTAGATGCTCTGAGCAGATGGCTCTCCAAGTGAAGAGAAGGGTGGGCTCCAGCCTGCCGGCCCTGAAAGCGCCCCGCCATCACAGCAGCCATGTTTGCATTTTACCTCCCCTGCTGGGATTCCAACAGTGACATTTTTCACGGCCATGATCTGTCGGTGGGGAAGGTGGTAGATTCTGGTGAGATTCTGCAGCTGCAGCATGTCATAATCTGCAAGGCCCAGGGTCACACGCTCTCCTTCTGCTTGAACATCCTTGTCTTCCTCCTCTTCAGAGCCATCTAGATCAAGCGGTGGCTTCCCATGTACTTTGTTAAACAGGCACCTAGCAAAGCAGAACAGAGCAGAAGTGCTCTCAGTTCTATCTCCTTAGTTTTAGTCTCCTTTGAAATCTGCCCTGGGATGGTGTGAAACCCCTAGATAAATACATAAAATGCTGTGAGGAAAGAGACACAGCTGCTTACTGAAGGCATCTGCTCTTGCCCCTTCAGAGTAGAATTTAGGAATGAAAGATGGTTATGCTGTTTGGACTCTAATCCTCAAAATGATCCCTGGAGCTCTGTCACAAGGCTTCTTCACACAGCCTATTACTCCCTGCCAAACATGCTGTGATGGTCACTTTGACAGCTTTAACGGAGCAACAGACAAAGAGACACAAGTATATTGCAAGTCTATCAATGGTTATCAGCTGTGAGGAATAAACAGCCCTTCCAGTGTCAGAGTCAGAGTATCTCTCTGTACTCCATGTTGGGGACACAAAGCAGGAGGCCAGGTGCCCTCGTGCCCCGCGTCCTGGAAGCCTCCATCCGGCTTCTGTGGCACAGGATGCTGGGCGAGACAAGACTACACGCACTTCACTAATCACTGTGTGCTGGAACAGCACTTGGAGGACTGAAATGTTCACCTAATTGTTAAATCTTGCCTGTTATGAAAATATATTTTTCAGTAGATTTGTACAATTATCAAAAGCAGTCTCTTGCAGAAATATTTTAAAAAATCAGAATTGAAAGTTGTCAGGGGCATAAGCAGGGCTGCAGTGAAACCCTTGGGTGCTTCTCTGCTGAGCCATCTGGACGCAGATTTGCTTCTGGCATGAACAATGGCTCACTGATATATATTTTAAAAAGCAATGTGTTTTTGAAGTGCTGGCTTCTCTGTGGCTGGCCTGCTGTCTTCCTAAGATGTCTACTAATATTTCCATCAAAACTTTAAAAGACTGAGCCAATCAGAGTAGGGCAACATTTTCCAGTGGGAAAAATGTAAGCATGTGTTTAATTCTACTCCTGAAAGCTAACTTAACAATGCTTCACTTTGAGCTAAGACATGCCCTGACATAGAGCCTGTTCACACATTCTCTGAATACTGGGCAAGGTAGTGGGGGAAAGGACTGGTATTGCACCTGCAGCTCATACCTTTCACACACGTGGATATAGCTTTATGTGAACAGGTTGTACAGCTGCAGTAGAAAATTTCCATTCTCCCTGGGGAAAGGAGTTTTGTATTTCAAAGACTGCAAAGGAAGGGGCCACCTTACCTCTTGCGGAATAGTCACATGTGCTGTCACACAAAGCACTTTCAGCAGGGAATTTGATTAACCCAATTAAGGCTGCCGCCCTGTGCACACTGACCAGGGATTATGCCTGCTTGAACTGAACAGGCATACTTTAGCTAGACATGCACAGCCTTGACTGATGTCAGTGGAGTGATGTCTTCCTCCAGTTAGAGGACTGCATTAATGGTGCAGTCCTATACCTGTTTCCTCAGTAAGACCCATTTCATGTCATCGGCCTTATTCACAGGTATGTGAGGAATGGATCCCAGCCTAAATAGGGTTTGGACACATTCAAGGAGTACCTTCCTGAACTGGTTTGTGTGGATCAAAGTCATTCACAAGGGCATCTCGTAAGGACAGAGGCCTGCTCCCTCTTGTTTTTGAAGTTCTCTCAATGTTGGCACTCTCCCTGTTAGGTTGTAAAGCAGTGTAAGGGCAAGACAGGTTTCTGATCCTACGCATATGATGCATAAAAAGTGGACAGTGATGGAGGAATGACCAAGTGGGGCAACCTTCATCTGTGGGTTACCACAGTCCTAATTCCATCATGAATTGCCCTATTCGGCAATGTTGCCAACGTATTTTACCCATCCCTGGCATTCATGCAAGAAAACAAATTGCAGCTATTAGATATGCTACACATGTCTCCTTGTTAACTCATCGGTTTGTGCTTTTGAGGAAGCAAAGCAAACAAATAAAAACGCCCTGCCTGGAAATTACTTACTCTAATATGTGGGACCAGACTTTCTGGAACGTCCTATCATCGACCAAGAGCCGGACTGAAAAAAATACAGTCCCCTGGATGAGCATTGCAATCAGCTTAGAACCGATCCTGTCCAAGTCAAAGGTTTTGTCAGGGTAAACCACTCCGTAGGCTTCTAAGAAGCCCATCAGGGCCTGGTGCTGTGACAGTTCAAGCAACCCATATCCAAAACAGAATTGTGGAAACAACAGGAAAACATGCTTCAGGGTTTCAGCAAGTTCATGCAAGGCCTGAAAGAAATAAATCATGTTTGGTCATTGAACATTTATTCATTTACTCTCTGACTACAAAGATGCCAAGTATCATAAAGAGATTCATCATGACAATGGGGTTTGTGGAGCTGGTAGAGGATGGTGGAGGAGAGTAGGTTCTGGGGCTGCAATATATCTCAGGGCTGCAATATATGGACTATGTTGTTTGTAATTCCCTTGGCAACTGTTTATTTTGTTCACTTTACTCTGTCTTGTTTATGTTAGTTTTTCCTTTGTTCTGTCTTTCTTTTGTATGTAATTGTGTATGTTGGAAAAATAAAAGTTATGTTAAAAAAGAGAGAATGGTGGAGGAGCTAAAGCCCATTGCTAAAGCCTCCTGCTAGGCAGGTGAATAGGTAGGTAGAGAGAAGCATTGCACTCAGAGCCACCGTGGCCCCTGCTCCTCAAGAGACCCTTCCCGAGGGGGTCCCACTAGCCAGAATCAGCAGCAGAGAGCTCATGTCCCCCACCCACCACAGTGATGCCTACTAAGTCAACAGCAGCCATTCACTTAGCTAAGGAAAGGTAAAGCAACCACATTCAGCTCTTGTTAGGTTCAGGGTCTAATCTGCAGCCCGTCTCAGAGGGGAAACTTTCTGCCCCTTTTGGAACACGCTTGATCATCCCCAATGTACATGCTTCTCTCCAGCGTTCCTCAACTTGATGACCTCCAGGTACATTCAAATAGATTTCCTGTTGACTCCAGCCGACATGCTGGCCATGCTGGCTGGAGATACTGCGCTTCGTACTTCAGCAACCCTGGAGAGTACCAGGCTGGGAAAGGCTGCTCACTCTAGCCTAGCTCAGGTTTAGCAAAAGTAGGAAACAATGCATGAGAGGGGATGAGGCTATACCAAACAGCCCTGGGTCCCTGTGCCACGTGCTCCATGCAGCTTTGCCCTCAGGCTGCTGGGCATACAGGGGAGATGGCCCTCACGCGTCCATGTGCACAGGGCATGTCACCACCTCCACCATGTGTAGAGATGTGTACATGACCCCCCGCCCCCCTACAGCACACTCTAGCAGTGGAGGCCGTTTGAGGCACGCTGGGCCAGGTCTGGGGCCAGGGTCACTAGGCTCTGGCTTGCCTGCTGCCACTGCAGCACTCCTGGCTCACAGAATCTGGAACTTATACCCACCATTGGAAAGGGAGACACACATGGGCTAGGCCACCTGAGGCTATTCCAGAGGCCAGCAGAGCTCTTGCTTGTCTCCCTCCCTCCTGCTTATGTGAGCTCTCCTCTAAACAGCTGGTGTGGTGTGGTGTGGTGGTTCAAGTGTTGGGTTGGGGACCTGGGAGGTCTGGGTTCTAGTCCCCCCCCCCCCCAGATGCCATGAATCTTCTTGGGTGACTTTGGGCCAGCCTGTCACTCCCAGCCTAACCTACCTCACAGGGTTGCTGTTGTGAGGATAAAATGGAGTTATGCAAGCTGCCCTGGATTCCTCTCAAGAGGAGAAAAGGTGGGTTATAATTACAATGTAGCAGCAACAGCAACAGTAAATTTAGCAGCTTTATTTCTACAGGTGTTGGGAGGGGGAAGAGAAGGGAAAATTGACTACTAAGGAGATAGAAGGTAAACAACAGATGGAGAAAGGTAGACAGTGACTTTATCATTCCCTCTGGTTTTCACTGTCAGAGTTCTTACACACCTGACTTAGGCATGGCTGTTTTTCACACAGAAAATTTAATAAGTAGCCACACTCTCCTGGAGGCAACCCAAATTGAGCCTAACCTTAACTGCAGAGCCAGTTTGTTATTCGCATAACTTCCAGTATACTCCATTCTATGTTTACTCAAGTGTAAATCTCACTGCTATTACTAGCCATTGCTCCCTAGTAAGTGTGCTTAGGAGTGCCGCTGTTGACATACAAGTAAGCTCCACTGCACATAACAGGACTTATGAATAAACTGCACCGTTTCTTCAACTGCACCTACGAATACAACTGCACTGTTTGCCATAGCAGACCCTAATGACTAGACATGCATCTATTTCATAGAGGGGTGGCTTGGGTCAAGGTAATCCGGGCTGATGCCTGGGCCAGGTTAATCTGGGTTGCTGTCCAGTGGAACGGTTCAGACAGCACTGCCTAGCTACCGCTGTGTGTAGCTTGTGCCCCCCAGCCCCGCAGCTGCTTTTCAGCACAGGTTTGTCTAGGAAGGGTCTGCTGCAGGTCAGCTAGCAGGCAGCAATCTGGTGCAGTGAATTGTGTCAGGCTGCGGCCTGCCCCAGACTCTGTGCAGCTGTTCCAAGAAGGCGATGTGTGAAAATGCCATCTGACAAGTAGCAAAAATCTGGTCTTCGTGCCTAACACCTAGACTTCTTGTCATGAAGAATGAGTAATGCAGCTGACATTTGTATTGGGCAAGTCAGATACGCCACAAATTATCATCAGGAGTTGTAGCCAGACACCTGCAAGGGACAGATCAACGTCAATCAACCAGGGCTGTCTGCTTTTGACTATAAAGATCTTTTAACCTCCTTTCATTTTTTCCTTGATTGAGTGCCATTAAGGAAAATGCTGAATGCATATTCAGGAAGACATATGTCCATAATGAAAGTAGACAAGCAGATCTATTATGAAACATGGTACCCCTAAGCAGAAGAGACTCCCTTACCTCCTTGTTAAGCCAGAGTTTTACTACAGTGGGAATAATCCTGTTATATTTACACATAAAGAAATTACTCCACCAGTCATTACAATATGATTTCACTTTTTAAAAAAGCAGGCAGCATGTCTATAAGGATTTTGTGTTTATGGTTCAAAGTATTAATTCCACAAACTACAGAAAGATTGCCATTGCAGTGCAAGGGTAAGCTGTCCTTGAAAACTATTTCACCTTTGCAGCATACGGAGGTCAATGTGTCTTTGTTTACAGTGTCCGAGGTCAATTTGTCTTTGTTTACAGTGTCAAAGGCCCCCTGCAGGCATGCTGTTGGGGTGGTATTGATGGCAAATTCCAGCTATCAGACAGGGCAGTGGTTTGAGCAGCCAAAGGATCCTGTGCACAACCTTCCCTGAAGCATAAATTCAATGTTCCAAATACTTAGGATTGTCAAGAGCCATACCTCAACCTTACCACTATTATATGCTACCAAATTTGTGTCACTTGACACCAATTTATTTGAACATAATCTCAAGACTGGATACAAATCTGCTCATCCAGCATTTTCATATCTAAATCCTAAATGTATTAGAAGGATAAATCTTATTTAACCTTTAGAGGGTTCAGTTAGATCTATAAAGCAGCTCCATACAGAGAACCATCTACCTCTTTACTAAAAGTGGTGTGCAGCTGAGGGGAAGTGAACGGCCCATCCTGCTCCCCTCACACTGCAGCTCGCCTCCCATGTTATGTTCCTGGTTGTGTAGAAAAGTACTTGAAGTGGCATGACATGAGGAGATAAGGCAGGGCAGGGCTCAGCTGCTCTCAGCCAAGTGTGCCTTTGATGTAAAAAGTACAGCCCGCCCTCCTTTTATGCATGGATGGAGAAGGAACATGAACAAAAGTGAAATTGCCCCTACCACAGCCGCTCTCATCTGTCTCTTTCATCTTTGGAGGAAAGACAGGAACGCATTTTAATTCCAGAAATGGCAAAATTGTTCTGGAGCTTGTTACCTTGTGAAGACTACCTGAGCTCCTATAGAAACCTGTTGCTTCAATTCTGAAGGCCCTTGCACCATGCTGCTGCCACAGAACTCCAAGGAGCAGAAGACTAAACCTGGGAAACCACATTGAGATACCTACCTACAGCCTCTTGCTCTCAGACCTTTTGATAATGCATGTCTGCCCTAGCTCGATTGGTGACCAATGAAGAAGCCAGGTTGTTGCTGTCAGATGGGAGTCACCACTAAGAGCTCTCTAATGTCTTCTGCCATCCATCTTTATATGTAAATAGAGGGCCCTGTCAAGAGGCTGGCTGGCTTGACTGTATGTATGCAGACACCTGAATGTCAGGCTGAACCATCCAGTATATGCAAGGTTCCAAGTCCCTGCCTGAGCTGCTTCAAAGATAAAACATATTGACTCCAAACTCCCTTAGAACAAGAGAATGATTCTCTCCGAATGCTGGAAATGGACCGGATTTGCACCCTGAAAGTGAAGGAATGTTCCCAGGATTCTTACCACCTCTGTGGGCCTTTCTTGGGAAAGAAGAAGCAGAACTGAATGAGACATGATTGTGTTGATGCCAAAGAATAAGTTGATGCTGACATAAACGATAAAAGCCATTCCAGTTTCCGTGAACATTCCTGCGAGCAAGTACATCCATGAAAACGTGGCATACCTGCAGAGCATTAAGAAGAACAGAAAATACAGTAAAGCAAATGTTCCTCCAGACCAGCAAAGCACTCCATTTACATGACTAACCCCCTAGTCCAGCTTTTATGAAAAGGAGGGTTTTATGGAAAGGAGGGTCATTTAATTTTAATTAATGAGTAGTTAATAGGATTCAATCAGAAAATAAGAATAAGAATATCAAAAATACTTTAATAAAAAGGGAGTTGGAGACAGAGAAGCAACTTCTATTTTATACATAGGTAGAGATACAATTTGTCTCACTGCATTGTGCCATGCGAATTCACCCACCGTTTGCTCAGCTGGCAAAGCAGGCAACCATGACTCAGCATGAGTCCATATTATGATCTGATTTGAGATGAGAGCTGCACAGGTCCCAAGGGTTTTGAAGCATGGAGCCATAGAAGAAAAACTGAAGGAAGCCAGCAGGAAACACGGCACCCCACCCATCCAGTTCTTGAAAGCCTATCCCCTGTCCCTGCATTCCAGCTGCGTACCATCAGGAGAGCTGGCAGAGGGGGAAGAGGAGGATGGTGTGTTGCATGTTGAGAGGCGCCACACAGCAATGCCAAGGAACAGGCCTTTTACCAAGCCCAGGCTAAACCTGCAAGCAGGCCACCCTCCCAGATGCTCGTCTCGCATTCAGGAGCTCCAGTGACAAACAGGAAGGTGAATTGGGCATTGTGGGCCTGGGAGGACATCAGCTTTTTCCCAACCTAGTGCTCTCCAGATGTACTGGATTGCAAATTCAATGAATCCTGGCCAGCATAGCCATTGGCCTACAACAGGGGTCTCAAACTCGCGGCTCGCGGGCCAATTGTGGCCCGTGGGATGATATTTTGTGGCCCCCACTTGATATCAAAGTTTAGTGATAGTGCAGCCTGCGCGTTTTTCTCACACGCACCTGCGTGAGTCATTACCCTGGGCGCAATGTTCCCTCCAAGCTGCGTGCCGGGACGGGCGGGGCACGGGGGAGGGGCCCTGCGGCCTTCAAAGCGCCGGCGGCGCCCGGGCCGGCCTCCGGATGAGCGGCCCACCACCGCCGCGGTGGTGGGATACTTGAGGCGGCCCAGCCTCACCCAGACTCTACTTCCAGTGGCCCCCAGGTAAGTTGAGTTTGAGACCCCTGGCCTACAAGATCCATGTTCACTGGGGCAAACAGAAGGCTATCTTCATGTCAGGGATGATCAGAAAAGGGGCTGAATATAAAATGACAGTTATCATGACTGATGGCAAGACTGCATCTGAAATACTTCACAGTTGCTGGAGGGTCCTCTTCACACCATCTTGCGGACTTTCTAGAATCACCTGGCTGGCCACTGCTGAGGACAGATTGCTGGCATAAATAGAGACTTGAACTAGGAGAAGTCTGCTTATGTCCTTCAACTTCTTTGTGAAACCCAGGGATAACATAATTCCATAGGGTTAGGAACACGCAGGATAAGCAATCCTGAATCTAGAGCTTGGAAGGGGAGTAAAATCCTAATTGAGTTAAACTGAACCAAATCCTTACCCAAACAGGAAAAGAAGCAGGAATACAGCCAAAATATTGTTGTTGGTAGCGAAAGCCGGTATCTGAAAAGCTGAAATTATTCCCACTGACAGTGTAACAGGTACCAGAAAGTAAACCTGTGAAATGATTGTAATTAAAACTCATTATTGTAAACTGAACACTAAGCCCGTATATTCGAATAATACTTGCAGATTATGCATGCAATGAATTTAGCTTCTATTGCATGCCAAATACTATGCTTTCTTAGGGCATGCACACAGAACCCAAATTGTTTAATTCTGTATTAATTACCCCTTCACACTGTTTACTTAAAGTCACTAGCATGTTTTTGGATCACCACTGGATGTAGGGTTGTCCAGACAAATAAAACCACTGGACTTTTCTCTTAGGACTGTCACAAATATGCACTTCAGTCTCAGTGGGAAGCTCACATCTGTTAAAAGTTCCATTAGCCTTCATCTGCAGTCAGACAGTTTTCAAGAGAGAGAAAAGAGGTGTGAGAGAGGCATTGCTGCCCACACACAGTGTCCCTCTGTCCTGCTGGTAGCACAACTATTTGAAACAGGCCAAAACCACCAAAACCAGTCAATCAGAAGTGAAGGCAAGTTGAGTGTATGGGCTATCATGAGCAGCGTTTCCCTCTTTAAACCATCTTTATACTGCCTCTCTCCAGACTTACTGGTGTCAGTTTGGTGTTTACTGGTTGTTGCTGTTTTTAATTAAAGCATGCCTGCTTCCACATGACAGCAGAACACAAAAATAATTAAAATATCACAAAATGGGTTGGGATAGAGAAGCTGTGTCACCTGTCAGAAATATAAAAGGCACTGTCCAATTTAGCACAGTATCCACTCTAATGCATTCTGCAAAGCATCCTAGGAATTGCCTGGACATGCCACGAGTATACCTGTGAGCTTAAAAACTGAACTAGCCATATTGCATAAAAAGGGGGTGGTGGGGATCTGTGTTTAACATAAAAAGAGACATGTGAGTAAGAAGTAGGGATGGACACACACATCAATCCATTTTCACACAGGGTTACTCAGTTTCTTGTTTTCCCAGTCCTTAGATTGTTCCATCCCACTTTCACATCAGTTTGCATCATTAACATAGAAAAGACTGCCTGAAAATGTGTACAGGAAAAGGTAAAGGTTCCCCTGCATATAAGCGCTAGTCATGTCCAACTCAGCCTGGTGCTTATCCCCGTTTGTAAGCCAAAGAGCCAGCATTGTTTGAAGACAATTCCATGGTCATGTGGCCAACATGACTAAACACCAAGGCCCACGGAATGCTGTTACCTTCCCACCAAAGTGCTACTTATTTATCTACTCGCATTTGTCTGCTTTCGAATTGCTAGGTCGACAAGAGCTGGCACAAAGCGGCTGGGGATCACCCTGTTGCACAGACTCAAACAGCTGAACTTCTGATCAACAGCCCAGCAGCTCAGTGATTTAACCCACTGCGCCACCCCTGTCCCTGAAAATGTGTATAGTTTTTATTTATTTTTAATTTTGTAGGCCACTGAATACCTGACAGGGCTCTCTAAGCAGCACACAACAATAAAATACAAGACAAAACATTACTGTTACTACTATTTTTTTTTTAAATACAACTGCTGGTAGTGCTAGAGATCTTAAAACAACCAGTTGCTAAAATTTTAAAATGCCGACAAAGAAGGACAGTCTTTGCCTGGCGCCAAAATGAAAGTAGTGACAATGCCTGGCAGGAAGCCCATTCCAATGGTGGGGAGCAACCACCGAGAAGGCCCTTTCTATTTGCCATTCCTCTCACTTCCTTTAGGTAGGGAGGTCACTTTCAGAAGGACGTCATGCCCAGATCTCAGGGGGGCAGGTAGGTATTATTTTCTTATTAACATAGGTTATGAGTATTCCTCCTAACATATGCTTTGAATCAGCACTGGGATGTACTAAAAGGAATTCTTTCAGATGTTAGAATCATAGCAACAGAGCGAGTCAGAAGGGGCCTCCCGGGCCATCTAGTCTGACCCCCGGCTCCAGCAGGCTCCACTCATGACATGCCCACCATGTGCATGTCCAGCCTGTTCTTGAATATCCTCACCGATGGGGCTTCTATTCTATCTTTGTGTTTATTGAAATTTTAGTTGTTTTATGTTTGCCCCTTGGAATGAATGCTGTGTTGCATTGCATTCTTATTTTACTGATTTTTTCTATTTGATGGTTGTGAACTACCCAGAGAGCATAGGCTATTGGACAGTATAGAAATAAAATAGATGCATACCCATACATTGCATGAATATGTAGTCATGCAACAGTGTTTCACAACTTTTGGAGCTTTGTTTTCTGCAAACCATCTAAGGTTGCCAATCCAAAGGGTCAAATGTGTAACCATGAGAACTGGAATAGGCTGTCCTCTCAGAAACACTGCCCACTATACTTGGTATTTCTCATTCCACTCCCTTTTCCATCAGTTGTGGGAGGTTGGCCTCTATCTGGAAGCCATCTAAAGAAGAGGGGGCACTCTCCCTGCCACTTCCAGACAAGAACCAAAGTCCTATATTCCTTTGTCTTCTTGAAATATTATGTTTATATCCTGGAATGCAAATCACAGATTTCTAAAAGTTTTCCCCTTATGATTTCTAATTTTTTCTTATTGGGCAAAGTAAAATGCCTCGAACACCAACCCAGTTTGAATTGGGAGCAGCCCCAAGAATATTTGCTTTTTTCCCTTAGCTGGAATGAGGATTGTTTGCCAGCAGGGATGCTCTGGGAAGTATCAAGTTGCAGCGTATCACAGCATTAGTTTCAGGCTGCTGAATATGGATTTCAGTGGGACTGGATGATTTATAAATACTCCATCTCACAGCAGGCATTCAGAGTGTGAAAGGAGCTGGCCTGTCTACTGTTACCAGGACACTTTCAACTGGATGGCTTATAAATACCCCATTTCACAGCAAGCATCTAGAGTGTGAACGAGGCAGGCCCACTACGCTGCAAGAAGAGTGCAGCTCCAGCAAACGCTTTGTGCTTCATTAGTTGCATGCATGTGAATACCCGTGAGAAAATGATACAGTCTTAGTTAATAACATGTCTGCAGTGTAAGGCCAGGACAAGGATATAGTCCACATCAATGCACTGCTGAGCTCTCATGACTCCCTTTCCTCCTCCTTAACTGGTGCTCTCCAGCTGTGTTGGACCACAGTTTCGTTTGTTCCAGCCATCTTTATGGTTGGGAAACTAGTGCCTACCTGGCCTTTCCTAGACCACTTTCCAGGTACATCTACGGTCTGCTGAGACTTCCTAAGAACTCTGAAAAGCACATCAGGGTGCAATTCGATGCCTGACTGTTTAGATAAATCCAAAAGGTCCACAGCTCCCAGCGTTCCCCAAGCAGCATGGCTGGCTGCAGCATGCTGAGAGCTGGAAGGCCTCTTTCTGCCTAAATATCCATAGGAAGGTGCCTGTGACAGATTGTGCAGGCCTCAGGCACTAGCATGCAGTGTGGGATGCAGGGTCTGCTGCAGGCTGTGCAGAACTGATGGAGGAGCCAGTTGGATCCTGAGCTGGAACTGTCAAAACAAGAAGCTGAAAAGCAGTTCCTTTGATGGTAAAAAGCAGCAGCTGTTAAGGGCCTGGCATATCTTAACTACTGGGGGTGGCAAAATAAAATGAAATAAAATAAACAACTCAGCACCAGTGAATCAGGCTAACCTAGTGGATTGTTATCCTCACTGTTGCCATTGTTGTCGTTGCCACTGCCCTCATCTTGTGCAGCTTCTTTTATTTTACTGAAGCACCAGTAAGTGGTATTATGCACTGAGTAAGTACGCTATGATTTTCTTGTATTAATTCACCCTTAGTTTTCTGTGACTTTATATCATTTTAATTAGGAAAATTTATAAGCCAGAGTTGAATGGTTTATCTAAATTAGAGTTATTGATATGGCACCAGCTCCTTAGGTTTCAAACAGGAATCTTTGCCAGACCTACCTGGAGACCCCAGGAATTGACCCTGGAGCGGTTGTCCTACCGGGATGCACAAAACTGAGTCAGCACAGGAGACTTGCTGTGCCTTGCACTTGGGAATCACTACTGGCTTCGCCCCACAAGAGGCAGGAGGAGAGCACAAGCAGAGCCACGCTGTTCCCCTTTTCTCTTCCCATCTCCTTTCCCATGATTCTTTGAGAACAGGAGAAGCTGTCAACACTTTTCCCCATTAAAAAATCTCCACTCCTTTGCACTTGCAAACAGCTAAAAATTGCATTTAAAGAGTCTTTTCTCTGCACACCTCTCCTTTTCAACTCTTCCTCCTGCACCAGCAATTGTATTTGTGGGTGACACAAGATCACAGTGGAAACTGAGCTGTATTGATGCTCTAACATTGCTCAGTGGGTCTTGCATAGTACTGCCTCAGCCTTCCCTTATAAAGGGAAGGGTTCCCATTTGATTCCCCCAAAGAGGGGCGGGGGGCTGTGCCACTGAGAGATATCTCACCCCTTAGGTGTTCTTTTTATATAGATTTCTCTGGGGCAGGTGAGAGTAAGGAACATTGACGGCTTCTTTTGCTCCTGTTTTAAATATTTTAATATTACACAAAGCCAAGGGAGCTTTTCAAAAATCAGTAAAAAGAGGATTCGATGCTACAGAATAGTTTCTATGGTTTCACCAGAAATGCTCCTGAATCTGACTTGTACTAGAGCAAGACTCAGTTAATAACTGATAATAGGCTTTGCTTTGTTTCCATACTGTCTCATTGTCAGAATGACCAGTGCTTGCAGTCCCTAATGAATCAAAAGCTGAGGGACAAAGAAGGCATAGGCATGATGTAAGCCAATGAGTAGCAGGTAGCTGATGCTTTGGGTGTCTTTGTAGCTGAAATTCAGTCAAGTTAGATCTAAGCTGCAGCATAATTTCCAGTCAAAATCCTGCCCTCCAGGTGCTTTCCCATCCAGTCATTCTGAACAGATCCCTGCCTGTGGGTTCTTTTTTCTGAGGGCAAGAAAAGTATCTTTGTAGGATGACTAAACCAAGCCAATGCTGATCTAGCGGTGTTTTAGTTTGCTATACCCCAACTTAATCAGTGTTCCTGCAAATGCTAACCCAAGGCAGTTTTGTGAATCTGTGCAATGTTTCTAGTCCTTACAAATATATCTATGTTTTGAGGTTCAGCAAATGTAAAAGCAAGGAACCAAATGGAGCAGTGAATGAAAGCTTCCAAAACATTTTTGTTTCAGAATTGGTGCTAATAAAGAAAGGCAAATATGGTTCAGAGTAAATTTTATGCCTAACTACGAACATTTCCCCTAATATGAGGAAAAGTTTTCTATGGCAGAGTACAGAAGCCAAGGTCACACACAGCAGCCCTTTCATGGGTAGCCATTACTCATAGTTCTTAACAAAATACATACCAGAAGATGACTTTTAGACCTGCTTTTTTGCCTCTGTGTCTTTGCAATTTAACCTAAAGGCAATTTTTCTGCCTACAAGTTAAAAATAAATTGAAGTCCTGACCTTAATAGCACACTGATCTTTTACAAATGTGCTGAGCTTTATGCATACAGTACAGTCCAACAAAAATGCCATGTCTTAGCATATATATGGTGTGATAAGTTCTAATTCTAAATAGGTTTAAATGTCCTTGACCAAAGTTGAGAGAAGCTTAGGTGGGTCAAAACCATCACCATCATCAAGCTCACGGTGTAACTGTGCATTGCATGTCATGCACTTTCTACTTTGTTCTTCATCACACAGCATTTCTCATGTTATATTTAAGAGACCAGCTACTTACCAGGTCATAAATGAAGTTCGTCACCCAATAGCTTCTCACACCAATGCCTGAGATATGCTGTAGTTGTTTTGCTTTGGTTTGATGTTCTTTTACCACATAAAGCACAAAGCTAGCCATTGTGATGGAGTAGCCAATCAGGATACACATGCAGACTATGATATCCAGCAAACTACTAAGCCTGAAGAGGAAAAAGGCAAATGAAAGCATTTTCCCATTGCAGATGCAGACAGGACCAGTCCTAGGTGACAGAGGAGGCAGCGCAGAATGACTCTGGCAGGCCACCCTGTCTTCTGTCACACCCCATCCATGTGCCCTGGTAAGCCTTCCGGCTACTGTGGCAGCGCTCCAAGCAGCACTGGCCTCAGGCAGCTTGTCATCCCTTCAATTTCCCACAATGCATCTCAGTGCTGCTAGCTTTAGAGCGTGATGGACAATGAAACTGCACTGCCTGGTGCAGTATAGGACCAGAAAAAAAGTAAAGGGGGCTCTGGGACATGCCCTAGTGTGCCAGGTGCTGGAGCTGGCATTGCATGTATCATAGAATCATAGAACAGTGGAGTTGGGAGGGCCCAAGGGGCCCTCGGACAGAGCTATTTCATTTCAGAGACATTATTTGTAAAGTTTACAATGGTGTTCGGGTCCAAGGATAATTTTCTGCTGGGTGTAGGAATATATTTTGTACTGAGAAGCATTCAGCCACATCAGTTACCTAGTCTGAAGTGGTACATCCTGGAAACAAATTTAGGGTCACATTCCTATGAGAACAAGCATAAGCCTCTGAATTCACCAACCCCTGAATGACTGCTCATCATTTGTGCAGCAGGAGGAGCAGAGGAGCACATCTTCCCCTCCCTGCTCCCGCCACTCTGTGCCTTTGCTAGTCAGGCTTCTTTGCCTGTCTGGTGGAGGCGCATCGGATGGGGTGTGAGGGAAGCTGTGGAGGCATCAGAACAGCTTCTGTCTGGGCCTCTCCAGTTTCCTCCTCAACCTGCCCACCAAAATGCCTCCCTACTTTGTGCACGCTGGCTATGAGGGCGTCAGAGCTCTACTCCCCAGCTCTTAGGTCGTGCTGCCTCTGACGCTGGAGCTGGGAATCCACAGCATGCATGGCCGCTCACACACCATGCAGTGTCCATCGGATTGCTCTCTCACATCTCAGGGAGGACTAGCAGTAAGATTCCATACCACAAATTATCCTTCATGTCGTGTCGTGAGGCTGTCTGACACTGGTTATGACCTCACAGAGAGAGACTCGCCTGAATCAGGCCGCAGCTCCCTCTTCACCAACATAAGGTCCCAGGGGAAACTATGCCTGTTGGATTTCTGTGGAGTCTTATCCTGCAGTGTTACCAGGTGACACAAAAGAAGGGGCTTATGCAGGGTGCCAGCAGGCGTGTCTTTCTTCAGTTATATCTATGCTTTGCCCTTCCATGAAATATGCCCCAAACAGCTAATAACAGAAAACTGGGCAATTCAAAAACAGCGACACAGCACACCATGTAAAACCTCTAAAAATCAAGTAAGGGCATGTTACAAACAGAACGGTGCATTCAGAAGCATGTGGAAACTGCTAAGACTGGCAGCTTAAGACACAGAGCAGCACAGAAGCTAAATCAGCTCCAAATGCTTGTTTAAATAAGAAGCTTTTTGCATGGTAAGAAGCAGCAGTCAGGCAGGGCTTCCTTGTGAGGTCTGGGCATAGCCACCAGAAAGGGCAGCCAGGATACCTGCTGGTGCATGCACCTTATGGCTTACCCCAGTCAACAGCAGGGCTGCAGCACTCTGGTACAACCAGTTCCAGGACAGTTTTCCAAGGCAGGCCCACCCAGTACATGCTGCAGTGATCTAAGCCTGATGTAGTTAAGACGTGACTTGTTGTCATCAAGGCCAGATCAGACATGTAGAGCCACTGGGCCAGATTCCTGGTATCACAGAAGCTACACGTGGATGGAGCTCAGGGAAACTAAGCAATTTGGCAAGTTCCCAAATTCTTTTATCCAATGGAATATTTCATGAAATGGAAAGCAGACCCTGAAGCCTGAAACTCCTGAGCTGCTCTGTGCCGCTCCTCTGAGACATTAGCATCTCCCTGTTGGCTATAGTCCAGTGGCTAACCCAGTTGGCTAGCACGTCACATCATCTAGGATGATCTCGAAGAGGTAGCTGAATACTGGTGCTCCTCTTACCATTTTGTAAAATGAGAAATTTTAAGGTCTACATCTTACATGACTTGTTCTTGACTCTCTCCACCAGGATAAGGATGAGCAACAACCGCAATGCCTAGAAAAACAAGAATGACACTCATTTAAGGCTGCACCATTGAAACAGGGTAAGTTGATGAACAGAGAGGTTAGCAATCTATTGCCACTCCCTCTAGAGACTGTGGTACTTCATCCTGAGCAAGACATAAAATTCAGCATGCATATGGCATTAGCTATACTAATTTGCCCAATGAATGACCTCGCAGTTCTGTATCACTGGTTTAGAATCAAGCTAGATGTGATGGTGGCTGAGTTAACCGAGTCCTGATGTAAAGCATGGGTAGGCAGGAGGAGGGGACTTCCAGAAAGTACTCCCCCTTGGCAGTTTTACTATTGGCAGGGATTACTTCCAGCTTTGGGGTTACACTTTGGGAAAAGCAGCTGCATGCAGTGGCTGTTTTTCCCTGGGCTGAATTCTTCGCTCTTGTCCATCCATGCTGCTGCTTCAGTTGCACTCTTATCCATCCTAGCATGCACTCGCATGACTAGAATTCACAGGCAGACTCCAAACGCCAGTCTCATGTGGAGTCTAGCTCTGAAGAAGGGCACACAGATTCAGTGCCTGGATGGAAGTCCACTGGGAGCCCCGTGCAAGCCATTCTGAGCTTTGCAAATGGGAAGCGGGACTCAGGTAGAATAACTGGAGTTTCCTTGAGACATCCAAGCCCTGCTTCTCAGAAATCTGCACAGTGGGAGGCATTCTTTGAGAGAAAGCAATACAGCAAGGTTGGCTGAATAACTTTAACAGCTTCCAGTCTTCAGAGTTGAAGGGAGAGAGTGAGTGGGCAGAAATGAAGTTAAGTGATAAGGAAGGACAGAGACTGAACTTGGCGAGCTAGAAGAGCAGAGTATCTGGGAAGAATGAAAAGTGCTGGGGCTGGGTGTGGGGCAGCATACTGGGAAGGCAAGATGCAGGCAGGTGCAGGAGGCAGAGACTATTTTTGGAGCCACTCAGCGATGGTCTAGATTGGAAAAGAGAAAATATGTCACTGTGGCATGAACCAAAGGTATGGGGCCATGTGTAGGCAGAAGACATGGGCAATGCAGCTCACTTGTGCAGGTCAAGAGTACTGTCCCTTTGCATGCTACTGTCCTTCCCTGCTTCTGCAAAGAGATGCTCTGCCACTTGTCTGCATGTGCTGCCAGCACCCACCATGGTATTTCACACAATGTTTGCACAGGATTATAATGTCCAGATGAAAGGCAGCTGAGCAGGAGAAAGCTATTGATGCAAAGAAAATTAAAAGCATTTGCAGAGCAAGCAGCCATGGAAAGGCTGCTACCTACATTTGAGGAGATGCTGCTACCTACAAGTCCTGGTCTTTGCACGGAGTTGAGCTAATAATATTATTTTAGGTACTTGCCCGTTGGAAGGAACTTTTAAAAGATAGAGTAGTAAAGCAGTGAAGAATCCTGGACTTGAAATGGGGAGGGCTGGATTCAAATCCCCCTCAGCTGTAAAGCGCATTGGGTGCCCTTCAGCCAGTGGCCAGCTCTGAGCACAGCCTGTCTCACACCATTGTTGTGAGGCTAGAATAGGATGAAAGCTTAGACTCCGTGCAATCCAAGCACTCTGCCTGACGCTGAGGGGCTCCACCGATGGAGGCAGACACCCTCCGCAGGGCAGAGGGTGAAAGGTGCGGCCAAGGAGAGCAGCTGTGCTGGAGTAATCGCTCTCACTGCACACTTGCCCATTCCGTCTTTTGGGGCAGAAGACCTGAAAAGGGCTCGTGTGTAAAAATCAACGTTTCAGAGCATACATTTTGTTGAACGAGTGTACTGAAAATGGCTCAAAAAATCACTTAAAATATTTTGACATCACTATGGTGCTGGTGTTCTTTTCCTACTCCCTGGGGCACTGGCTGGCCTGGGCTCCTTTCGCATCCCATCCTACCCCCATGTGCACTTTTTGTTCTCTGTTCCTGTGAAGCCTTTCAAATAGGTTGCCAATCTCTTACTCAGTCATAATAAAAATATGGGAAGAATGACGTTGAAACGTGCAGAAGAGTAAGATGTTGCCCTGCACAGCTGATTGTAAAAAACAAAAGCTCATCTAACTCATTTTCCCCTTTAGTGTAGTTTTCCCCCATTGATGACTGACATCCCCCCAGTTCACATCAATGAAGTGCGAACAACTAGAAAACATTTTTTCCCCTTCTGTCAAAAATAAAGGAGACACAGTTTGACTAAGCTGTTAATGCTCCTTCACTGCAAAGCCATTTTCTCTTTACTGCAGCTTAGGCTAGAAGTCAAAATTTCCATTTCAATACATATTTTGCAAGGCTTGGAAGACAAGAAGCACAATATACATAAGTCGAAAGCCATTATGATTTGCTTAGTGGCAGTGTAAAAAGCTCTTTTTATGTGCCTTTTTAAATACTCAAAGCCTAAGTCAAACCTCAAAAGCGGAATTGCCACCTATTTCAAATTGCTAAAATGACAGTGAACTTTTATCTGGCCATTTCAATGGTTCTTAAGCTGTCATTTATTTGTCAAAGCAACAAATGGCTTTGGATGCCTGAAAGGTACAGTGCAAAAAATTCCATCATTTCTGTCTCCACCCAGGTTACAATAAATCTGTCCAACTGGAGTTACAAGTTCATTGCATTTGCCAGTCCTGAGTAGTTGTGCTTAAGACAAAAATAACTGATAATCATCCTTGCTAGATGGTGAGATTTGAGGCATAAAACCATCCTGCTAATGACTTGCGTCTCCATCAGAATATGATAGGGAACAAAAATAAAATTTGTAACCGATGTCCTGTAAAGTCTAAGTAGATAAGCAGTGTGGCTGCTTTATGCTGATCATTCTTAATGGGAAGAAATAGAAGAGTTATGCTTCACCACGTCACAATATATTAGGCATAGATCAAAAACAAACCATCTCAACCCTCAACAGCAACTACTGAGCACCTACCGTATCCAGAGGAGTTTTCCTTTGGCAAGTTGGCACGGAGTATGAAGTTATTCAGACTGTTCAGGTAGGCCGGGAGGCTGTGATAACCCTCTGGATTGTACCAGACCTGCATTTCCATTTGAGAGAAGACAGTAACTAAGATTTAGTGTTATTGCTGTTACTATTCGCTGATAATGCTAATAGGAAAGTGTGCTTCCCCAGACTCCTCGGTCTGCATGCATGTATCTGGCCTGCATATTTTCATACAGGTGGTACTCTCACCCCACCGAGGTTCATGCAGTATCTGGTCTGCGTGCCAAGGGCCCTTTCCAGAAATGCAGATACCATTGTGATGCTGCATGCACTGAAGTGGTGGAAAGCTCCATCCTACAAAACATCAAGCAATTTCCTCCAAGAGATAATATTCTGAAGTTTAAAGCACAGGCTACAACCTGCCCCCCTGCGCCCCCCCCCCAACCTTGATGGTTGGGAGGGTCACTTTAACACTTCTTGCCAACAAAAATCACTTTTGTGATGCTGCTGTTTAAATTTCAGGGGAAGCTCCCACTGGTGCAAATCATCACATTCACTGAAATGCAAATGCAAGTTTCAAAAATGAGATTTTTATTGGAATTGGGACAGATAGGGAAAGACCAGCTGACATGTGATACCATTTTGCAGTAAGTAAAATTACACCAAACAGTGCCCAACCCTCCTATCTCCCCATCTCCTGAGAGAGCCAAGTGCTCCATTTTTGGAAACCAAGAATTAGATATGGCCTTAATCATACTTAGATTAAACCCACTGAAATCAGTGGGAATTAACTAAGTCATAATAAACTTAAATCCCATTAGTTTCAGTGGCTTGTTCTAAGTACGACTAAGTCTGGATCCAAACTATAATATGGACTGGACCAGACGCTCCAAATATTTTGGCCTATGGTTCCCATGACTTTTCACCAATGGCTGTGCTGGCTAGGGCTGAAATTGAGTTCAAACCACTTGGAGGGCCACAAGTTGTCTGCCTTGGGCCGAGACAGAAAAGTCAGACTCCTGTAAAGTTCTCCTCAAGAGTAAATCCCACTGCTTTCAGTGAGACGTGTTTCCACTGTGTGTGGTTGCAGCCATAATCTGGTGCTGCTATAAGCTTGAGAGTAGTGAGTAGAATCCACTTAAAAATGCACTCAAATGTACAAAAAGACTATAAACATGAAATACCGGTTTTTATGATGCTGCTTTCAAAACAGACCTGCACTTGGTGGTGGCTGTTCTTTCTTAAAATAAATTTCCAGTATCTTGACAGGCTTTCCTCCCCTCCTACGCTTCTTACATTACAGAGTGCAGCTTTACACAATGATTTTTATTTGTTATAAAAATTTTATTGATACAAGGGGGAAAATGACAGATACAAGAGACTGTTCCGCAAGAACAAGTCAATTGTAGTTGCAAGGGTAGCCTACTTTACTTCATACAAAGGAAGCTGCTGTTTCTGGTCACTTGCTTCTGCATAAAAAGAAAGACTAAATAAATTCCAGCTTGTTCTAACATCAAGGAAAGAACCAGCAGGCGAGAGAAAGGAAAAAGAAAAATAGAAACAAAAGGAAGAAATTGAGATGAATTGCAATTCAATGTCCCATGCAAAATCACAGCTTTCTTAGCTACATGTAATGCTAGGAGTTTGTCATATTTTCGGAAATGCCATTCAGTAGATTCTTACTGCCACACTAAATCAAAAAAGACAACGTCTTATGCATTAGTTTATTTCAAGCTCCTTGAATATTTGATATTTAAGTGCTGGTTATCTACACCAGGGCTGACCCAAGATATTTTGCTGCCTGGAACAGAGACAAGGTGGTACATGTCTGTCATCCCCATGTGCCCCATTCCATGAACAGGACAGGCAGTGATGGACCAGCATCTTCACCACATTTGAAGGCAGCAGCCCAGCTTAGGGGGCTCCTAACAGACTGCACAGCACACACAGAGCTCTATCTTCCAACATCGCATTGCTGCTCAGCCTGGTACAGTGGTACCTTCGCTCACAAACGCCTCAGTTCATGACCAAATCGGGTCATGAACAAAAATTCCATAAAAATTTTGCCTCAGGTTGCAAACTCCACATCGGGTGATGATTGTGGGGGCGCTTGTCTCCCCCCCCCCACCCAAGCGTGCCCACGATTGAGCCCATCTATGGCCGCGATTGCACTCGTGCAGGGAAGACAGGCGTGATTGCGGTCATTTGGGAGGTGGGGATGACTGCGGTCATTCGGGGGGGGGGGGGGGGGATGGCCACAATCTTTGTTGTTATTTGTCACTTTATTTCAATTTTTGATGAGTTAAAAATGGTTACAGAATGGATTAACCTTATTTACACTGAACCTTATGGGGAAATTTGACTTGGCTCATGGCCAATTTGGGTCATGACCAGAGTCTTTGAACGGATTAAGTTTGTGAGCCGAGGTACCACTGTACTTACTGGTAAGCTAAGCAAATTCTGCAACAGACGCAGCAGTGATGCCTCCAGTGTGAGTCACATGCGCAGAGTAAGGGATGTGTTCATGTAGTGGGGTGCATGGCCTGGCCCTCTCCCTGGCCACTCAGGCAGGCCCTCATCCAGTGGCACTCACTAGGACATGCTGGGAGCAGGAAACAGCCAGGCAGCCCACCATGGCCCTGGCTCAAGAGAATGGGGACAGCTGGGGACAGGCGTGCTCAGGAGGAATAACTGGGAAGGTTGCTACAGTCCAGCTCCACACCATCTTCTGCAAATGCCTCACTCTGCCTGAAAGAGGCCACCCTACCCTTGGAAGGAATTAGGACTATATTGCTGTGTTCACCCCTTAGATCTGAGCAGTGGGACACTCTGGGGGGCAAGCAAAAGTGACGGCAGAAAAGGCAAAGGTCTCGGAACAGCCTGGGCCCCCAGTGTGCCACCATCTCCTAGGCTAGGAGGGAAGGGACAGTGTTTTCTACAAATAACAGTGTTGCCTTCACACACACTTGCAGCAAAGATGGGCTTGCATGTGGCACAGTGTAGCAGCGATGCTACTGAGCTGTGAATCAGCACGTCCCCAGCTGGAATCCCAGGAAAGCCATTAGCTTACCAGGTGGCCTTCAGCAAGCCTGTGAGCCAGTCTGCCTGCTTCAAATGAGTGGCTTGTTGTGAGTCACCATGCATGCTGGGTTTGTGCTGGGCGTGCACTGTGTGATTTGTGCAGCAGCGTGACATGTTGTGGGGCAACATGGTTTGTTGAAGCATTAAAAGTCCTAGACCACAGCAGGGGTATTTTATTTGAAGGTAGTTTCACCCTGCAACAAGCCATACCACCTCAATCTGGACAACAGAAGTAGCCAAGGCCAGGCAGGGATTATGCAAACCAGGCTCAGCTGTGGCAGGAACATCCTGAGCCTAATCCTCAGTACTGGATTACAGACACATATAAAGTTAAATATCACAAACCACTTTGCCATATGTTCCATGTCTTATATCCTTATTTTCATGATCCCAAAAATGCATTGCCCATGTGATGAAATTACCTTAGTTACTGTTCTGTTAGCAGGCACTGGAAGTATATCAAATTGGAGGTCACTAGTCAAAGGCAGCCCAAAACTCCAGCCACCATATCTAGGTGAGAAAAATAAAACACAACACAGCTCTAAACACACATGCTAGACCTGATACAATGGACTCAATCTATGGCAAGAGGCGGAATTAGGTGCATTAACACCCCAGTTATAAAATGTACAACAGTGATGTAGAAATGTCGGTATCAGAGCCATTCCTACACCCAAGCTGGCACAACTTTAAAAATCTTGACAAATACAGAAAGTGAGAGAGTTTGCCATGTGTTCAGGGTTAATAATCTTCGATATATATGAAAGAGAACTGGAAAAATTCTGATTTTGCCTTCCTATTATCTGTAACTATCATAAATCAGACAATAACATTGGAACTCTTTAAGCAGTTTCCCCGATTTTATTTTCAGTTGTACTGTTTATTATCACGCACTTGGAAAAATGCCTGCTGCTTCTTGAAATAGATCTATTGGGAGTCCTAAAATCTTTTAGCATTAGGCCTGGTGCCTTTGGGCCACACAAAGCATGTCAGTGTGTCAGGTGGTTTTGCTCTGTGACAGTGCTGGGCTGGGGATGGGGAGTTTGACAAGACCATGCCAGATGTGCCCAGTCAGAAAAACAGGGCACCTAAGACTCCATATGCCTTATGAAAAAATCAGTTTGTGTTGTCTAACACCTATAGCCTCTTGAATGTTAATCAGCACAGGAGGTACAGGGTGTTCTCCATGAAGTTATACACTAAAAAATTGTTTATTTAGAAGAAGAAGAAAAACCCACTTCTGTTTCCCATGAGCACTCTTGGAAGCTTTATTAGACACCACAGTCTGTGCTAGTTTCATAGCTGCATTCAGGTAGTTTTCAGTGCCCTCATTTAATTTAAATGGTAACCATGAAATTATGCATACGTAACAGAACACACATAGTCTTGTTCCAATAGTGCATTTTTAGAAGTTTGCTCTACCAAAATATGTAAAAACACTGCACTTTTAACTTGAATGATTATTTCTAGTATTACATACTATTTATTCCCAGCCTTTGTTCCTTTAGTAAGGAACTCCAGGCAGCTGGCAAGGCTCTCCTCATCTCCAGTTTATCCTCACAACAACAGCCCTGTGAGGTGAGTTAAGCTGAGGGTGAAGGACTGTTCCAAACTCACCCAGGGAACTTCACAGCCAAGTGAGGACTAGAACCTGGTACTCCCAGGCGCCCAGTCAGTGCTCTCACCACCACACCACACTGGCCTTTGCATGACAACTGCAGTCATATTATACCAAGGATGCGCAAAATGAGAATTAAATGCTAAAGAAGTTCTTGGTTAGTGAGAATAAGCCCTGTTTGAGAGGTCAAAACACCTGTGATTAAATACAAATGGGTGAAGAGGGGAGGTGGGCTGTGGGACCCTCTGCCTCCATGCAGTGGACTGCTACCCTGAGGCTCCCTGTGCAGTTTAGAACCACACCACGCGATTGCCTGGCATGGAGGGCCTCTGCCACCTCCTCCAGCATGTGGAGAACAATGAGCTGAGTGACGAGAAGAAAACAGAGGCACAGCCAGCAAGCAGAGTCCAGCTCTCCTATGTATTCAATCCTAATCCTAATCGCATGGGGGAAGGCTGAACACTTGAGGGCAAGAACAGACAAGAAAGAGAGGGTAAGAGAATAAAAGTGGTACCTCTTCTGCACAAAGTCTTTGGCAGTGGCTAACAGGTAGGTCTCTACATCATGCTCAGTAAGGTTATAAATTGTCCGGGATGAAAAAGTCTTCTTGTGGGGTGGAGATAAATTAATCTTTGGACAAAGCTAGAATGAAAAAGTTTGAAAATGTAAGTTGCTTTAGCAGACAAATCCTACAGATATAAAATTCACTTTGTTGCCAGCTTAACAGGTATTTAGAGAATACTGAAGAAAAAATAGCATTACATTTTCAGTGAGTATTTATTTACTTTTAAATTTACTCATGTGCATACACCTGTTTCTAATGTGCCTGCAATTACACACGGGTGATTAACATTAAGGGCCTCATTCAGTGGGGCAGCCTGTAACCATCGGAACTCAGAAGGTTACAGGCATCCCATCAAGCACAGGAAGAAAATGGAAGCAAGGATTGCCTCCATACTTTCCCCACCTGCAAAGTACGCAGCTGATTTCAGCCCTCCCTCACAAGGAGGGCTGAAAGGGTTGAGGAACCTTCTGGAGTGGTCAGGGAAGGGCGGTGCTCACCCCTCTCCCCTGCACTACCAGCTCCTGCAGTGCAGATAGCCTTCCGCCTTTGAAGCTGCAGCTGGCACAGGGAGAACTGCACCAGCCGAGAGGGCACTGAGAGGCCCCTCCAAAGAACAGAGGCCCCGCTGCTAGCTCAGAGGGCTTTCATGAGATTGTGATGGGGTCTCCAGCTTTTCCTCAGCCCAGCCAGACAGCATCTACCAGCCATAGGATTGTACCCTAAGGTATTTCGTTACCCACATTCTTGCAGGCTTAATAAGCCAGCCTGAGCATGAGGACCACACGAGTAAGTTCTGTTTACATAAGTTGCCTTCCTAATCACAGGAACTGCAACAGGTTTGGAGCACATAGGTGACTTTACATCCTCCTTTGTATTTGCACTTTTACTCAGCAAGACATGTAGAAAGTCATGCTTAGCATGGGCCAAACTGACCTTAACTGTAGGCATGCAATTATCATCATAACTATGTCTGCCCCAAAGCTGCCCACTTGCATGCACAGGATCTGGATATAGCCTAGATGTTTGAAAACATGTGAATAAGGATGATTGCACTCCCCACCTGCCAGAACTGTGTCAGTTTTATACTGCTATGCACACTACTAAGGATAAGAGTAGCACCTGGGTCAAATAACTTCTGTAGAAGATCTCTTGGAAGTCAAGCTACATGCATTATTCTTTTTACTAAGGTTGAAGACTAGCCAAGGCACAGAGATCCAAAGTTCAGTTCATGAAATCTTCACTGGCCATGCAATTTAATAATATGGGGCTCATAATTTTACCTGCAATGAGTACACTAGGTAAGGAGCATTCTAGCCTTCCTCAACATGGTTCCTGCCAGATGTTTTGGACTACCATTCTTATAATTCCTGACCATTGGCTGGCCATAATGGGAGCTGTGGAACTTCTGGAGGGCATCATGTTGGAGAAGCCTGGAGTACACTATCCATTTACAATGATGCTTCCCATGATACCAAGGGTGCAACTCTACAGGATTACTGCCTGCTAGAGGGAAGCCTCTGATCTCCAAGGCCTCCAAGAATCCAGTGCCCTGCGAGGCGATTGCTGGTAGGGAAGAAGCTGTAGCAGAGGTTTTTTTAAAAGCCTTTAAAGCCATTTTTGCTAGGTGCGCCTTTAAGCCAATTCAGCCATGCTACACTGCTCGTGCAAGAGGCTTGTGCATCCATGAGTCAATGGCTTCTCTTTTCCCTTTTCTCCTCTTCACCATCCTCTTCCTGAGGTTACAGCACTGACCTCTGGAGGGAAGCCATCAAAGTCTTTCCCTGGTTGGTGGAAGGGGCAGGGTGAATTTGTGGGGAGAGCCATGATGGAATCTGCTCCTCTGAGGCTGGAAAATATCCTAGGAGATCTTCAGCATCCTATTACTGCTCTATAAGGATTGTTTGGTAACGGCTGTGTCGCATACATATTTACTCTAGACAAATTACTATTGGAAATACTAATAACTGATCAAGCTGTAAGGTTGCAATTCTTGATTTCAATAGAATTTAAGCAGCTCAGCTGTGCAATAGGATTGAAGCCTGTGGCTGCAGTCCAATGCACAGTTCCTTTGAAATATGTCCCACTGAATATAATCAAATCTGCTTGTGGGAGAGATGCATATGGCACAGCTGGACTCCTTGGGTTCTGCAGACACAAAAATGATGCAAGTAAATATATATTTCCTTACATGGCTGATGAAAAGGACGGAAAGACTGGGGCTATTTTCCACGCCACGATCTGTGGCCTATAGAAGGCAGCCATTCTCCTTACCCATATATCCAAGCTGACTTGCCAGCACCATTCAGCAGGATGCAGCCCATGTTCAGATTTGCCACCCCTGAAGCCATTAATTCCCTTATGGAACATATTCTGAAGTCCCTAATGTTTGTTTCATATTTATCTCCTCTCACTGAGCTCTAATTTAACATTACCTGTCTGTTGCCTGTGCAGTTGCAGACGGAATATTGAGCACTCTGGTTCCCACTGAGCACCCACTCGCCAGGCACGTCCTCCTTGAAGCATGCTCTGAAAGTAAGCAGTTTTAACACTGACATTTCCTCTAGGCAGGTATGCAGACGACACACAGCAATATGAAGGCAGGGCACTTGGCAGAAGACTACCTTTGTTTATTGATTCTCCCAAGAGCTCCTAACAAATCCCACTTACGTCAGGGGAGCTACATTCACACCACCCTACTTGGTTCTTAATGGCTCTGCCTATTGCTCTGTCAATCTCTTTTTAGTTGTTGAACTGTGCTATTGATTAGAAATGTCTAATGAAACTTGTTTCAAATTCCTTAGCTAGAAACTCAAAAAATTAACATTAACAATAACAAAATTACCTTGAAAACAGAAGGGAGCTCCATGCCCCCAGGTACTGCAGTGGTAAAGCATTAATTAGATGGTCCTAGGATACTTGACTAAACAGGGACAGTCTACACAAAAACTTCTCCAAGCAACTGAATAGTGTTAAGTTAGTTTAGGGATAATCAGCAACTACTGCCATGGACCTATCCCAGCTTTTAGGTGAAAGCGCACCGCATATTCCCGCATACAGCTCCACCACTTTGACTGAGACATGTGCTGCAATGGCTGTGGACACAGATTTCCTCCCCATTCCAATCCTCATCACCTACAAGTAATCATGGCTTGGGTAACTTAGGCTAAAATCTAATGCACACTTTGCTGGGAGTAGGTCACATTGAGCTCAGTGGGAGTTAACCTCTGAGTCGAAAGGTATAGGTAGTTCTATAAGGTAAGCAATCTGTGAAATGTAAGGACAGATGCATCAAATTAGACTGCATGGCTGAGATCTCATGCACACTTCCTTGTGAAGAAAATGCACAGAGCTCCATGGATGGGACTGTACTGCAGCCCAAGTTTTGATACAAGGCATCTGTCTTGCACCCAGGTGTTGAACACACTTAGTTGGAAGTGAATTGGAGAGACATTTCCAAGTAAGTGCCTTTTAGACAAATGCCTTAATAAATTCTCGAACTTGTTCCAAATCATTACAATGGAATGCACCAGATTTAGTCTTATGGAAATGCATCAGCCTCAGGATGAATGGTTACCCCCCTGGAAATTAGCAAATGCAAGACAAAAATGGCATAATCAGCTATTGTCTCACAAAACAGCTATTGCTGAGACCTGTTTCAGTGTGCAACCTGGGCATTGTAGCTTAACAAATGATTGAAAGATGTCCTCAGTGACTGATGATTGTTGAAATTTGGTAATGTCTCTTCCCACATTAGGAATGTAAAAGAGGAGGGGTAAGCCACTTACAAATTACTTCTATTCAGGCATGTGTTATCTGCTCCAGGGAAGGAAAGCAATGAAGCAACCAAAGCACTGGTAGTTTCATTATAATTTCTAGGGTTTAAAAACAACAACACAAAAGGAGTTAGCTGTACTTTCATGAGAGAAAGAATAGATGATAAACTAAATAAAATTTTCATAGTGAGAATCAAACATTACTTTTTGTCCCAGTGCAGTGAAATGTGGTATAGATGTGACATTTTAAGCAGGGGAGACTGGTGACTCCTGTGCTGAACTATACCCCAAACAGGTTCACTACCACAGAGCACCATGAATAGCTCCTATAAAACTCAGAATAAAAGCTACAATGGATTAAGTGGCCCCACTGACACAGGAATCACCAGCTTTACTTGGTTTTAGCACAAAAACAGGATAAAAGGCTTACAGTTATCCTCTGTTCAGGCAACGAGACATGAAGCCAGTGCTCTGCTCTGCTCGATGAAACTTAAAGGCTGTGATTCTAAAGCACTTAAGGAGCAATCATGCAATTGTTTATCCAGAAGAAATTTCAGTGAAGTCCACAGTGTTATGCAGAAGGCCAGTTTCAAGTAAGAACCATGAGCTTTCATTTCATTACCCAGTTTCCATATTGTCCTGCGTCTTTTCCTATAGTAGACATTTCTCTCTTGGGGTGCACACTCCAGAGAATGTGCAAAGGGCCTTGGGGTGAAGCTCTAATATTTTTCTTCAGCAGTGCCCTGAGGTAACTCTCCAAACTGCTGATTAGAATTCAATCCCGCTTGTACAGAAAAAGCAGCCTGGCATTCAACACAACGGCTGTGTTGATGGGGAAATTCCCTGGCTGGGGGAAGAGGGGAAGGAGAAGGTACACGCAGAGTAGAATCACTTTTCATATCAGTAAGTCTTGTGCCAAAACTCTAAACTGTTTTTGAAACTCAGAAGAATATAAAGTAGCAATTGAAATTTTGCTAAAGGGAGCTGTTGGTAGGAAAAATACTTAAAATAACTTTGATGTTCTGCATTCACGCACTGCTGAATCAAACCAGTAATACTTTGTGGCTTAAAGCTCTGATCAGCCTTCCAGATATGTGTCATCCAGATATGATGAATTACAAGTCCAATGCGGGCTGGGGAATGATGGGTATTGTAGTCCACACATATCTGGAGACACCAGATGAGGAAGGCTCAATCAGGCAATTGACAGTATTATACCTCTGACAGATATTAAAGAATTGGACATAATTTCTTAGCAGTCCCTGTCAAATTGTTCAAGTGAACTGGAATCAGAGAATCACCAAACTTTATGCTTGTTGACATTCTCTGGACTCCACGTTGATACTGAGGTTACCTCACCTTTTTCCATCTGTTTTCTTTTTTGTTCAAATGGAAGAAGTGTGCACATTTCAGTATACATTTTTGGAAGTGTACGCCCAAATGCACTGTTTTCCCCCAAAGGCAAAAGCATGGAAATGCACCCCCGGTGCAACTTTGCTCCAGAAATGGTGTTCCCACTTGTACCTGCATCCAGGGTTGTAAACAGGGAAAATCTCAGCTAAAAGCAAATCAGAACATAATTCTTATAGATCTGTAAAGTGAACCTGCTACCATACAGGCACAGAGGTTGCCAGAGAGACCACGGGTTCCTTCAGCGGCAGCTTGGCCACTGCCATTGAGCGGTAGCAAAGGGGAACCCAGGTCAGGTCCTCAACAGCAGGATGTCAGCACAGGCTGAGGCAGGGTCAACAGCACGCAAGTGTGCAGCTGCACTCTGCACGGGGACAGGATGCTGTCAGCAGCTACACACCTGCCCTTTGCTGGTCCAGCCTTTCCCACCTAGTGGTTTTCAGAGGCTTTGGACCACAGCTCACAGCGTTCTTGGCCATTGGCTATACTGGAAGAGCACCAATTAGCGAAGGCTGTCACAGTATGTTTGTGGTTCCCAGAGGCTCTCCTGAGCCTGGAAAGTTTTGCATTCAAAAATCCCCACTTATGCCCCACCCTTCCCCACTCATCCTCTTCCTAGCACGTACTGCCATGCAAGGATGTTATTTTTCTCCAGGTTCAGTCATGTTGGTCTCATAACCAACTTCCTTGGTTACACAGGATCCAAATCAAACATGATCCACATCCTAATAGTAAGAATAAAAATAGTACTCACCCAAAGAAGTCCACCTGGCCAGAGGAACCATACAGGGACGGCGAGAGGTGGAGTGCCGGATACTCTGCCACCTTTGTTCTCAAGGTGTCAAGGCCCATGGCAGCAGTCACAAAGAGCACAGGAAGCACAACCTGGGCAATGAACCCTTTCACGTTGCGCCGAGTGTGATGGAACCTTTTAAGGAACAAGGCTGTGGCCTTCCTCAGCAAGGAAGAACAGCCTCTTGGCTTCTGTGGCTTAACCAGAGCTTGGTCTATTGATCAAAAAGGGAATGAGATATGATGACACATCAGGTGTTGTTCCCTCCTGATCCTAACGTTCACCCAGGTTATCCTGCCAGAATATGCAAGCAAGCAGTGGTAAAGGTAATGTTCCTGTTTTTACAAATGAACACCCAAATCCTTGAAAATCCTGAATGCCGGTGGCTGTCACATCCTTATAACCTTCCTGGGAAAGATCTGTGCTGGACCCACAAGATCACTGGCCTGCTCATGTCTGAGTGTGTCCATTAAAGGTTTTTATTTTTTATTTTATTTCAGTGAGCTGCAAATTCATTCAGTTAGTGCCCGATACCTGCAGAACACATGGCCCTACTGGCACTTGCATGGAATTATGCAAGCTTAAGCCGCCGGATGCGGCCTGGGGCTGGGCGGGCTTGGAGCTCCCTCCCCCGCCAACACCCACCGCGCTCCGCGGCTCGGATCACCTGCCGCACCGCGCTGTCATCGCTGCCGCCGCCAGACCTGAGGCACACCGCCGAGCTGGGGGCCAGCTGACGCCGCTCCTGCGGCCACCGCTGGGCCAGCCTGGGCATGGAGGACGCCAGAGCCACGCCAGGCCCGCCGTCGACGGCGTGGAGGAGGGCGCCGCCATCTTGCCACCGGGCGGGTTTCCGTGCCCCTCCCTGCTACCCCCCCCGCCAGTGTTGGTGAGAGCAACGCCAGATTGGGGCGGGGCGCGCGGGCAGGTGCCGGCTTAACCCGGCGGACGCGGCCTGGGGCCGGCGGCCTCTGGCTGGTGGCCGAAGGGCAATGGCCAAAGGGTGGTGCCGCTGTTTGTGGCCATTCGTGGCCGTGCGGGGCTGGGCTGGCGGGGGACTAGGTTGGTGGGGGGACTTTTAATTTTGTATGGGGGGGGGAAATGGGGAGGTTTTGATTGTTTTAAAGTTTTATTGTATTTTAATCTGTTTTTATGGAGTCGTCCCTGGCCAAGTCCACACTTGAGTTTCCTGGGGAGCGCGGGGGTGCCACCATTGGGGTGGTCATGGGCAATGGACGTTACAGCGGTGGGGGCTTAACATGTCTGCATAGAAGAAGGAGGGACAGATGGCTGACACCTGTCCCTCCTTCTGGTTCTGTCCCCAGCCAGAGGGTTCCAGGTAGTCTTGTCAACCGCCCCTCGGGCCTGACGGTGCTGCTGCTCAATGCCAGGTCAGTCCACAATAAATCTTCCCTCATCCATGACTTGATTGTGGATGAGGGGGCCGACCTGGCTTGCATAACGGAGACCTGGGCGGGAGAGGGGGGGATGTTGCCCTCTCTCAAATGTGCCCGCCCAGGTATCTGGTTCAGCACTGTCCACGTCTGGAGAGGAGGGGAGGGGGGGTCGCTTTGGTTTACCAAGCCTCCATCTCCCTCACGGGACTTTCTGTCCCTTCAAGGCCAGGGCTGGAGTGCCTCTACTTGGTGTTGGGCGACCGAGACAGATTGGGGATTCTGTTGGTGTACCGTGCACCCTTCTGCCCAACAGTCTCCCTGCCTGAGCTGATGGAGATCGTCTTGGACCTGGTGTTGAGGACCCCCAGGATGTTGGTCCTGGGGGACTTCAATCTCCATGCCGAGACTGGTCTGACCAGGACGGCTCAGGACTTCATGGCGTCCATGACGGCCATGGGGCTGTCTCAACATGTCACCGGCCCGACCCATGAACGTGGACAAACTCTGGACCTGGTTTCTCGACGGGGCAGGAAGAGGGTGGTCTGAGGGTGAGGAATTTATGTCTGACACCCCTGTTATGGTCAGATCACTTCCTGGTGAAGTTTGTGCTCGAGAGCGGCCTTTCCCTCTGTAAGGGTGCGGACCCGATTGTGTGGGTCCACCCCCGGAGCCGGATGGATCCGGATGGATTCCTGAAGGCCCTGGGGGAGTTTCCAGCTGACAAGACTGGTGCTCCTGTTGAGGCTCTAGTCGAACTGTGGAACGGGGAGATGACCAGCGCTGTTGACACGATCGCTCCTAAGTGTCCTCTCCTGCCGGGCAGAGCCCACTCTTCCCCTTGGTATACACCTGAATTGCGGGCGATGAAGCAGGCTGGGAGACAGCTAGAGCATAGGTGGAGGAGATCACGGGATGAATCTGACCAAACACACTTAAGAGCCCATTATCGGGCCTATGCTGTGGCGGTGAGGGTGGCGAAAAAGAAATTCTTTTCCGTTTCCATTGCCTCCTCAAAATGCCATCCAGCGGAGCTTTTTTGAGTGGTGCAAGGCCTGGTTCATCCCGGCCCTAAGAAAGATCTGGTTCCACCCTCGAAGGCCTGCTGTGATGACTTTGCCAAGCATTTCAGGGAGAAAATCGCTCAGATTCGTCACGAGCTAGACTCTACTAGTGACTCAGAGGTCTCTGGGGAGATACCAATGCCACCGTCTGGTCCAAAATTAATGGATGAATTTCAGTTATTGCGGCCTGATGATGTGGACAAGGTGCTTGGACGAGTACGTCCCACCACTTGCCTATTGGACCCTTGCCCATCTTGGTTAATAAATAACGCCAAGCACGGGATTGGGATCTGGATCTTGGAAGTGGTTAACACTTCTCTGAGGGAGGGTCGGCTACCTGCCCCTTTAAAGGAGGCGGTAGTCCGACCAGTCCTGAAGAAAGCGTCACTGGATCCAGAGATGGCCACTAATTATAGACCAGTGGCCAACATCCCGTTTCTGGGCAAGGTGTTGGAGTGGGTGGTGGTGGGACAACTCCAAGCACTCTTGGATGAAACTGATTATCTGGACCCATTTCAGTCCGGCTTCAGACCCGGGTACGGTACTGAATCTGCCTTGGTCGCCCTGTATGATGACCTGTGCAGGTAGAAGGACAGAGGGAGTGTGTCTCTGTTTGTTCTTCTGGACCTCTCAGTGGCTTTCGACACCATTGACCATGGTATCCTTCTGGATAGGCTAGCGGGATTGGGGGTTGGAGGCACTGCTTTGCAGTGGTTCCGCTCCTATCTCAATGACCGTTTTCAGAAGGTGGTGCTGGGGGACTATGGCTCTGCGCCATGGCAGCTATGCCATGGAGTACCGCAGGGGTCCATTTTGTCCCCTTTGCTGTTTAACATCTACATGAAACCACTGGGAGAGATAGTCAGGAGGTGTGGGCTGTGGAATCATCAGTACGCTGATGATATCCAGCTCTACCTCTCGTTTTCCACCAATCCAGGTGAGGCAGTGGCTGTGCTGAACCGGTGCCTGGCCAAGGTAATGGGCTGGATGAGGGCCAATAAACTGAAGCTCAATCCAGACAAGACGGAGGAGTCCTGTTGGTTGGCAGATCGGGCTTCGGTGAGGGTGAATTGAACCTAGTCCTGAATGGGGTTGCACTCCCTCTTAGGGACAAGGTCCACAGCTTGGGAGTGCTCCTCGACCCAGAGCTTTCACTGGAAGCTCAGGTGACAGCGGTGGTGAGGAGCGCTTTCTTTCAGCTTTGGCTGATCCATCAGCTGCACCCCTACCTGGAGTACGACTGCCTGGTGACAGTGACACACACATTGGTGACTTCCCGCCTTGACTTCTGTAACGCACTCTACATGGGGCTACCCTTGAAGACGGTCTGGATACTTCAATTGGTTCAAAATAGAGCTGCCAGGCTGCTGACGGGACTGGGCGTTATGTTCACATGACTCCAGTCCTCCGTCAGCTTCACTGGCTCCCCATTGAAGTCCTTGCCCAATTCAAGGTGTTGGTGATGACCTATAAAGCCCTAAACGGCTTGGGTCCTGGTTACCTGAAGGAGCGCTTACGTCCATACATGCCCACCTGCCCCCTGAGATCAGCGGGAGAGGACCTTCTCCAGGAACCCTCCGTGAAGAAAATTAGGAGGGTAAGTACTCGGAGGAGGGCTTTCTCTGTGGTGGCGCCCAATCTATGGAATGCGCTCCCCAGAGAGGTCCGCCTGGTGCCGTCGTTATTTGTTTTTTGGCGCCAGGCGAAGACCTTTTTATTCAAACGTCATTTTAATTGTTAATGGTATTTATTTATTTTATTCGTTGGCCAGGGCGACTTATTTTATACTGTTCACTTGTTTTATATTGTTAATTTATAGTATTTTAATTGATTTATTTGTAAGCCGCCCCGAGGCTTCGGTGAATGGGGAGGCATATAAATTTTCTAAATAAATAAATAAAGGGCTCCTTGGGTGTTGAGCACCACTCAGAGCAGAGTTTTGCCTCACAAAATCCATCCACTGCTTTCCCCCAATGCTGTTTCTAATCCTGGTGGGTTTGTGGCAAAGCACCAGGTTAGGAAGATGTGAAATGTGCAGTGTGATGCCCCACCTCTGTCAGACAGTGCAGCAGGCATGAAAGCCATCCCTGGGGGCTTTGCAATAATTTCTGCCACTGGTTCGTTCACTCCCATGGCTAACTGCATGCTTGTGAGCTACAAGTGGCAGGGGCTTACCTTTGTAATGTGCTGGAGTGGCTTAGCTCCCTGAAAGAATGGGATAAAGATTCTGATCATCCCCATCACCCAGAGAAAAGCCGAAGCCCTATGCCTTCTGCACACTTGACATCCTCAGGAGGAGGATGCCAAGGAAAAGGGAAGCAATTACAATTAATAGGGGAAGGGACGCAATTACAACCAATAATTACTGATTGAAGAAGGACTCTTGTGTCACAAAACAAAGCAAGAGTCTCATCAAAGCCCAAACAAAGCCAGACTCCCAACTGTACCAACACAGCACTCAACCGTCCTCATGTCTGGGAAGGGTTCCAGAGACAAGACTGAGGAAAGCACCCGAAGAAGGAGAGCTGATGCAGCAAGAAGCAATTGAGCCACCAGTATAGAAACAGGGTTGCAGCCTTCCCATGACATCAGAGGTGGCCCTATTGCCGGCCCAGAGGGCATTTAGGAAACGGCCTTACAGCAGCTCAAGGTTATTTGGGAGAAAGCACAAGGTTATTTGGGAGAAAGCAACACGTTGGCATCAGCTGGGTGGGAAAATAGAACTTCATGAGGCTAGTTAACCAAGGAGACATCTTCCAGAGCTGGGTTGAATACGTGAGCTCAAAGAGGAGAAGGGTGTGCCTTAGCTCCCTTTCTTTGGCCTGATTAAGAATCCCAAGTCAAACTCCCTGCCCCCTGCCAAGTCCTTTTGCGACCCCTCACACACAGTACTGAAGGTTGCAGCAGCCTAAATACCCAGGATTCTCTGAATTGTATAATTCCACCACTCACTGAAGGGCTAATATTCAGAGGCACAATGGAAAAGAAGGCTCATTGGAAAATAAAGGTCAAATAAAAGAAAAGACCAAGTGGACTTTAGAATTCTAATCTGCACAGGCTCCTTAAAATTGCAGGCATTTTTGTTTTTCCTAAGATGCTGAACATCTATTAGTTATATTACTAATATGCCATCCTTCCAACATTTCTAATGAAATAAAACCAAGGTATGGTGCTATGTAAGTTATGAATTGTATGAAGCAAGCTGCAACTACAAGATAACAGTAATGGCAGCTACTCATAGAAGATATGGCTGTCTATCTGATCCACACGGGACTCCTAAAAAAGGAAGGGAACATTGTCTCCTTGTGAATGAATGCATGAATGAATGAATGAATGAATGAATGAATATATATATATATATAAAATCTGCCATATATATATAATATCTGCCAGTATAAAAATGTTTCTCATTTGAGTTGACACTTCCCTATGTGCATTTGATTATCTACACTACCACATGGAAAGTGTAGTTCTGTTCTGAGCAGTCTGAAAGATACGTGATTATGACGCTCGATATATGCCACTTCTGCATGATTATTTCACCTACTTATTAAGCTGGTTCAGTGCTCTAAAATGTTCCACATGGAACACCTCCAAGGATACAGCCATGCAGAGAAGGTACTGCCTGATCTGGCAAAACCAGATGTATGGGCCACTTCTCAGAAAGGATTCACGTCCAAGTAGAGAACCCACTTTTTCACATGATTAATCCCTAGGAAATAGTGCATTTTAGTGCACTTATCTGGGTCAGACATTACTTGCTTCTCACAAGTGGATCCATATTGTTTGCCATTTTGGGAACCCTTTGGGATCAAAATGTAGAATAAACATTTATTAAATCAAGACACTACACAAAAATAATAGCTATGTTGACTTAAGAGTGTCTGAACTGACTCATGGAAACCTGCTAATTACATAAGGAATTTTCTAAGTTAGTTTTAATTGTTACTGAGGCGTTTGGGCTTCACCTTTACAAACTACAGAGGCTCTTACAATTTATTTCTCTCTATAAAAAGAATAAAATTATACAATTAGGAAACTAGTACATCAGAGAGAATCATGTTTGAATGCAGGAATATGCAATGATGTGAGGTCCTAACTGCACAGATGAAGTATAACTCAGACAGAAGTTTGCCACCCTAGTGAGATCTAAGCTTAAGAGTCAAGCTGGTTTTTCAGCCATGTGTACCAGGAAAGCTTCCCTAAGTAAGTTACAGCTTCAGAGCTATGAACTATCAACTATTAATCTTTTTATTTTATGCCTTCTGGCTCCTACAAGCTGGTTACTGCTCGCAACATGAATTGCAAGTTTTATGAATAAAGCAAAAGGTTGTAACTTGGCCTCACCCAAAACTGTTGATTATGCGCAGAGTGAGAGGGTTTATTGCATGCTCTTGTTAAGACTGACAGATATGTTCTCCGTATAAAGTGTATTTACTTGGAAAGTCACACTGAAATTAATGGTATTTATGCCTGGATAAACATGGGCCTCATAGGCCCTCTGTTATGGCAATTCAGTCGGAAATGCCCAGGACACCAGGCGCCTGGCATGACTAGTGGGTGCACGCGGTGTGGCAGCTGGATACTTGGGTGTTCGCGTAAAACACGCTGGGAGCTGCACTCCAGCACATGTACAAGGCAAAGGTGGTCTTATATGCTGAAAGCCTAGTAACACTCTCACTTGGGAAACTGTAATACAGATCCCCTTTCTTCTGAAGAGATTTGGAATTCCCTGTTGCAGGCCGGAAAAGAGAAGTCATTTGACTGGTGCAGTCGTGATTCCTGCTAAGCAGTTCGGGCAAAGTTTCCTCTGTGTTATCCTGGAAATCCTCATCCTTTATCCTCATCCCCACCCCAAGAGGCAGGGATGGGGCTCTAGAGGAGATACTGGGGGAACTTCCTTCTTTGAAAATTTCAGCCCGTGCAAGATGAAAAGGTAGCTGTTCATTGATCTGTCAGGGACCTAAGTATCGATAAATTCATACCATCTCTTTCAGTGAACTTCACAGAGCTCACAGACAGGTCATCATTCTCGAGGGTGCAGCTTGGCGCCTCCTGGGACAGCGCTGCCTCAGGTTGCCCATCTCTGTCCATGCCTTTGGTCAAATTGAGAAACACCTGCACAACGACAACAAAAATGCTTTCATTTCAGTTTGCTGACATTCTGCTTTTATCTGGATGAATACAGCTAACCTCTCCGGGAGTTCCTTTCCACTGTGCTTTGGTGATATGTCAGATGCAACATGTACGGTGGCCTTCATTACTGAGGACAGTTCTGAATGGCTGCCTGAGGAAAGGAGGGCACCCTCGGCCTGAAGGATTGTCCAGTTCCTAGACAAAGTGCCACATGAGAGGAGAGCCATTGCCTGCCAGCAGGGCGGCCGAGCACACAGACACACGCAGAGCACCTGGTTGCACTCTTCCTCAGTGTGGAAGGGGTTTTGCATTTTTCTTTAAGCTGCCATAATAATTTCAACATATATATTAGTGTAGGCAGACTTTAGCCAAATCCATGTCCTCTTAGTCTTTCATATCCCCATTTTATATTTATTTACATGCAGTCCCCAGGTTACAAACAAGTTCTGTTCCTGAGAAAACAGAAATTTGTCTTTAAGTCAAATTTGTACATACATTGGATCACATATAGTTGGCCTTGCAAGGTTGTGGGGAATGAGAGAGCAGGATCCCCTGAAAGTGGAAAAACCACAAATTTCTCAACCACCTTCCCCCAACACACCAGTGCCTCTTCTTTGCTGGAGAGATTTCCCTCTCTGGATGGGTGGGGCAGGAGGGCATGCTTTGGAGGCCTCCTTCTCCCCCTCTTTCTTTTCTCTTTATGGTAATGACAATTTCCCACAGTATTTTTTTAAATAATAGGCTTTATGGCCATTTGTAAGTACAGGTTGTTTGTAACTCAGGCATTTGTAACTTGGAAACTGCCTGTATTTATTTGGGGATGCATCAATGGCTGCTCTAGCAAGAAGCCATGGCCCAGGAACGAGATTAAAAAGGGGTGGATTTTAACATTTTAATGATGATGATAATAGTGGTAGTAGTAGTAGTAGAAATGCAGTAAAGGAACAAACAATAAATCAGCAAGTAAAATAGCACAATAAATCCACCAAGGGTTAAAAATAGTTAGATTCTCACTTCTTCCATGGTGCTGTCTGAAATTCCATAGCAGCCAATATGGAGATTACTCAAACCATTGTCCAGGCCTCTCAGCAGAGACTGATAAGCTGAAGAGACTTTACTGTTAAATGGGGGAAGCATGTAGACCAGCTCTCCACCGATATCCTCTTTCAGACAGGCATCTGGTAGATGAGACTGGATCATGGCTGTCACAGCAGAGGTATCACAGTCTTCTGCTTCATTAAAGATTGAGCTCTATGGGGAGGAGGGGAAACAGCACAATACAACAATTGAGTGTGAGATTTCAGTTACTAAAACATCTGATTTTAATTATGCCAAAGGAGGAAGAATCCAACATTGGCATTATTGGTTGGGAACCTAAAGTTATGCTGAGAGTTACTGGGGGTATTAAAAATAAATTCCTCTTTTCTGTTATATATGCTACGGGGTCAAAAATCTGACCCAGTGGCACATATGTACTTTCCATTCCAGCCCTTGTCCAGATACAATGAGTCCTTACAGACACTCAGCAATGAAGACACTATGCACCTCAAGAAAACATGTCCTGACAAATCAAGTTCAGCTAGGAAGGCTAGAGTCTTCATGACCAGCTATAGGAACCTCACTAAACAAACCGATGGCCGTTTCTGGAGGAAAAGGTGATCAAAGATGGAAAGCCCAGGGAGGAAAAATGGCTATGCTCCCCATCTCCCATTTTGACCATTTCCTATCATTAAACCTTGTCCATTAATTATATCTACTTGAACAAATTTTAGTAATAATTTATTTATTTATTAGATGTGTATCCCACCTAATATCTCGTAATGCCATTGGATGAAATTTCTTCTGAATGCCCTCCTTCAACCCTCCTTCTGAAACAGGTATGACTTCAGGCTTGAAAACTGTTAACTATTTTCGTGCCCTATATGAAAACCACATGCATTCTGTTCAAACAATCCCAAACCTTTTTCTTAGTGAGTGTTAGGTGGTATCCACTACCAAATGTTTCCTTCAGGAAGAATGGTGATCCACAGCACTGAAGCCCACCACTTTCCAAGAATGCCACCCTGTCACTCAAGACCTCTGCCTCATCCAAGTGATGGGTGGAGAGAATTATCGTTCTCCCTGAAAACATATAAAGAAGGCAGCATATTTATTTTCTTCGGGCAGGTTCTGGAGATAGTAGGAAGTGTGAGGGGCAGTGTGGTATCTTCTTGGGGATATGAGCTGCTCAGATTGAAGAGCAGGTCTTGGGCTGATGCTTTATAAGGCTAGATGGAGCTGCACTGGCACCTGCCTAGGGGCTCAGAGAGCTGGTAGGGCCAGTAATGCTGTAACCTCCATGTATCACAGTTCAGTCTGCAATTCTTTTGGCAGACATGGTGCCCGTGAGGCAGGAGGCCAGCAGAAATCCCCATATGTGGTCTCTAGCACCTACAAGAATGACAGCTTCATTGTAAGGGTACCTCACACTCCATTTGTGAGCTTAAACCATGGGTCAAACTCACTCAGATCCCCAAGTGATTTTTAGCACTAGTGTTACTACACTTGATACTATCACTTGTAAAGGGTAGCATGTCTCTTTGAGCTGTTCGTGGTTGGTTTGGGGGCTTTTTTTGCCAATTTTACCTTTTTTATTTTTTGATATAATCTCCCAAATGCTTCTCCTGGAGCACGGATCAACCCCAGTGGTCGGTTCATCCAAAATCACAACCTTTGAACCTCCAAGTAGAGCAATAGATATTGACAGCTTTCTTTTCATCCCTCCTGATAAAGAGCCAGCCAGCTTGTGACGATGGTTGTATAATCCAGTTTGCTTCAAAGTCCTTCAAAGCAGCATCCAGAAAAAGAAATGCTAAGTATGTTCTGCTGCATATTTACTAAAAGAAAGGATACTATCCATATCAAAGCACTATTAGCACAAATGAAAAACCTCTTACTGGCATAACTGGCATAATCCAGGACTGTGATTTTACATGTTTTTCAAGTTGGTTTTGTTTATTTTCCTTTAAGGGTTTTCAGAAGTTCTGGCCAAGAAGTCAAGGTTAAGGGCTCAAAGCTGCTTCGTGGAATACCAATGGGAGCTTTGAGTCTATGCCTGGCTTGTTTCCTGCTGCAACCGTGACACAAAGCAGCTGCAACCCTGTTTTGATCGGACAGTGAAGGCTGATTTATGTCTCTAAAGTGGCACAAAGCTGTCTTGGGAAAATTGGCCAGGAGGACCAAGCAAGATTTACAATGAGGAAAAACAGCACAAGAACTACTGTTCTTGGCAATGGGGATTAATTTGTCTTGGATTAATATGATGAAACCCCGACGTCATTACCAATATTTCAGTGGGGTTTACTATTTTGCTTCGGCTAAAGAAATTATACCCCATTCAGCAATTCTCCCAGCAAGTTAAGAGTAAGTTTTCCTCTATGCATTCTTTTTGTGGCACTGTGACTAGAGTAGTCAGCTCAGTCTTGAGGAAGAAAAGCTGTGAAAATTAATGCTGTGAAAACAAAATAGCACAAAACAAAAAGGGCACTGCTTGATTCTGATTTTGTCACTTGCAATTACATATACTCTATTCTCAGCTTCTGAATGTTGCCATTTGTAATTAAAATAGCACATAATATTATTACTTCTTTGTTTCAGAAAATGTAAAATCGTGGAGAAATAAAAAGATTTTTAAGAAACAAAAAGGTCAAATGTATAATAGACAGAAGAAAGTGTAAATTCAAAATGCATATGATGAGTTTTTAATGCAGTCCTGGATCCTTTTCATTGTTGATTGCTTAAAACTATATTAGCTATATATGTATTTTTGTGAGTGCTGTCTGCTTGAATGTCTGTATGTACATTGTTTTGAGAATGTGTTTTAAGGTTTTAATCTTTGAAAATCACTGAGAAAATCCCAGCTATGGAAATGTATATCAATGAAATGAAACAGGTTTTTTTTCAACTTAGAAAACAGATGGAGGTAGAGGTGGAAAAGCACAAGAGGGTTACAAATGGAAAACACAATTGTCTTGACCCCTTTTAAAATTCCATGAATGAGGCAGGAGATTGCAGGATAAAACATTCATCCAGAAGCAGCCTCAGTCCTTAGGCATAACAACAAGCCAGGCAATGTACAAGTTTAGCTGTGCTCACTTTCAGTGCATTCACATCCATAAATAAGCAGCAGAGCTTCATTGTCCACCTGGAAGGTGCTACAGCAACCCTATTTGAAGCCTGCACATGATCCTTACAGACAAACGTGAAACCAAAACATATAGGGAACACAGGAATAAGAATATTGCTCCATGCCACGGCTCTTCTTCTGCTTATAGCCATGTTGACATACCTTTGGACTTCCTCACGTAACTCCTGCCTGCTCCAGTGAGGCACTTTGATGTAGCCATATAAAAACAGGTGCTCCTTTGTGGTGAGGTAACTAAATAACACGTTGTGCTGCATGCAAATCCCCATGTTCTTCCTGATTGTATCCTGATCCATTCTGATATCTTTACCATAGACAAATATCGTCCCAGATGAAGCAGGAAACAGACCAGTTAGAATAGATCTGGAGGGGAACATAAGAAATAGCTTAGACAAAAGTGCCAGCGTGTTATTGCACAGGGAAGAAGGCCTGGCACAATGGCCACGAGGGAGAGTTTTGAGCCTGAGACTACCCTGCTTCAAATACGGGCTCTGCCACCCGCTCACCTAGTGCCCTTAGGCAAGCCATTCCTTCCCACTCAACCCCAGCCCTGCGCCTGTGGGAGGCAGTTGCTCAGGAGGCCACAGAGTTTCCTTTCTCCTCCACAGCAAGGAAGCACAACTTGGCTGGCTGTGGGCTAAGTTCTCCTTCAGAGCAGCTCTCAGGAGTGCTCCAACAGTGAGCAGGGCTGCAGGCAACGCGGGTGGGGCCAAATGCCAGCGTGCTGCAGCTTAGAGTTCTCCCTGCCAGGGCCTAAACCTCTGCTGAAGCAACCAGGGCAGGGCAGGGAGGAATAACCTGCACCAAACTGTCGAAACCACCAAACAATTGATGGGTGGAGGATAAGGGATGGCAGTCTAGAAAAGAGGCATGGCCTTCTGGGGAACTCCGGAGAGCTAGACTGGGATCGCAGGAGGGCTATATTTGGCACCCACATCTGCGGTCCTGCACCCCTTCTTTAAATACAATTTTACATGCCCTGTCTCCCTCTGATCAAGAGTTGATGAGTTAGTCCAAACTGAGCTCCAGTGAGATTATAAAACCTTTCTGTCCCAGAGAGTTTTGCCTGCCCTGTGAAGTACTATGAACATGTTGCAGAGTTATGTTCCCCATGATTCCCAAATAATAAAAGGGGGGCACAAGTATTTCTGATTTATGAACTATAGCTTAGATTCTGAAATGCATTCCACTTGTTTGACCACAGAACTGCCTTTCTAACATCACGCCCTGATCTTTGTGCAGAACAGGATCTTCATCCAGACTCGCGAAGCTGACAAGGTGGCAAGCAACCCCAGTGGAGACTGCTCCCTCCAAGCTCAGTAGGCTCAGCTTGCCACTTGCTGAGTCCCTGAGTGAGTGCACACGGCAGCTACCAGCTGGTGCCACAGGCCATCCTCCCACCAGGAGCATCAGAAGACAGGCCTGGCTACTGTAGGACACAGTTTAACAGCAAGTCAATGAAAGGACAAACTTTAGCATCCACAAGTGTGGATACTTATACATTTGTTGGCCTGGGAGCAGGAAAATCCTTCAAATGTTCTTGTTGATAACAACAAGAAAGCTGCTTTCATTTGTGAAGGAGAGGGAGACCTGCTGAGATAGATAAAGAATGCTGGAGGTACATTGTACAAGAGAGCTACAAAAAGTGGATCTCAAAGACCACGTTTGGTTCTTACAATAACATCAAAAATGCCACCTACTTTATAACTTATTTTACTGGCCACAAAGTTGAATTTCTGAGGGTTCTATGCAACTCCTCTTTAAAGGAAACCTACATTGTGGTTGTCTTTCCAGCCCCATTGTGACCCAGCAATGCAGTGATGTTGCCTTCGTAGAAGTTCAGGTTGAGATTCCGAACAACGGCTTTGGATTCATATATTTTTGTTATTCCTCGAAGAGAAACTCCAGCTTTTAAGTTAGTGGGTTCAGGTTCAAAGTTAAAAGGCAAAGCACTCTGGACATCTATAAAACAACAAGAGGGGGAAAATCTATTGAGACTGTGGGTACTTCTATATGAAATATATCTACAGCTTCCAAAAAATAAAACATTTGAAATATTTGTGAGATATGGGAGTTGGAACTCCCATAGGAACTCATGCAGGTATGGGAGTTGGGTTGCCTGTAGAGCAGGGATTTCGGATCTGTGGGACTGTATTTGTCTGATATGTCAATAGGGAAACCGTGCCATCTTTTCAGCATCAGGTTAAGACTATTCCATTCCCAGGCATTTTGTTGCATGTGATGGGCTGCTTTGATGTGTTTGTTGAATGTGTTGTTTGGCTACGAATATTGCAGAACTTTTAACTGCTTTATGAGGCACTTGTATTTTACAATGTTATAGAGAAATGTTTTAGTTACCCTAATTTCTGTATGTCATTATTTTGCAGTAAGTTCTCCTGGATCTGTTTCAAGGCTTTACGAGCTTTCTTTGGACTCTCAGATTCAAGGTCAGGAAAAGAACTGACTCCAGAACTGAGCATCAGCACATGGATCCCCCCTGCCCTTTCACCATCTGCTTTTCCGAAGCTGTAAGACTGACCTCAGGGAGGGGGTGCAAGGCCTTCCAGGGGATGCAGAATGGAGGAATTTGGGACCAATAGGATATGCATGCCCTGAGGGAGCTCCAGCCCACCACGGGGAGGAGAGAGAGATCACCCTTGCACTCCCCCACCCTGCATGCTCTGAATTTGGAATCCTGGGGTATCCCCTCTGGATTGCAACTGCAGAAATTTAAACAGTAATAAATACAGCTGGCTTAATGAAGATGATACTGCCAATAAAAAATGGCAGTATCATCTGCATCAAATGGTGGTATCAATGGCAGTATCAAAACACCTGTTTGAATGCAATCTAAACTTCCTGTCAGAATTAGAAGTATACTTATATATACTATTTATTTAAATATATGCAATATAATTTAAATAGTGTAGTGCACCAACTTTGGTTTTAACAGTAAATTAATGAGCAGATATTATTTTTGCCTTAAGACATGGTTCAAAATGGGCGGCCTTTCAGTAGCTGCAAGCATCACACTGAAGCATGGAAATGATCCACTGCATGTTCCTAAAGGTGAAAAATGTTCTTTCTATTAGCAGCAGTAAGTTTTATTGCTATAACCACAGGTCAGAAGAAAGCACAATCCAGACATACCTATCAGTAAGGAAATCTGCTCCTCATCAATTTTCTGACCTTGTGAGCTTGTGAGTACACAATGAAGTTTAACCAATGAATTTCCTCATACTTGTTTTTGTGAAATATGAAACATAAATATCTTCAATTACAGAATCTTGAGGGAAATATAAACTGCATTGCCAATTCACCATTATACTTTACACTTCACTCTGAAGATTAGGAATTCTGACAAATATCCATTTTGCCTTTCAGTACAAGTCTAATAGTTTAAGGTCAGTGAATATATCAAGACATATTCTCCACACTTAGAAACCTGAAATACATACACATCTTTTCAGGGAATGTTGGCTGTTTTCTGATGAAGAAATTGGTGAAAAGATAAACTTTAATCTTCTCACTCCACTCTGGGATGTAACCATAGCGCTCTGCCCAATAAGAAGGGAGGAGTGGAAAATACCATGGAGCTGATATACCATACTTTCCTGTAATAAAACAAGACATCAGAGATATCATGGGCACCAGGCTGGGACATTTGAAAAGTTACTCTTTCCTAATTTAGAGTTCGCAATAATGTTCGCACAACATGACAACTAGCTGTAGCAGCTGCTATGTCATCAAACCCAGACTATGTCATGCAGGTTGGCTTTCAGCTACAAGCCACCCTAACAACCCATGGCTTGTTCTAGGGTTTGTTCAGTCCATAGGGGGTTATCATGTCACCTGAACCAAGGAAAGTAATTTCACTGGGGGTTGCAGCTTTGGCTAGCAAAATATTGGCAAGAGTAGCAAAACCCCATACAGCTCTTTAAGATCTTGCCCTTGCTGCTACTGTGACAGCCCATCTGCTGATGCCCAAGCAGCTCTTTGGAATGACCTTCACTGGTCCACTACGCTTTTTGCCATTATTTTTCTGTCCTAGAAAATTACACAAACAGTGCAGACTGTTTTGATTTTTAAAAAACTGTCTTCCATAGCTGCACTCTGATGGCAGTCCAATATGTGTGGTCTTTCCTGGTCAATTTCCTTGTATGTTTCTTAGGGAAAGGGGAAAGTGGTGCTGCTAACATCCATGGAACAGAACAGTCTGCATGAAGGCTAACTTGCATGCAGCTGGGAGACTGGGAGGGAAGGAGAGGGAGAAGAAGCCATGGTGAGTCCAGCTGTCTGCTGAAGACACTGCAAATTGTCCATGAACAGTCTACACTATTTTGCATATTCACAGGAGAGCTTAGTGTGACATGCAAATGCAGCCCCTGTCGATATGATTGAGGGTTCAAAGAAAGTGATAATGAGTTGCATGTAATTTCAATTTTGTTCCCAAAGTGCACAACTCTGATCAAGCCTGATAAGTTTTCTGAAGGCTATTGACATATTTACTTATTTATTTTATTAATTTTTACATGTCCAATAGCAGATGCTCTCTGGGTGGTTAACACAAGTTAGAATTAAGCAAAAGTCAAAAAGGCATACATACACACACATCAGTTTAAAAGAACAAAACCATAATTGCAATTGCATTATTCAGCACAGAAGCATAGAAGGGTACAGAATAAAATGGGATATATAAAAACCAAGTTTAAAATGCTGGGAAAAATAAAAAGGTTTTCATCTGGTGCCAAAAAGAATACAAAGTATGCACCAGGTACACCCCTTCAGGATGCTCATTCCAAAACTGGGGTGCCACAACCAAAAAGGCCTTCCTTCTGGAATTCACCTGCCTCACTTCCTTTGGAAGGGGCTCCTGAAGAAGGGCTTCCAAAGATGACCTCAGAGTCTGTGTAGGCATATAAGGGAGGAGGTGATCCTACAGATAACCTGGTCCCCAGTCACTTAGGGCTTTGAATGGTCATGGTAGCACTTTGAATAGGACCTGGACTTCAACCGGCACCACAGGATGACCTCTGGATAGCCTCCCCCAGAGGTTTCATGTAGATGTTAAATAGCATAGGGAATAAAAAGGAACCCTGCAGCACTACCTGGCACAACTCCAGTGTGTTTTTTCCTAACCAGATGGATTCCACTGTGGCATCAAAATAATGGTATAAACTCTAACAGACACATTTCTGCATGCATGTGAAATGGCACCTATGGAAATTTGCCAGGCAAATGTGTGGTGTATTGGTCATCCTAACTTGGAAATGGAAACTTTGGCCTAAGAATGGAGCATGTGCGATGGTCCCTACCAGGTTACCAGCAAAGATGAATTCCCTGTGGTGAATGAACCCCTTCCTGCCAATAACGTTTGTAAATACTCCCCACATGATCTAGTCCCTGGTGTAGCACCTTCCAGTACAGCAGCCTCCTCTCCACAGCCCCATGGTCACCGAATGGGAGCACTCAGACACTCACCAACAGGCGCATGTGCTGCATCAACTACTTACAAATTTACAGAGAAAGGGAGTGTCATGGAGGGGATGGTTTTGGTGCCTTTCAGTGATGACCACAGCATTGGCATCCCTTCCTAATCTGTCCTTTCTAACAAAGTTTAGTAGCCAAAGAATGTGGCACCAGAGATAGATGGCTAGATAGATTAATTTCTTGCATTAATAGCCTGTTCTGCTTACCTGGAAAAACATTCCTAATGTACCAGCCAAGAATGAAATAAACAAAAGAATCTATCAGCATTAGCCAACACATCCAACCGAAATTAGTGTTGTCTCCTGACATGGGTGACATATACATATTATCCCACTGGAGGCCTATGAAAAAGAAGACAAAGGACAATTATTGTATTAGATAATAGAACAGATTGCATCAGGTTAGTCAGAGATCTGTTCCATGAAAAGAGCACATACCAACGCCTTGTTCTTCATAGCGGGCAATATATTGGCTTGCATAGCTGAACGCAGTTGGAGACAACAGGCTCTGGGAAAAAGAAGCAGGAAAACAAAAACCTATTGAAATATCTGCATACAAATAATCCATGTTAGCATGTATAAACTATGCAGATTTCAAAGAAATATATAGTATAGAACTGAAATTGTACAGCACAATTCAGCTAAGCATCAACATAATTTAACTAAACAAGGGTAAAGGGGAAAATAAGAAGAAATAATTCCTGAAAGAATAGAAAGGGAATTAGAGGGCTATTTTGTATTCTCCCCCTCCCTGCTTTTTCCAAGAAACTCAAGACAATAGGCAGCTTTGCTAATCATACTGAGGCATCCTGTGAATAACGTAGTGTGGGTTGTTTGCAGAATGACCCATGAAATGTCCAACAGACAATCAGTAGCTTGCCCTGGCTCTCCTTTCTTCTCATTCCACCAGCCAGTTCTGGCAAATATTTCAGGTGCATTTGCAGCAAAATTCCCATCTCACAATCCCTTGTTACATCGTCACCCTTTTATTATGGGCCATCTGCATGTTCAATATGTGCTTTGCCTTTGCAGGTTGATGCCAGAACGTTTTTCCATCCCTCCACCAACCCATGCTTGGCGATACCCGTCAAATAATACCTAATTTCTAATAAAAACTATAAACTTTTTCATACCCTTTTGCATTGTTTGTTAGTGTACTGCTCTCTTCACTTGCCCCTGCTGCTGCTGCTTCCTTCAAACCTCACTTGACAGCGTGCCCCATGAACAAGGGTTATGTGGTAAGGGATGCTCTTCATGGGAAGGAGCCATAGCTTAGTAATGGAGCACATGCTCTGCATGCACAAACCCCCAGGCTGAGCCCCTGGCACGCCCAGTTAAAAGGAATCTGGAGAGCCTCTGCCAGTCAGAACAGTCAATACTGGGCTAGATGGACCAATTATCTTCCTTAGAGCAAGCCAGTTGCACGTGTTCTTGTGTGGCAGGGCTACAGTATATGTGCCATATAATAAAACGGCCCTGCTATTTTCTGATTGTGAAACAAGTCAAAATGTGCCATTAGGCTGACCAGATATAAATGTTCAGCTGAAGTGGTTCCTTTCCCCAGCACCTTAACAGAAGGAGAGACTCACCAGCAGGCTCTTCATGGTGAAGCTGAGGTGACTCTCGACAACAAGCAAAACAATGAATGGGAAAAAGGTCAGGATGTAGATGAGACATGCAACCAGAGCTGCAATGTTGGTGTTGTTGAAGAAGACACTGATGAGGTAGCACATGGCTATGACCGAGAAGCTATAGTCTGCGAGGTACAGGAATAGTAGCACCACACTTGTGCTGGGCAGGACATTCCCAACTTTGAGGATCAGAACGATTAATGTGATCGGAATTAAAAGAAAGGCGGCACACTCAATGAACCAGGCAAAGAAGTGGCTGCTGGAATTGACACCCATCATCTTCATATACTGTGGAGGAGAAATTGAAAGGATATCCACTTAATGTCATGGCAATATTATCTCACAGACTGCCGTGTTCTCATTCTGTATTGCAGCCTTATTAAGATGGACCAGTTTCCTGTTCTAAAACAAAATGGGTAGTTGAGTAGCTTGCAAAACTGAGTTCATTTTCACAGCCCTGAAGGAGGATGTGCATGAAGCACACTCAAGTGGCAGCCAGGTATGCCAAGCGCAGCCCACCCTTCCTGCCCTCTGGGCTGTCAGATGCATGACCCTGCCCCTTCCTTGGGTCTTGCTGTGTCTGCCTGTGGTCGTCAGCAAAACTAGAATGATCAAACACACATTGAACAGGTTGTTTACATAGGTAGCTAGTTATTCTGGATTTGCTGAGTTGTAACTAGCGCAGGCCTAATTTTGCATGTGTCTTCTCAGGAGAGACTATTGACTGATATCAGACATGTTTACTCCCTCCAAACCTTTAATATATAACAATGGGAAATCTGGAGTCTCAAGTGTATAGGCTTTAACTGAAAAGAAATCCAATAAATACATGGCATTATAGTGTGCTGCATGAGTGGAACTCCCCTCCCAAATATGTAGAACTGCCCAGAAACTACAGCAGTCTCTCAGTGGCTCAGCCCACTAGACAAATGAAGACTGTCAACCTAAAACATAGCTTAGCATTTCTAGGGCATCTCCTTGTTCTGGAAGTGGACATTCATAACTCTCTAAGATCAGGAGACAGATTTTCTGAAGCTGAGATATATACTCTCTACTTGAATGTTACTGATTCAGTGTTACATATTTGTTCCATCCCCCCGCCCCCCATGTCTAGTTTTGAGCTAAAAGGAAATGGGTGAGAATTTCATTCCAGCTTGGATTTGATAGGAATACACCTAAATTCATGAAGCTCTCCAGATTTGGAATAAAATGAACTTGGCATTCAAAAAATCTGGGAGAAAACAAAACTGAGAAATTCATCCACCCAGGCCCAGGTCTTTTTTTTCCCAACAGATTTCTCATCTTCAGTGGCAAGATGGCAAGTGGGTACATCCTAGGTCTCCGTGCTGGGAATGGCTGTACTTATTGAATTTGGTGGGTACAGGCAGATGGATGAGAATTTTATTTCAGTTCATTCTTTATATGAATGTATCAATATTTGCAAAATGGTTTGTACTCAGGACAGAATCTGAGATTTAAACTTGGGATTAGAATTTGAGGTTTTTTTTTTTTTTTTTTTTTTTGAAGAAGCAGGAGAAGACAAAACTGGCAAATTCACCCACCTTTAGTCATAGCTCAACAAAACCAAGAATCTGCTGCCCTGTCCTCATGGAGCGCTACTGTGGCTGAACACCTTCCCATGGCATGAAAAGAACTCGAGGGCCCTCAGACTATGGGCAAGTGTATCCTGCCATCACCCCTCCTGATCCCACAATTTCCTCTTTCCACAGGCTTCTGATGTTGCCTTCCGAAGGAGCACCTTCTGCTCTGCGCCTTCCCTACATAGACTTTAAGGACTGCTTCTAAAGCTCCACAGTTCGAGAGCTGTGCAACAGCATGGCACTTTACACCAGCTACTGTCCTCACATCCTGCAGCTGTCCTTGGAAGGAAAGTGGGTGGTCGGAGCCTGCGCGTGCATGCGTGTGCGCACACATGCGTGTGTTAAACTTTTTTCTCCTTAACCTGTGGAATTGGTTTACGCTTTATTCTTTTCGGTGTCAGGCAAAACCCTTTTTATTTTCCCATTATTTTAATGTCTAGTTGGTTTTAACTAGAATTTTATTATCTTGAGTTGCTGGATGCTGTGCTTGTTTTGCTTAATTTTATTTGTTCTTTTATTGTAAGCCATCCCGAGACATCAGTGGTGGACAGGTTAGAAAAGCTTTGAATAAATAAATAAATAAATTAAATTGTTAGTGAAACTGCTGAAATTCCTTTTACAAATTATTGAGCGTTAGCAGTAGGTCTCTACAAAAGATCATTTTTAGCGGAAACAGTTCATTTTTAAAGTAAGTGTGCTCTAATCTGAGAATATTAGAGCATGCTAAAAGAACAATTGGTTCTATGGGAGGGGATGCTGTAAGTGTTCATTGGCTATCATGACAAAGCATTACAAAGCCCTTTTGCTTCCGTGCTGCAGGTTCAGCTTGAAAATTAAACCGATTTAAGGTATGGCACAGATGTTTCATTGATCACACTTTCACAGGAAATCTAATCTGTCACATGTCTCATAGCACAACCAAGACAATCACAAAAATGAGTATGCAAGAGGTCACAGTCACAGAATCAACTCAGAAGGAGCAATTACTGAGCAAATAATTTCTAACGATCTTTTGATGCATATGAACAAACAGTTCCCAATCACTGATTTGATTAGTGAAGTTTGCTGTGTTGCAGTCTTCATCTGCGATCCGTGGTTTTCTTATAGGCTTGGAGCATAAGACCACAAAATCCTAAGACTACGGAAGGGTTTGGGGATGTAGCTGCTCATGCTGTGCTGAAGGCCAGTTTCAGAAGCATTGTCAGTTCTAAGCTTCTTGAAGTAGGTCCTTTTTGTTAGTGCTCTGCAGAATGCCACACACAGCAATAGCCTACAAAATAAGACCCTAATGCCAGTTTGATGACATCTGGGGAAGAGGGGCACACACACATGCCTGTGTGGGAAAAATTAAGAATGACTTGCTTTTGTTTGTGTAAAATTCACCACAAAGTCCTCACACTGTGAGAGATCTTAATAATTTAATTTTTTTTTTTTTTTGCTTTTTTGTTTTGTTTTGGCATTCCTGTGCTCCTTCCAGTGCTTTGCTATCAGTTTATTCCCGTACATTATGCTGGGGTAATGAGCTACACCTTATGTTTTGGCAGAGGTGCCTAATAAATACTGTGCTATTATACCAAATAGTTGTTTCAGAAAGGTTGTGTGCGGATGTATAACTTGCCAATAAGACATGTGTTCAAACTGAGACTTACAAAGCCTGCCTGCCCTAGAGGTCAGCTACTGGGAAGCCACCTAGAAGTGTGCTTCTCCGCATCCTTGGAGATGCCATCCCAAGGGCTGCAGCCTTGCTGAAAGTCCATTCCTCATTTTGAGAAAGGAGGTCTGCAAAGAGGAGAACACACTCTTGGGGCATCAGCCAGTCCTCTCCAGTAGCAGTTTCCAGTGGATTAGCTTTCATGAATTGCTCAGAGAAGAGGTCAGGGTACACGTTTTTAAAGGCTTTGTCTGTCAGCCTCTGCGAACAAGCCAACTAGGAGCTATTGCTGCCTGGGAACACTGCAGACTGGCTCTTGCCCACGCACCAGCAATCTAATTTCATAAGGCTAATAAGCAGGTGCAGCTGCCAGGTGTGGTAAATACACAGAACTTCTGATTACCTCATAAAGCCTCAGGTCCTTTTCTTGAACGAGTTTCTTCACAAAAGCCGCAATGAAAAGTATCCAAGCAGCCATCAGTCCAAATGGAAGAGAGTAGGTCACACTAGTTAGGAACCTGTAAAAGCAAAGCAATTATTTTGCTAAATGCAAAGAATATTATATTAGGGAAATATAATTGTCACGATTTTCAGAATAAAAGGCTTTCTACAGGACAAACATGTTTTCTCTGGAACATGAGCAATGAAAAAGACTTGGAACATTCTAGGAACTGGCACATATTTTCCATGAACGGTATTTTGCTAAGGCAGAAAGCTGCACCTGTTAATCTGCAGCTCTTACCACCTTTGTGTTGAACCATGTTTTGGGTAGTCCTCTCTGATCGAAACCTCACCCTCCTTTCTCTGCATGCACTCACATCAGTGCTCAGGGGTCTGTACCCTTCCTGTGTCTGTCAGCTTATCTTGCATTGCAGCACAGCATGTGCACAAGTCACTCTGCTTCACCACGTTCATGGCATCCCAGTACATGGTCTCTGTCCACAAGTGGTGGCATGTTTAACCTACCCATGCCATGCAATGTTAGCATTTCAAACATGTATTAAGTCTTGAAAAGCTGAATTGTCAGAAGAAATCGAAGCTCTGCCCAAGAACTATTGACCTACACAGCATGTCTCTGTACCCTTTCAGGGGGAGATAGTCCTAATAAACTCTCTGCACAAGAAGGTTTGGAATAATTTATGCCAAAAAGGGTAATTCTTCCAAAAGTTCATCTATAAGTCCATAAGAAATTTAGAATCTGAAAACTGAATTTGGAATTTTAGACTTGTAATAAAGCAACAGGAAGTGTATTAATATTTTCCTATTGCCATATACTCATTAAATGATGAGAATGACTGCACTTGTAAACAAATGAGCTATAATTTCACAGTAAATATCATTTTACTTGTACCATCAGGAAAGGGGCTGTGACCTTTTCAGTAGATGAAGAATGAATGATCAATAAGGACTTTTCTGTCACAAGAACAAATTAGTCAGGCTCTCTGTAACCTTTGTTGCCTCCAAGGCAAGTCCCAACATACTCAAAAAGGTTGATTTCCCGGTAAATGCACATAGGATTGCAACCCTAAGTTTTACTTCTGAATAAGCACGTATATGATTGAGCTGCTAAGAATGTAAACCTAATCATATTTTCTTAGAACTAAGTTTCACTGAAGCTGAACTATTTTGTAATCCTTAATTAATACAACAAAGTATGGGTTAGCTGTAGAACCGCTATTGATATTCTTGAGTTACTTAAAACAGTTGTGCCTGAATTGAACAATTTATTGTGAACATGATAGCAATAACTAAACCATGTAAGTGAAGTAAAGAAATCAAACCTTATGCCAATTATTAATGACTATCTTATAAAGAAGTGATACATAATGGAGAGTAAAACCTGTCTTTATTCTTAAATTTAAGGCACAGCCAACTGGATGCTATACAGTCCAGCCACAATGAATCAAAGAATTATGGAGTTTGGAATAGGAGAAATAGTATATTTTTTCAGGCTTTTGCAGGAACAGTCTAGGAAAGCCTAACATAGATTATGAAAAGTATACAGTGGTGGAGTGACTGGGTGCATTTAAATATTGTTTTTGCAATGGATTTGGATCCACACTCAAATTTCCATTACATCTAAACCATACAATTTGAATGGGATCTCCAGCCAGACTTGCAAGCCGCAGTTTGGAGGTCTCTCTTGTCCACAGTTGCCAGATCAGGCATGACTGCAGTTTGATCCAAACAGAAGTATTATATTAGTGAAACCCAAAATAGCCAGTGAAACTGCAACCATGATTTAGTTAGAGACTTACAAGTCTTTGTTGTAGCAAGGATAGGGTATAGCTTGAATTTGTACAGCAATTTCTTCTGCACCTTTCCCAGTCTGCAATTCAATTATTGCTCTATCAATACTATCCTGGAGGTAGACAAATGCTCGACTGTAGATTTGGCTCTGTGAGGCTGAGTTATGTGGACCCACTGTCCAGATTCTTTCTCTAATTCTTTTTGTTGTTTGGGAAATCTTGCTGCTCATTCGGATGGTATAATTGACTAGTGGTGGGAGGGACAGACCACCTGGGATCCCTCTCTCCTCCCTCTTCCCATCTGTGGGCAGCTTGAAAATGACACCTTTAGAAAATGAGAAAGAGAGACAATTATATTTCCCAAATCTTCCAACTCTGGTGACTGATGCTTATGCTTTAAAAACATTAGAATGAAAATGCACATCATAGGAAGACTGCAACAGAATTCTACCTGCTGCAAGGACGGCCTGCTCTCTCCATCCTTGACTTTTGCTTCCCAAATGACATGAGGTTCCCTGTGGTCCAAGGAGGATATCCATTTTTTCTCCTCCACCCACCTGCTGCTTCAGCCAGACTATCTACCATTTAATTTTTCCAAACACTGTGCTTGTTTATGGATTAAACATTTTTTTCAGTAACAACCAGAGAAAGAAAATCCAACCATCTAGCATCTGACTCTTACAAAATTGTATAATCTCATGGAAAACTTTCACAATGTGTTTCCCTCTACTACAGGTGGTGGAGCGACAGTGACTTAGACTGTGGAATCAAGTTTGCAATTAAATCAGCAAAATTTTATGTCAACCATTAAAAACTGCTAAACTAATTCTGTTCAGGATAATTGATGGAGAGTGTAAAGAAATGACACAAGAAGAGCTTATCACCAGGGTAATATTGATAAGTGCAATACTTCTGTGAAGTAAGTGTGTTTTTGAAACAGAAAGTTGGTACTAGAGGATTTCGAGCTCAGTCCTAATGGAAAAATAGTAACATTTATACACTGCCTAATATACTAAAGATGCAGCAGGTTAATACACAAGAATTTAAGACCCTAATTCTTCTTCTACATAAATAATTTTGCAAAGATCTGATCACTATATAATACCAATGTCGATGCCATGTCTTGACCTTTGATTGAAAATTGTTTCATTTCAGTGACCATCTCCAAGTTCAGCTGATATTACTTACTTCCCAAAAGCTCATTTTTCAAAAAAAGATCCTTTGCCACTATTTCCAGTTCATCTACAGTCCTGAATGGCTTAATACGATCAAGCAGCACACATGAGGAGACATTAATGGCTAGTTCTGCTAAGGTGCTAAGTTGATTTATGATGTCAGCATTGTTCTGCAGTTCCAAACGTATGCCATCTGAGGGGAACACAAAGCAAGAACGCCTTAACCCATGAAATACAAGATGTGATCCTTCTTCAGATATCACAGGAAAACCTAAAACTTAGAAGAAATTATGCTTAGTAGATTCTGTTGAGAGACTCCTAAGGCTCAAAAAAATCTAGCATTTGTGAATGGCCTTGTTCTCACAGACCTGCTCACAGCTTTCTATGTGAGGGTTTTAGCCATGCAATTTTTTGTACCTAGGGAACAATCTGTTTCTCTCTCTCTCTGACTACACATACCTGCATGCACATATTTGTGATCTAATCAATACCTCTTATTACAGTAAATTGACATAAATCATTATTTTTGGATATCAACCATCTCTGTCCAATTACACAAGTAACAAAGAGCCGTGGACAAGGAATATAATATCAGTCATGTAATGGGGAGTGTGTGAAAAGATGTCCATAGTATTGGGCCCAGAAGTCCCCAGGTGTGGCTATTAGTGTCTCCAACAGGAGTGAAGAGCACCCATCCCTTTACGTGAGAAAAGATAAAAGAGTATAATCAGGAAACCCGGTGAGTGCGAAGGCCAAAGATGCCCTTTGCTCCTGGGGTACCCAGATTCCAAACAGGAGCGGGTTTGGCCTCTTTCACAAATGCACCTCAGTTACTTGGTCCTACAGCACTTAATGGGACCCACTTAAAGTAGAGTTTTCAGTGGCTCCTGGGAAGAGCACCACACCAAGAAGACTAGCCTTGCCCCAGGCTCTGTCCAAAGAGGAAGCAGCTATGGGGGAGTGTGCTTTACTGTTCCTTATGGGAAAGGAAACAGATCCAGTTGCTTGTAGCCCTCTTCCTGGAGTGATATGGGGCAGATCACACTATCTTCTTGTCACTGGCCATTGCATAGTCAAGCACCACCTCCTTATTTGTACTTTTGTACAGCACCCAGTTAATGCAGGTGCTCTGGAAAGTACTGTGAGTGGTAGTGCTGGTATGACTAGTGTTTCCTGCCATGATGACCAGTGCTGCTGCCGCTGCTACTACCCTTATGACTACCTGGTTCCAGATGGGCTTCCATTCCTTAGTCACACTCAGGCATAATGGCAAAGGAGTAGGAGGTTGGGGGGCAACAACGGACAAGTCAAGGCTTTGATATGTAAAATTGCAACACTGCGGAGAAGCAACTAACCATGTGGAGGATTAATCTGTCTTTTCTCTTTGAACTTGTCTGCATAACTACTGCATTACTGTAGAGTAGCTTCAGGGAGCAGAGCCTGCACCTAAGACTTTTCAAACTAAATTTCCTTCCAGGAGCTGATCTATTTATTTTGCAGACCTTCAGTAAATATTCCATTATTATAGCAAACAGCATACTCCAGTGGCCAGAAGTCATTAAGACAGCATGTGGCAGATGTTTCCTTGCTACATGGATATATATTCCAGGAATATCTTAATTTAAAGTGACAGAGATAGCACCTAAAGTTATTTTTCTAATCATGTGGATGTCAGTTGCTTCCAACTTGGGTTTGCTTGCTCCTCCTGCAACACAGGCCTATCTGAGTATGAAGCAGAAGAGAAGCTTACAAATCCCAGCTGCAGAGTTTCCAGCAACCCATCAAAAGCACTTTTTGTAGATTCAGCAGGCATGGAATAATTTTTCTAATGTCTATTAGCTGGCAGAGAACAATGCTCATCTGAGTACACATGCTCTGCCTATGGGTGGTATAGAAATGTAATTAATAATAATACACTGATGAGATAAGAAAAGAGTGGAAGAAAATTTTAAAAAGCATACACTACAATCAGCTAAAGGTATAATTCTGTGCATGCTCAGACTGAAAAGACTCCTACAATTCTCAACATTCCTGGCTTGCTAAGATTTTTTGCCTAAACATACACAATTTGTTTTGAATTAAGGCACACGTTTCAGGGTATGCTGGTATACAAAGTTGTCGGAAAGAAAATCCAGTGTCATCTGGTTGCTCCCATCCACTGAAGGAATGGCATATACCAGCAGAGTGAATTCCTTCTCCCCCTTGCAGCCCCAGTTTCAGGGGCAAGGAGGGAAAGGAGTACCGGAAAGCTGATGCCTGAATGGAAATCTGGATGTAGTCCAAGATTTATTTATGTCAGCACATAAGCATATCACACACCCCTTTGTCTGCATGTACATACACAAGAACATTGCTTTCTGCAGTGTGCATGCAAAGGACAAGCAACGAAACAAAGTGAAGAGCAAGAAAAAACCGTAAATAAGATTCAGACCACGTACTCCCTGCCAGGTTTTGACAGCAGTATTTCAAATGTCTACTGCCAGACAGAACAGTTTGCATAACCATATTCCGCAGCAGTTCTTTGATGGGAGTCCCAGAGGCATCACACTTTTCCAGACATCCTCAAAAGCCTTGTAAAGACTGTGCAGTGAAAAGTGCTGCAGAAGTAATCCAGGATTATTTTGATTTGTCCCCAGAATGATTGGTCCTTATGGGCAGAGCCACTAATTATTCCCTAAATGGGAAGGGAAACCCTGTTTACATCTTGGCACTGAGGCTGGGCTTTGCTCTCCCACCCAAGAAACAGATGTCTGAACATGGAATGAACTGAATCCAAATTGCCCTCCTAAAAACACAGCTCCACTGTGGACTGAGTCGGTGAGCTGTACTCCGACATAAACACTAAGTGTTTACTGAACAGAATCTCATATCAGCTTGTAATTATGTCTATCAATTCTGCTAAAAAGAGGTTTTCTGCATCTGTGTCTCCATTATCATCTTATAAAAATACCACTGAATGTACTGTTTTTGCCTGTAAGAGGTGTCAGGTGCCAATATTTCAAAATGGGAATTGGATTAATGATTTGGACAAGAAATTGCTCCTTTGTCTTTACTGAAGCTTTGTCAAGATAACCATTTTATTTCCATTATACAGAATTAGGAAACTGAGGCCAAAAGAGTGATTTGCCATTCAATAACAGCATTGAATGCTATTCAAAGGGCTACCATTTGGCTTCACAGGTCCACATTCTACAACTGTGGTTTGCACATCTTTGCAAGTCGAACAACCTAAGGCGCAGGGGAGATTGTGTTCCTTTTGTTCATGTTTCTGCCGAGAACCAGCTCTGTGATATGGGTATGAGTCACAGAACCATGCACTAGGAGTGGGAGTGGGGGACTTTTAAAAGTAGGTTTGTAAGAACTGGGGGCATAAACGGAGCACGGATACCCCCCTACTTCATTTGCAACACATTTCAGCCCTTTCCCAGGTCTATTGCCTGGTGTAGTGTGAAGCCAGAGCCATGCGAACGCTGGACTGGGGAACTGAGAGATCCAGGTTCTAGACCCCACTCGGTCACAAAGTTCACTGGGTCCCTTTGGGCCAATCAATCACTCTCAACCTAACCTACCTCATAGGGTTGTTGCGAAGGCAGAATGGAGGTATGTAAGCCGCAATGAGTTCCTCACAAGGGGAAAAAAGCTGGGATATAAGCACAATGTAATAATAACGACAAAACCAAAGCTAGTCTTGCAGGTGTCCATATTTTACATATATCTGCATACAAATTTTTACCCCCCCCACATATCCACATAATCTTCACTATGTAGCCACACGTCAATAACTTTTGGATGGGATGAATGTGTATCACAACTTACCCAGCTCATCAAGTTGGAGTAAAAGATCACCAGCATCCAGCTGCACCATGACTTTGATGAACACTTGCACAAAAGGGTTCTGCAATGTATTCTGTGAAACAGTGGGATACATTTGTTTAAACCATGACACTCAAGTGTATCCAGTCACTTTTCAAAACTAGACCTACAGTTATTAAAGCAAGAAGAAGGTCCCCTGGGAAGAAAAAGGCTTGGATGGTTCCCAGGGAAGGCAAGAGCTCTCCAGCCTTCAGCATAATGTGTGTGTTATGACACAAAATTAAGAGGCCAAACTACAGGAGCTGAACCTGGAGTGAGGAGGAAGTTTAGCTGGGGTTGGAGGCTGAGATCTCAGTGAAATTGCTCTCTAACATGTGGGCCACACCAGGAATAACATAATTTTGCCATATGTATCATATAGCAAGGACATAGAAAAGGTCTTGCGCTTTGTCAAACTGGCTGTCATCATACAAAAATTCCTCAGGGCTGTATCTCTGACACCGCAAAACCTTCCTCACATGAGCCCCCCGCCTGCCCCACACACATACACACTGTGTCCACTTCCTGTATCCTGTGTAATATTGCTTAACTCAAAGTAATTTTCTATTTGAACCCGTGTTGATGTTAAGTCACATGTCAATCTAAAAGCATATTGAGGGTCTGGGGGGGGGGATGGTATTCATATGAAGTGAGAGAGCTGTAGGAGAGTGTGTATGTGAGGGTGGATATAGGATAAGGAAAAAAAATGTAGTGAGCTATAAATGGCAAGCAGGTTTGAGTCCAGGTAAATCTTGCCACAGAGTAGTTACAAGAATCACCTGAAGCACATTCCAAATCCAGCTGAAAACCACTTTAATTAACAGTTCTAATATGAATGCTTCATATGAAGGTTTTAAATAGACATACCTGAGGTAAACAACACTCACCCTTCACCATAATGAGATAAATTCATTTTCCTGACATCCAGATGAATTCCGTGTTGGAAAAAGTAAAATGTAAATCACCCCTAAGGCTTCCTATGAGCCTTGCACAAGTTAATAAGTTCTGGTGCTACATCTAGTTATGTCAAATACTCTATCATCAATTTCATTCACTGCTATAGGTTAATACAAACATTGCTTGATAGAGGACGGTTGCAGCCTTGCAGCAAAAAGCAAGAAAGTCATTGCAGCCAGGGAGTGAGCACCAGAAGTGACTAGAACAAGCCACATCCAGTTTTCCAAGTTTGAGCACCCTGCTACAGAACCATTGCCATCCTCTTGCCCCTTCTAGCATAGCCAGCACCTTGTGTGTCCACACCTGGAGAGCAGGCAGTTCTACTGCTGAGGGACAGACACAGAAAGGGTGGCCTCATTTTAGGAGAAAACACATTATTTGAAACTCATTCTCACTCACACAACAATTGGATTCAAATTAGTATAGAACAAGGCCGTAAAGTGGTTGCACTTCAAAAATAAAATTACTACAAAATATAAATAGCCCACAACAGCCTTACAGAACGAATCTACAGCCAGAGGAAAAAATATACTTAACACTAAGGAACAGAATGCTAGCTCTCTCAGCCATTTAATCAGTTTCTAAAAAGCCATGTCTTTGTCTTAATTAGAAAACCAACAGCAACAGGGCCAAACAACCTTTGGCTGGCAACTGGTGCCACAGTGAAGGCACCACTGCTGATGGCTTTACTATTAACAGAATATACTTCCACATCTCTAGTGTCTCACTGTCAAGATTATACTAAGAAATTATTGTTGGCTGATCTATAAATCCTAATTGTTTGGGTTCAGGGGCAGGAAATTTACATGGTCAAATGAAAGGACATGAGGCATCAATCATTCGGGTGCCTCAGACTTCTGCCTTGACATTCAACCATGTGCGCGCACACAACACACACACATGCACTCCTTCATTCACTCACTCACTCACTTCAAGGCAATCTTCCTCCTATTTGTGGCATATGGGAGAACGGCCGGCCGCAAGGCGGACAGCAAGGCGAGTCGATTCTTTGTCATGGATAGAACAGTGGCATAGTAAAGGCTTTTGCAAGCAGAAGTCTGGGGAATGGTCCTCCTTCTGTGTGAAGCAGGTACTTTCCTCAGTCTCCATTTGTATGCTCAAGTCACCAGCACAGGGAGTCATATTTCCCTAACCAGAGAGCACCCAGATATGCTGGTGTTCCACACTGTGGGGTACATTGCATAATTGTGAATACAGACCCGCACATCCGTTATCATGAAAACAGAGAGAAAATACAAAAATACAACATCTGTTAATAAGCAGGAGAGTAAACATGTCATACCTTCAGTACAGGAATAGTCTCCTTTAACAAGCTCTGTGAGTTCATAAGCAGTGGTGAACTGTCCAGCCACTTCTGGGATTTTTGTATTAAATCAGCCATCAGCTTCAATGTTGAATTAGACTTCAAGAATCAAAACAAACCAAATAGTCAATAGAATGTTCATCTAGCCAAATAAGTGAATACATGGAGTAGAGTTCTCAGTACGAAATTTCAATCTTAGTCATTAACATCCAGTCTTTACTTGCTGCGCCAGAATATGGATATTGGGGCAAGATATACTAACAGATATAGCAGCATAATGGCATATGCCAGTAGGGCAGCCATTGTTTTGAAGGCAAATATGCCCGCACAAATGTTGAGAACACATATGTTGGAGAACCTGGGATTGTTTCCAGTCTGAGACCATTATTATTTCACTGAATAGTAATTTCTGGGCAGCATCCTATTATCCTTGCTTGCTAGTGGGACAAACTGCAAGTGCAACAGGATGCAAATGGCTGAAGCATTCTGGTTAAATATAGTTTATATTAAAGGTAAATAGTTAAAGCAGCCCACAACACGTGGAAACACTTGTTTCCAGAATAGCCCAGTCCAGAAATGGCATTTCCACTGGTTTCTGGGGTTTCTTTCCCAAGTGGCTACTCCCCACTGGGCAAGAGGCAGATCCTCCAGTGCAAAGCCACCTGCGGGAGCGGGAGCCTTGCTGCACAACTGTGCTGTGAGCTGCTGTTTGTACAAAGCCTCTTCCAACCAGCTCACACATTCTGAAGGCAGATTAACCTTAGGAGTTCTATGGCTTCCCAAGGCTCTGGAGAAGCAGCCTTCTAATTGGTGCCTGCTGCAAGTGCCAAATGTTTTCTAATCACTGAGAACTATTGATTTTATTGAGCATGGAATTACCTTTTCCATGATTGCTTCTGTTTCTGGAGTGTCTGGTGTATACAAAATCCTCCCAAACAGCATGGGCTTTAGGAAAGACCAAATTAAAGCTCCAGTAGGTGTCCTAACCAAGTCCAAAAATAACGATAAGCAGAATGGTGCTATGAAAAAAGAAAGTTGGGAGGGGGGATTAACACAGAAAACACCAATACACAAAGTACAAAGGATGCTGGTATTGTGGCCTGCCAGGAGCAGCTTCTTGAATCCCTGGGAAGCCCTGCCTTCACATTCTGATGTGATGCCATTTGACAAAGTTAATCCTTCCTGAAGATCTCACATTGCTGAACTCAGCTAACAAGGTTTTCATTGTTCCAGCAGCCCCTCTTCTGTTTAAGGTTAAATGGAGCTTTTGAAGCTCAGAGGAGCTAATGTCAGTACAGTTGAAAAAACAACTCCTCCAAACAAAAGCAGTGACCTTTTTTAATACAAAAGCCAAACTCATGGAAGTACTGAGGTTCGGCAAGTATTAAAGCCACTGTAAGTATTGTCTACATTTCCTTCAGTTTTTGGATATGGACTTTGTTTCACTGAAAGGGTTCAAACTTGTATTTCCTTAAAAGAATCTGCTGAAGGCCCTGCAACCATGCTTTTCTCTTTTGCTAAAGAAGTCCTTACACCTCTGTAGAACGTGCCTTGCAAAAATTGATCTTACTTAGATAGAAAGCTCCTGAAGAACATGGGAAGCTGCCACACTATGAGTCAATTAACCCAGCATTGCCAATAGACCAATGGTCTGACTGGCAGCACCTCTTCAAGGGCAAGGCCTCTATCAAGAACTGGACTGAAACTCAATAGCCCCTCCTTCCTTGTGTCACTTTACTATTACGTAGGTTAATACAGACATGAGCAAATCTTTGCCATATCTTTTTGAAAGGAAAGAAAAATTGGTGCTGAATCTTATTCTAGCAATATGACTTTTAAACTGTATGAAGAATCCTACAATTCTATTGGCTATTTGAATGGGTTTTGGAAACAGCCTACAGAGTAGAAATGCATTTTACCCTAACAACCTTAGGAAAAATGGTTCAGAAGAGCATTTGTGGCAGTGGGAAAGGAAAGAAGAGAACTATGCTCGGGCCAGTTCCTAGGCCACTTCTGTTCCTTCCAATGGCATCCACAAAAGAGAGGTTCTTGCTGGATTGTGCACCATGCCTCTGTGTGTGTACACGTGCATGTGTGCACCCTTAGGCTTATTTACAACCCGAGAATTTCAAGACAACATTGACTTCAGATGCATTGATTGTTGCTTGGTTTACAGGACAGCAAGGTCAAACAGTAGCTGAAGAAGAGGGAAAAGGGGGGAAGAAAAAGAGACCTTAAGCATGTTAAGACCTCTTGACTTGCCTCTGTTTTCTCAACTCATTATAACAATTGGTGTCAATAGGCACCTAATCATGAACAGAAGCTTACAGAAGTTAATTGGAATGTGCATCCAGGATAACTGTTCTGAGTCAACAACCTTGGGAGCTGCTGGTCATCTAAATAAGCCCTGTATGGTAGGCATACATTTGCTCTTGTATAAAAGCTGAAATAACAGTGTATGCTTTCCTACTAGGAGAAAGGGTAGCCATCTGGGGGTGCTCTCCCTGGAACTTGACTGTGTAGTTAAGGATAAATGCACTGCAGCTGAATCCAGACAAGTTGTAAGCAGGCACTTCAGTTCTTCCAAGGAAACAGGCTTATTTGGAATCCATAGCATACCTGTGTGCCACTGGATCAGAACTGAAATCTGGATCCACAATTTCTGAAAAAGCATGCTGTTTCTATGGCTGACTTCACTTTTAGATTAGGTAAGTACTTGCTAGGTCCTTTTCTGTGGATTACTAGCAGTGGGATGCACGTTCCAGTGAGCATTCCAACCCACAGCTGGTGCAGCTAGCCATTGTGATGGCCAGCCAACTGCTCCTGCAATAACTCTTCCATGCATCACAGAGTGAAGGCGGAGCAATATCTCCACATGTGCAGAAGTCATTCAGAGAAGCAAGGCCATCTGAGACACTGCAGACTTCCGATGAATGCCTAACAGCATGAGGAGGCAGAGCAGAGCAGCTTGCAGAGATAAGGAGATGGATTTGCACAGTCCCAAGTGTGGCTAAAGCATTGCAATGAGATTGGGTTGAAAGTTTCTTAAGTCCCACTGATTTGGACGGGACTTGGTCACAACTTGTTCCTGCCTGACCTTTTTGCTGGATCGCACCTTTAACACTTTGCAATGTGCTTCAGAGATCACACTTATTAACAACTCACTGGAATCCTGTGGAATGCTGTACTTCTTCATAATATATTGTACATGCTCATCTTCTATAGAAGAATGGTGAACATCCTGCTCTTCAAAATCAGGTAGCAAAGTTTCAAAAAAGAGAGGAGTGATTTCCTGGTTGCAGAAAGCTTTAGAAATAATTTTAAATGTCTGTCTATTCATTGTCAGGTTGCTAGTCTGAAACAATGCCTATGGAAGCAAACAGAAGGCACACTGAGGAAATGAAGAGCTTATTAGAGAGAGGATTTTGTCAAGTGAGATATGATAGCATTCAAGTAATGTATGACATAACACTTATATTGCAGCATATAACACAGGAAAGTGGGTGAGCATAACTAATACAGTGGTACAGTGGTAATCCGCTCCAGGACTCTGGTCGTGACCCAAATTGGTTGTGAGCCAAGTTAAATTTCCCCATAAAGTTCAATGTAAATAAGGTTAATCCGTTCTGTAACCATTGTTTTTTAATCAGAAAAATGTGAAGCAAAGTGACAAAGAACAACAAAGATCGCAGCCAGCTGCCCCCCGCCCCCCATGCACAGCTGAGATCGCACCTGTCATCCCTGCACGCGCCCATCATCCTGGCACGCTGGTGGGGGGGAGAGGCGGGCGCACTGGGGGAGGGAGAGATGGGGGCGATCTTGGCCATCTCCCCCCCCCACCCCCAGCACGATAACGGCCATCTCCCCACTTGTGGGGAGGGGAGATGGCCGCGATCTTGCTGGTTGGGGGGGGCGAGATGACCGAGATTGCGCCTGTCTTTCCTGCATGAGTGCAACTGCGATCGTGGCCATCTCCCCACTCGGGGGTGGGGGAGATGGCTGCGATCTTGGTCACCACCCAATGCAGAGTTCGCGACCCAAGTCAAAATTTTCATGAAATTTTTGTTCGTGACCCGATTTGGTCATGAACGAAGGCGTTCGTGAGCCGAGGCACCGCTGTACTGTGGATGGGTCGCTATGCTGACAAAAGTTAAGATAGTTAACCGGGCCATGAAATGTTTCACCCTAACTGGCTTACTCATGGGTATATGAAGATGAACAAGGCAGAAATTGCCACTTCAGATGCTAAAAACAACCGTGGTAAGTGCAACACAGATAGATGAAGGTATTTCAATTGCTTAGGATTAATCAAATTATTTCCTACCATGGTAGATAAAAGCTTTATAGTATATTACATCTGATTTATAAACTGTCTCATCACAAAAGGAGCCTTCCCATTTTCAGCTATATAACCAATGGACACCTACTGAATCAAGGTAACAGTTTTACCTACTACAAGCATGTAACTGGCTTACTAATGCCGGGACATTTATGTTACCAGCAACACTGCTTTGTGAATAATCACTACAGCTATTTTACCTGCATTAAGCTTTTCTCAGAGGTGATATTTTAACATTTAATCGCCCTCTGACCTCACTGCTTGCAATGTTTCCCCTCTACAGCTGCTAAGTTAGGATAACATTTCATGTTTCTGATGAAAAATACCCTGGTCCATGAAAATGGATGTTACAATACAAGTGTCTTGCTTTGGCTGCAATAGAGTAATATGGCAATTGCTGAGGACGTGCAATTCTTCTCACACAAGTGATATAGGAAGACAAAGAGAAATAAGACAAACATACAAACATCTTGAATAAACCTGATCCACTACAAGCTTCTCCTTCCTACAGACATCTAATATAAAATCTTGCTTTGCTACTTCCCTAAAACAGTTCATAGGAAAAGCTGTTTGACAACCTACAAATGCCTCCCCTATATTCTTTGTCTTGGACACTGAATCTCAGACTTATGTGGATTAAAGGCCTAATTCAGACATGCACAACATTGTCAGTCTCCTGGTCTGTACATGTATGTGATCAGGCATACTCCTCCATGCATACAGGTTAGACTAAATGGGACATCCAGTATGAGTGCATCTGGCCAGCACTAAACAAACTGCGCTGGCTGCCAGTTGGTTCTGGGCAAACTTCAGAGTGTTGGAGTTAAAGGACTTAAAGCATTGAATAGCCTAGACAAATCTGAAGTACCCTGCCATGCACACCTGTGTGAAATCCTCTTCAGATGCCCGGCTCTGAATGTCCCCAATTTCTGAGGCAAACTGGGTGGCCATGAGTATTGGCAACTCCTTTATGGAACTTCCCCTCCTATCTCTTCTGCAGGTGCCTGATCTGAGTACAGTGGTGCCTCGCAGGTCAAATGACTCTAACTTCAAACGATCCAGAGTTTGAACATTAGAGTTGAGATGAAAATCACTCCACAGTTTGAAAGGTGCTTCTAAGTTCGAGCTGCGAGCAAAGTAAAAAAATGAGGTTGCAGTGAAAACTTCATCAGTTGTGTGCCCAACTGAAAAACCAAGCCTTGATGTCCTGAACTGATTTGTCCTGAATCTACTCATCTCAGATTGATCCACCTTGTCTTAACTTGAATCAATTCAGGATATCGAGGCAGCCACAACAGTGCTGGGGCAAGAGCGTTTGAAGAGAGAGCTGAGTAGTTTGAGGGTGATTCATGGCGGTGTCTTTTACTGTAATACTTTTGCTGTAATGTAAACATTTACTGTATTTTTTGATCACACTTCGTATATAACTTGAAGTTAATTCATTTCAGGAGGCCGTATTTGCTGTTTAAGTTTACTGAAATGGGTGTTGTTTAGGGTCTGGGAACAGATTAATTCACTTTCCATTATTTCTAATAGGGAAGATTGCGTTGGACTTTGAACAATTCCGAGTTCAAACGGCATCCTGAAACGAATTAAGTCTGAAGTATGAGGCACCACTGCATCTTTAAGCACCATCTTTCCCAAGTTATTCATAGCTTTGATGGTTCTTAAAATGTCTTTTAAATGGTTACAGTAGAGCAGTGTTGCTTATATGGTGCAGGGATTGAATTCATTCTTTCTCTAAACCCCGTTCATGAGATGTGGGAAAAGATTCTGCATCAGATCAGGTGGAGGGCTCAGAATCCATGGGTGAAATGCCAAGGCTAGAGAAATTGGAGATAAGTCAGGCAGTTCGAAGAGTCGGTTTCAAATACTGTGGGAAAACTCTCTGGGTACATTAAAGCCAGCCTTGCTGATCAGCATTAATATAATAAAGCTTTCTAGTAGGAAAGCCATTGCCTGGGTCTGCTTAAAAGGAGGAGGAGAACAGCTGGAGAAATGGTTGTTTATGTCATTTCAAAGAGTTCTGTTTGTAAGCCACCTTGAAAATGTTGAGTTGAAATGTGGGCTAAAATATCTTAAATAAGTAAAATTGCCAAGTATGATTGATAAAGAACTGCTGGATATAGTCAACCCTTCACTGTGACTTCCTGGCTCCTGTGATCCTGTATGAAGCCCTTCCCACAATATATGGTGCAGCCGTAATCTCCTTTCTATGTATAGTATACACTTTACTGATATTTTAAAATTCTGGTAAAGCCAGTAGAGATTCCCATTTTTCAGTATTCACCCAGAGGGAATTATATTCTCAAGCAAACTGGCAGAGAAAAACTAACCTTAGAAATGGGTGTACTTCTTGACTGCTGCAGTTCTTTAAGGGTATGAATTGCATCTAAGAGTGGGTGTACATCTGATGCAACCTGTTTCTTGATGTGGTTCAAATCTTTGAGGAGATCCAACACCTGATCCAAGGAAGTTTGCAGTTCTTTAGGGAAAAGCACCTGTACAGTAGCCAGGACAAATGGAGATCATAATCAACACTACACACACTTGCTTACAAGGAGCACAACCCAGGCAAAATTAAGAACTTTAACTTTCAGGAATCAATACGTCATAAAAGAATTTAGCTTCAGCTAAACAGGATTTAAAACTACTTATATTTTTGTTCAAATATTCCAGCACTGCCTACCTTTCCGTAATCAACTGATGGGTGCTGACAGTTTGGCTAGACTGGACTAAAACAGAAAGCTCTCCACAGTAGGAGAACAATCTATCTTCATGAAAGAAAATAATGAAAATGGGTAGAATAACCATCAAAAATTTTGCCTGAATTTCTGACAGCACTTTCTTTCATTGTGAATAATAGATAGTAATCCAGCAAGACATGCCTACTAGTAAAACTGGATTCCTTCCTGGAGTTTTGCCCTTCAGCCCACCCATACAGAGTGCTGCATGGCTGAGGCTGAAGATCTGCATGCATTTCCTGAGGTGCATTCAGTTCATGCTTGTGTTATACATGCAGCAGCTCTGAGCAGATGTTCCACACCAACACAGATAGGCAGTGGGGAGACAATTAAGTGGGAGCCAGAGGCCCGGCACAGCCTGGAGGCATGAGTGCAGCAGAGGGAATGCAAGTTTCTGCTGCATTTGGATACCTTCGGATCACAGCAACTGCTTATAGACTTTGTCTAGATTAGCTTTATAGGCAGATTAAGACAGAAGTAAGGAAGTGGCATCCCAAATGAAAACAGTTGAAGATTTCTCAGAAAATCTCTCTTGCTTTAAGCAGAGCAGTACAATTTTGCAGATGCGTATTTCTTCTGTGTTTCCTTGCAAAACAACACAGGGAAAGAGGTTTCTGCATTTTAACAACTTTGGGCAGTACAGAACATTTTTCAGAGTTGTACCTGCCATAGGCAGCTGGGGATTTTAAGTTTCCTGAACGCAGCTTATTGTTCCTATTATCAATTCCAGGACTTATGGCTGACCATTCACATTATCGTGCAGAGCATAAAACCCCACAACAGATAGAGAGCAGAGGCACAGCATGCCTAGAGAAACAGAGCTTCTTGTCAGAAATCTGACCTTCCCCTGGGTGTTACCAATGCATGGTCCTACAGCACCTCAAATTCTGCCTTTTATGCCACCCCCAAAAGAACCATCCAGGAAACATGAGAATCGGGATCTTGAGCCTGCAAGGTGGAATAAAATCATATTCTCATGGAGATCAGGTTTTTCTTCCTTTCATACTGCCAAGATTAGAACAAAATTTCAGGATGAGAAGAAAGAACCAAGGGGAAGAGACCATTCTCAGCTTCATTTGAAAAGATTTTGTGCTATTTCTCCTAAGCATGTGTCCATCACGGCTCCATCTCTGCTGCACAGTTATGGTCAGGAGCTGTCCCCACCCTATGAGTCAATGTCTCAAAGACCAAATCTCGGGGACTTGGCAAGTTGATTGCCGTGTGGAGACATCCTTATGAGGCAAAACATCAGCCTACAGCTGATGAGTCTGGACATCTCTCAGAGTTTTAGTCTTCCTGTCAAGATCTGAAGATGCAGGCCTGAATCCAAAAGGACAAAGTTGATTTGAGAGGATTATCCACTTTGCCTCTTCCCAAGGATATCAATTCCTGCCAGCTTCCAGCTTCTAGACCTGCCATGTTGGGAAACTTCCACACTGGGAGCCTCAAGAGTCTTGGTATCAAAAATCTCTCTCAATAGAGGATTAAGGGATAAGGAAAACCTGCTCCTTCTGGATTCTGCCTTGCTTCAGCATGGTTACTGGCATAGTAAAAATGTCTGTATTTGAATGCATTCACCCTACATATGGGCTCAATGAATATGGGATTTTGGAGTAGGCAACTGCAGGAAAAATGGATTATTAGAACGTGGGAGTTTGGGAATAGAAATGCATATACATAATTTAGTTTAGTTAAGTATTTGGGTTTTAACTCAAAGTGTCACAATTGGGAATTGACTAGAGTTAATAATTATGAAATCCTACAAAATCATTTGTTTAAGACTCTTCTGCAATGAACTGAATCCTTGAATATATCTACCATAGAAGCACAGCAATGGACAAGGAAGGCTGTGAGCGAACTGTAATTATGGGATGGGTTTCTTGGGTATATCTTAACAGAAGCACTTGAGATCATCATGCACAAGTAGAATCACACAAAAATGCACATACAAAAATGAAATGGGCACAAAGGTTGCTTTGCTTCACCTACTGCAACAAATTACCATATTTTTCACTCTATAAGACACACCCCCCCCCTCAAAAGTAAGGGGAAATGTCTGTGCATCTTATAGAGCAAATGTGTGTGTGCCCGATGCCCGGGATGCTGCCAGCCGCCTGCACCACGTGGCACCACCTGGCTGGCACATGCTGAGCGCGCCCTGCTCCTCCCCCGCCTCTGGAGCAGGTGAGAGCTGTGCCTCTCAGGGGGAGAGGTGTGGAGGAGGAGGAGCCGCGGGCTTTAACCCGCCGGCCGCACGGAGCGACGGACTGCTCACTCCCACCGCCCGGCAACTGCTCACCTCCACCGCCCGGGAAGACCTGCCGCCGCACCGCCCGGAAGACCACCGCCGGCACGCTGCCGGCCCGGCTGCACCACACCTGGCCGGCACGCGCTCGGCACGCCCTGCTCCGCCCCCTCCTCCGGCGCAGGTGAGAGCTGCTAATCACAGGTCAGTGTGTGTTTTCAAATGGCAACCCGTCTTTTAATGAAGCCCATGGGGAAGTGATGGGGAATGTGCCTGTGATTATCAGGAAGCTTTCTATGGATCCCTCCTCTAAAAACTAGGTGTATCTTATAGAGCAAAAAATACGGTATCACTGGTGGACAGAATGAGCATGGAAAAAGCTTCCCCTAAAGACCCAGCTCTCCCCACCCACTACAGCCTTTCCCATGGTGGCTTTGGCAACAAAGGGAGGCTCCAGCTGCCTGAAGCACCCAGTGGAGAGAAGGTAGGACTCAGCACACCGAGTCCTCTCCTTCCACAGCACAAGCGCATCCGTGGCAAAAGGGAGGCACATGCCCCTTGTCCCCGGTCAGCTCACCCCTGCTCTGGTGAGTGCATGCAGACCAGTGCCTGTGTGCTGCTCTCTTGCGGGCAGCCTGTGGGAAGTCAAGAGCAGAGAACTGAATGCATGGCACTGGCATTTTATAGGAAAATGTGTGGGGAGGGACATTCAGAGCCTTTGCTATTTTGTTTTTGTTTTGCAAGTACAGAGGGACTCTACTATTTGCAAATATTCCCTGCTACCTCCTCTCCTTGCCCGTTTGGCAAAGACAATCTACTTCACAAACGTATAGATTTTGCATTTGGACCACATAAAACTGATTCAAGCAATCACTGGGGAATTAAGAGGAAACAAATAATCATCTGTTCATCACTACCATGCTGATTCATTCCCACTCTTCCTTTACAAAATCCAGAGCAGCTTCCATCTCTCATTTGAGCTGAAACTCTGGGCACATTTACCGTGGCGTTGGCCTCATGGAACACAGTCAGCATAGTCAGCTCTCATGTTCACACCCACTTAGCTTCTACCCAGTTGGAGCATTATATATTCCCAGACCACTAGGCGGTGACATTAAGCCAATATAACTGTGGCCCATTAAATTAGGTTCCTTGATTCCCTGGACTTCCTTCCTGAAAGTACAGCAAATGTACAGACAAAAACCTAGAAAGGAAACCTAGGAAGATACTTTTTAAGACACAGCTTGTGGGACAAACCTTGTACATGACATTGTAGATATCCAAGTAATGCAGAAGTGTGACTCCCAAAACATATGCTTTGTGGGTCCTCTCCATGACTGATAGGTTGCAGAACTGCCCGGCTATGACTTCCAGTTCCACGTTGGCAGCATCAGTGTCACAGGACTCCAGCTGGTGTATCTGAAAGATCAGCTGCATTGGCACAGAAGGAAAGCAGGTTTGTAAATGGTGAGTGCTCTCGGATCAGGATGAATTAAGCAGCTCTCTTCTTCAAGCTGCTGCCCAGTGCCAACTTGTACAGGACAGAGCAGCATGTCATTCTCCCTCCAGTAACCTGTAGAGGGAGATTTCCTTGAACTCTGGCAAGCAAGAACAGGAGCTAAAAGATTTGGTTTCTTTTGGCCTTTGATATTAATAAACTTATTTTTGCAGGTCAAACAGTTTGTGACTGGGAGCAAGACATTATTGGTGGAGAGCACCAGGTGACATTCCAGAATTATCCCCTGTTCTCTGGCCCAACAATGCTTAAGCTGGAGACAAAGAACACCTTTTTTAATTGAAAGTGGGCTGAGAGGGCCCGGCTTCCCTACATTGTACATACATATTTTTTATAACACCCCCCACCATCAGAACAGGTTTTCCTGTGTGTGCTTGTTACCCACTCAAGAACCTGCCAGTCAGGTTAGCACAAGCCAAAGCAGGATGAATGCACTTACATTTATGGCTACCCAACCTTACCTTTAAGCACTGGCTGCAATCCTACACACAGTTATCTGGGAGGGAGTCCAAACTTGGTGGGGCTCAGTGGTGAGCAGGCACCCAAAGGATTACACTGTTAGTCTTTATGGAGGAGTACCTTGTAAAACTAATGTGGAGTAGCAGAGTGAACCACTGCTTTGCTGCCTGGCAATAGTTGTGATTGTGATTGTGTGTATTTGTATTTTGATGAACCTTTCGCATAACAATTACCTCTAATTAGGGGCAGCTGGCATTTCACCTATGTATCAGCATCATATTTTCTTCTGATAGACAGGGCGTGATGCTGTAATATTGATCCATAATCTTGAACAAGATGCACCATCAGCTAACAGGCTGATATTGAATGATGGGCAATCATGCTTTCTGACTGGAGGCATCAGTAAGAAACATGACTATTGGCAATATAACCACACTCTGGTTTTTTTTGTTTTTGTTTTACATGCTCAAACAAAGGCATGTAAAACATCACATAACTTGTGACTGAGAACAGTAACTTATTGCTGAAAGACACCAATCCACATTCTAGGCTCTGAGTCCTGAATGTGAAAAGAAACAAAGACACAGCTTGTATCATGCATACTGAACTTGCCTGTGTTTTGTTTCCTCGAAGGGGCATTTCCAGCAAAGTATTGATGCTTTCTGTTGACATTCCTACAGTATTTCTGAGCTCATTCCTGAGGTCATCAACGTTTCTGAACAGATCTATTAGCATATCTTTAAAACATGACAAAGCAAAAATTAAAGATTAGATTTTGTTCCAGTCTTTAGGAAATACCTTTTACACAGAGTGCTTGAAGCAAGCTTTGGAAAAGACGAGAAAAATGCCTCAAGAGTGTCCCCATGTGGTACATTTAAATGCAAAAGAACTGCAAGGGTTCATTCCTATTTTTGTATTATTCCATATTCTTGTGTACAGAGACATCTGAGTCTACTGCATCATTTCAAGACCATCTAGAATTCAGGATTAGGCCACTTGTTTTCTGTTTTCTTTACACATTTTTCATATACATACACATAATAATTATAGAAATTACACCATCTTAAAATCATATTGCTTGAAAAAATCAATATGGTAATCTGTCATTTATTACATTTTGTCCAAATCATTTGAAAACCTAAAAATAAAGTCCAATGGCCCATAAATGAGTTTCTAAATTGCCTTCCTTCTCTAAATCATGCCAAATGAGCATGTTTTACCATCAGCAGTATATTCAATTTGCTTCTCTACCAATTCTCACTAGAAAAGCATCAGCTTTCCATTTAAATGCCATTTCAATCCTAGTTGTTAGCAGTAAGTTAATCACAAATTCTATATTTTCCTGCCTTATAAGATACTTCATTTTTTCCTGAATGGTCTGGTTACTGTTATTCGGATGAGAAGCCGAATGAGCCCCTAATGATAAGGTTGATGTTATAGTCCATAATGGTATTGCCTGAGTGGCTATCCACTATTATAACCCTATTATGGAACTGAATAACATTAGCCATGCCATCAGGGGCTCATTCACCTGCTCACCTTACAACGTGACATACAGTATGCCATCACCTGCCAATAATGGCCTAATACTGCTATATCAGCCAAACAGGCACGGTCTCCATACCATACCAAAGGAAAGGCACAAAAGCGACATAGAATGGAAAGGCTGAGAAGTCAGTGGGAGAACATCTCAGTTTCCCAGGCCAGCCTTTGCTGCCAACCTGAAAGACACTATTATCCACCTGTAGAATTTCAAAGGAAGACTCAAGCATGAAACTGATGAATTAGAATTTAGCAGTAAGTTTGCCTCTCTTCAGGACCCAGTCAAAACCAAGTATTGGTATTTTTGTTTCTCTTTGGTTTGAGCATTTTGTTTGTTTTTGCCCACCAGAGGTGTTACGTTAGCACAGCAAAGCTAGGAAACGCTTGTTATCACCAATTACAGTTTTTGTGAATAGTCACCAGTCTTCCACTGTATACCAGACTTCTCCAACCTGGTGACCTTCAGAGGTATTTGGACCACTACTCCCAGAATCCAGGGCCACTGACTGGGAATTCTGGGTGCTGCAGTCCAAACATGTCTGGAAGGCACAAGGTTGGGGAAGGCTGTTGTAGCCATTTAAACTTTACACAGAAACATCACAAATCATCTCCATGTCATGACCTTTTAGCCCTATCATTAACCATTTTTTCTCCCCATAGCCATGCATGTGTAGCCCTTTCCAGGTGCACTGAAAGCAGTCTGAGTACAACTGTGAATGAGGGGGCTACCCTCTCCCCCTCTGTGGGCATTTCCCTTGCCCCCTTCACACAGAGGGTGACAGAAATGGAGGAGGGCACAGCTACCACAGTCCCTTCGCTCCTGTGTCGACTGTCCTCAGTTCAGAAAAGCCTGAAGAGGGCCCCTGTTACATATGCATCCAACAACTGAGGACAGCAACATTTCATGGACTGGATCCCAAGGGAAACCCAACTGGCAACATAAATTACATTGACAAGCATAAGCTGCTCCAGCAGGAGGACATCAGTGCTAGCTGGCGCTTCACTTTCAGTCTCCACAAAATGGGAGCCCTGTCTAAATGCTATCGCTGTTGTGCTACAGCAGTTTCTGCACATCAGCTGCCATGCCCCATTGGCTCCTGCCCCTAACAAAGGGGGCTCAAGCCTGTGAAAACATCTGTCACAATAAGTTTGTTGAACCTCAGGCACCACCAGGCATTTTGCAGCTGCTGCGGCTTCTCAACTAACATGGCTGCCTCTCTAGAATTTGTTAATTTAAGTGGTGTCTTGTACCATCTGCACATCACTTTAAAGTGATTTTCTCCTTTTAAATTAGCTGCCATAGAGCAATTTCTTCAGTAAATATATACTCCTTTCATACCTATCATCCCAAGGTACACATTTAGCTTTCACTTTGTCTTTCCAACATGTTCTTTAAACCCTTTCTGTTCAGAAAGGCATTTAATTTGGTCAGCTGATTACTCTGTTGCTTTTCTATTGTTTTAGCTGCTGTCTGCTTTGAATGATATATTTTAAGTGTTCCAAATTTTAAAAAGTTATTGTTACACACTTTGTTAGAAGCAGAAAAAGAGGATACATGTTCTCTTACAAATACATGAACTAATAAACATTAGAACAAGTATCTTCATATTATGGCTGTTATTAAAGTGTAAGTATCAGAGCACTGTCCCTTTCTCAGAGAAGTTCCTCTTTATCTGTCAAGTATGAGTAGCAAATCCAGTCCATAAAGAGCATAGCCATTACCTTTGATAGCAAGGTCCTGCAAAATTCATATTTCTTTATTTATTATATTTATACTTCGCTGTGAGAGGGATACTTGTTGGCCTGCCTACCAATGTTGCTGTAGCTGAACATAATGGTGGCATTTCAGGAATGCGTGTGGTGGAATGCCAGGGACAAGCAGTGGGTCCAAGCCGCAGCGGCCGCAATATAAATGGACTGCGAGATATGCAGAGCCCGGAGGCAGGGAAGCTGCAAGTGCATGTTATGAGGAGCATCAAGGACAAGACAAGTTCGGTTTCGCAGGAACAGGGCTAAGTCACACAGTGGATTTAGCAGGTGGATTTAATGAATGGGGGAGGGAGGGTAAAATGCTTCACCCTCTGTGACGGTTTAGCCCTTCCAAGTCCAAAGCTGAAACTGGGGAGATATTTAGCTCTCTCAAGGACTGCAATGATGCCAAATCGGCTCTACTAGATCTTAGCATAAAGGCAGCTTTTCACATCCTTTACTTCAACCAAAAGGCTCTCAGTTAAAACAATAAAATATACTAATCAATATAAAAGACAGTAAAAACAAAGCCAAACAATTTAAACAGAAAACTCTTTCATGCTCTCTTTTAACCTAGAAAAGTAAAAGATCTCAAATGTCTGGATAAATGAAACTTCTTCACCTGGCATTAGAAGGTCATTAAACATGGTGCTAGGCAACCTGGCCTAGGAAGGACCTTCCAGAATCAGGCGGGTAACACTGCCAAAGCTCTGTCTCGGGACACCACCAGCTTCAGAGGGGAGAGGCCTAGAGGGGGGCTTCTATAGATGACCGTACAGTTCAGACATGAGTTAGCAGACTGTCTTTGAGGTACCTCAGTCCCAAGCAACCTTGAATGGAGCTCAGATTTGAGCTGGCAGCCAGCACAGTTGGTGAGGAACTGCCCCTGTGCATTTTATACTCTCAGTCCCTGTCAGTAGACTTAGCACTGTATTTGGAAGCTGCTGAAGCTTCCAAAGAATCTTCAGTGGCAACTACACATTCGAAATGTTAAAGCAATCAAAACAAAATGATAATACTAAAGCAGGGGCAGTGGCCACAACTGAGGAGCAGGTATTCCAGATCCATAAAGATCTGGACAGACTATGGAAGTGGGCAGGGGACAACAGAATGCATAAGAGCAAGGTCTTGCACTTGGGGCATAGGGATGGGTGTCATAAGTACAGGTTATGGGATAAGTGGCTGGACAGCAGCACTTGTGAAAGGGACCTCGGGGTACTGGTTGACTGCAGGCTAAACATGAGTCAGCAGTGTGACATGGCGGCCAAGAGGGCGAAAGCCACCTTTGGATGCATAGCCAGAAGCATCCAAAGATCAAGAGAGGTATTACTGCCACTCTATACGACTCTGATCTGCCCACAACTAGAGTATTGTGTTCAGTTCTGGGCTCCACATTACAGGAAGGATATAACAAGGTTGGAATTGGTGCAGTGTAGGGCCACAGGGATAGTGGCCAGATTGCAGGAAAAGCCATATGAGGAGAGACTGAGGGAACTGGGTCTTTTCAGCCTGGAGAAGACTCCAAGGGGATCTGTTGGTGACATATAGGTACATGAGGGCGTGTCACATGGAGGTGGGTAAAGATCTGTTTTCCACTGTGGAGGAGTGCAGGACACATTCCAATGGAGCAAAGTTCAGGGAACCAAGGTTCAGTGTGGAAGCCAGAAAGTTCTTCCTGACGGTTAAGAACCCATGGGTATGAAATTGGCTTCCATGTGAGCTGGTTGAAGCCCCATTGGTGTGGGTGTTCAAGGATAGGCTGGACATGCACACGGTAGGCATGTCATGAGTGGAGCTGGCTGGAGTCGGAGGTCAGACTAGAACGTCCCTTCTGACTTGCTCTGTTTCTATGTTTTATTTAGCATTTGTTTTTAATATTATGTTTTATTTGATTCTGCTGGCAGTTTATTGTTTTATTGTCTTGTTGATTATATTGTGCTTATGCTCCTATTGAATTTCATGTAGTACATTTTATTGTATTATTTAATTGTGGTTTTAGCTATTATTGTTTTATCTATTTTCTTCTGTTACGTCTGCAATGTGAGCCACCCAGAAAGCTTTCTAGCTATGGGGTGGAGTACAAATGCCATAAATAAATAAATAAAATACCTACCATACAACAATAAAATAAAGTCAAATGTTAAAAACACTTTAAAAAAACCCAGAAGAAATAATTGCAACAGTCTGATAAATTAATTAATCCCAGGTACAGTCATACAATGAAATAATCATAAAATTTTATTTTTATATGCATGCATAGATATATAAATTATTCATTCAGTCTTAAAATGTCTGGTAAATAAAAACACTTTTACCTAGTGTCAGAAAGAAAATAAAGAAAGCACCAAGTGTATCCCTCTTGAAAACATGTTCCAAAAATAATAATAATAATATAATTATTATTATTATTATTATAACATTTCTATGCCGCCCCTTGCCGAAACCTCGGGGCGGCTTACAACATGATAAAATACATTGAAATACAATAGTACATAATAAATTACCATTAAATATAAAAATTCAAAAAATACATTGATTTACAAATATAAGATTAAAATTATCAGTATAAAATAAAAATATAGGAGGAGAAAGAGAAGGAAGAAGAAGTTGCCCTGGCCAGATCATATGTTTTAACAATTGAAATTATGTTTAAATAAAAAGGTCTTTACCTGGCGCCGAAAAACCAGTAACGACGGTGCCAGGCGGACCTCTTTGGGGAGTGAATTCCATAGGTTGGGTGCCACCGCAGAGAAAGCCCTCCTCCGGGTACTTACTCTCCTAATTTCTTTCATGGAGGGTTCCCGGAGAAGGGACTCTCCCGCAGATCTCAAAGGGCGGTCGGGCATATACGGACGTAAGCGCTCGTTCAGGTAGCCAGGACCCAAGCCGTTTAGGGCTTTATAAGGCCCTTCTCTTGTTTGCCACTCCCTTACTTTTTTAGGGGGCAGTTCCCTGAGAGGGATCTCCACAACTGGTGGTTGGAAAGGGTCACAGGGGCAATATATATTATATGTTAATGCTTCCCCACAGAAAAACAACAAAACATGCCCCTGCAACTAGAAAATTCACTCAGCAAAGAGAAAGCTTTAACATAGTCTTCTTTGTGTGCTAGCTCACTAGAAGTGTTTGGTGTTCTTAATGTATGGTGGCATACAAAATCATAATTCCATAGTTGCTTTCTGAAGAGGTACAACTTAGAATATCATCACCTGGAATATGTAGATGAGCTCAAAGTCCCATTAATTAAAATCAGTGTGAATTACATTTGAGTAAATAGGGCCTGCATGTTTCATTTTCAGAAAGCAGCAACTCTAAACAGCTGCCCTGATCTGAAAGCTGCGATGAACACATGCAGGGGCTTTCTAAGGCTCTTATAGCTTGGGTGGGCAAACGGGGGTCCTCCACATGCCTTGGCCTACAGCTTCCATAATCCTTCTCCACTGGCCATGGTAGCGAAGGCCAACCAAAGTTGCGAGTCAGAACTTCTGGAGGATGAGAAGTAGTCCACCCATGTTTTAGAAGAACATACTTCAATGGTAGTTCTTATTTATCTGAAAGTCACTGTCTCCACTAGAGATAAGGAATATCTATCTCAGACAGCAGTAGTCACTCAGACAAACAAGTTCAGAAATATACTGGAAATAACTCGACCACATTAAAAAAAAAAACCTTTTAAAAGGGGAGTTCACACATAACTTACCTTGTTTTCTGGAATGTGGTGTATTCTTAGTGATATTCATTACAGAATTCAAAGATGCCATATACTTAGGGATAGCATGGAAATATTGAAGCTGCAGCATATTTTCCTGCAACCTTTTTTTAAAGAAAAGAAAAGAAAAAGCAGTAAGTATTTGTTCTTTCTAACTAATATATACTGCTACAGAAAATGTGAAGAGGGTCTCACCAGTCAATTTGTTGCTGGAGTTTTTTAGGATCCCCAAGGAGCATTTCTAGGAGTTCTGCAGACATGCTCCTATGGTTGCTCGCCACACGAACACTTACTTCTACACTGTGAAGAAGCTTCTTGTGGAACTCACTTTGTTCACACAGCTCTGTAAAATTAATGTCAGGGAGCTGGCAGGTTTGCTGTAACAGACTAATGCTCTCATATTCGCAAAGAAGTGATGTGATGTTTTGGAGGAGAGTCAGCTTTAAATACAATCAAGAGAGGCATACAAGTTATTCACACATGAGTGATCAAAAAGTGAAGAAAGAAAGACAGAAATGGCTGGAAGAATTTTTCTTTCACTAGTGAGGTGAAGGTGGTGCTACAAGCTATATGCATATTGTGTACAGCAAAAGCTAAAGAGCCATTATTACAAAGCATTGAGGTGGAAAGTTAGAGCAGAGAAACAGGGGAGGGGGACTTAACCCTCGCTGTCCACATTCCATTTTTCATGGCTCCACAGGCATAACAGAAAAGGCAAAGGGGGGTGGGGGGCCTGGAGCAGAGAAGACGCAGGGGAGAACAGGGAGGGGCACTGCCTGCTCTCGTGCTGCTCCTTTCCCCTGCCAGAGTGGCTTTTCCCAGAGCAGCCACCAGGTCTTCATCAAACACGTTTGCATCTAATATGGACTTGGAGCTCAATCGCAGCTGATCAAGGCATGCACATTCGCCATTACACCAAGTCAACATCCTCAGTCTACTTACCCTTAACATCAAGAGCTCTGAAACAGATGAATATTTCTGGTAGGCATCATGTGAGAAAAGAACCTTTTTTAACTGTGCTATGTTTGGAGGAAGAGTAGAATTTTCTGTAAAGAAAAACAAATGTTAATTTATCTAGTTTGCTATTATTACTACTGCATCTCCATCTGAAATATCTTTAAAGCAGCTAACAATAAGATTCAGTTATCCTTATTTTTATCTTGCAGGTGGAAATGAAGTTTGGAGGGGAGTGTTACTAAATTTATAAGTAGCTAGGCCTGAAAGGGTTAAGTGCATGTGCACACACACACACACGCATGGACACACAAACTGAAGGTGATTCCAACAGTTTCTTTTGATAAAAACAAAGTTGGGGAAAGTATGAAGAAGGGGCATGTGAGTCAGCCACACTATCTGATCTGGAAATCTCGACCCTCTGATCCCAGAAGTATAGGGTATGGCTATCCAGCACAGGAGGAATTACACACTGTGCATGTTCAGAGGCACTCTTTTCTATGTATATTAATGCTTTATGTGTTCCAGTTCTGAGTGCTTAGTTTTAGATGGAAAGAAGGATTTTAAGCTGATTAAGTTGCTTTTGTAAGTTGCTTTGCAGATGCTGAAAGGTAAGATAATTTAAGACAGATAGTTCTAGGAAAGACTCTAGGTGCCAAGGAACACGAACAAGTGCAAGCCACTTTAAGGAACCAGAATTCGAAAAGCTAGCTGGCTCAGATGCCATGCCAACACCTACAACAATCGCTATAACAAGCCATGGCCTGTCAGGCTAATTTATAAACTTTTTAAAAAAGCCACCCAGGAGAAAGGGTTCCAGGTTCATATGACATGCTTATCAGCCACCATGGGTTATTATGTCATACAAATGAAATCTATGTGAAGTGTGAACGGGAGGTGTACATTTCCTAAAAAGCTTGAGGGGATTCCTTCCATTGCTTCATAGCTTCCTGTCTTTTGTCCAGGAATAGACTTCTGCTATCATGGCACACTCAGCAGCCAGATGAGGTGTTAAACTACCCACTAAGGCATGTTTCAGGAACAAGTAAAACATACGTCACTATCAAAACATACGATACCTGACAATTCAGTATGTACCCATTTAGACACATTCATTATGCAACTCAAGTATGATCTGAAGCTGTTATGAGTTGATATCTTTAAGAAGATATTTTCAAATTCTGAAAATAGAAACCTGGGACAAAAGAAAGAAAGAGGAACACGTCAGCTTCTTAAGTGTGATACAGTATTCATTACAGAATGGTTTGCAGTGGAAGTCCAGAAGAAAATCTGGATTCCACTTAGATAGGGGTCAGGGAGACTAAGTCATCTTAAATACAAGCAAGCAATTTCCCTGAAATTTGCATCATAGGAGTAATGTTTTCAGCAACTATACAGATAGTTATACACTGCACTGCACTTATATAATACAGATTTATAGAATTTCTGGGATTGCAGCCACTATTAAACAGATCTCCAAGTATGGCACTTTATGTATAATTGCATTCAATGTTTTTCCTAAACATCATAGATTAGGGTGGTCAGAAAAGGATACTAAAAAGTTCCTTCCTGCTTTTCCTAAGTCCATGTACACATTTACTTCTATACTTCAAGGCTCTGTAATCAAGAATGCTTGTTTTCTTTAAAGGGGGCATTTAATGTGAGTCACTACTGTTGCAGATAAAGAAACCCACCTCACATTTCATCTGTCCCCCCAAAATGCGGACGCTCACTTCCCTGTCTCCCTTCTGCTCTGCTCTTCCACTACTTCCTCCAGCACTTACCAGCTTCTCCTCCATATTGCCCACCATCTTTCCCTTAACTGTGGTTGCACACCCACCTGGGAGTGAGGCCCGATGAGCGTAGGGAGACTTACTCCCAAACAGACACTCACGGGATCGTACTGAGTAAATCCTCCTAAGACCTCATGGGGGCTGCCTCTAAAATTCCTCAGGTTCTGGTGAAGGAAAAGGACATGCTTTGTTTCAATAGAAAATAGAAGTATGGCCCTTCCTGTCTGGCTGAAGCCTGATCACTCCCCTTCTCAGAGCCTCAAAGGGGCTTTGGAACCTCCTGCAGCCCCTGAAAACCCTCGGGGGTGGCCACTTTTGAGTGGCTGAAAAAGAAAAAGCATCAGTCACAGAGAGGACAAAAGAAAACCACAATCTTCGTAAGTTTTGCATATGCAAATTGATGTCTAGTGATACAAATTAGAAATAATTGATGCCATTTAAGCAGAAATACAATATTTTTGCCCTAGGGAATTCTGCCTGGAATGCCTGCGGTCCATTGGACAGCCAGCTTCAGGGCCCCTGCTGTCTCGTTCTTACTTTAAACCAGCTCGGACTGGCTGTCTTCAAACAGAAGACCCCTCTCCTCTGTCCGCTCTCCACAATAGAGGGCACTGGGCCACCCTAAAGACCCCACAGGAAGGTAACCTGGAGATCCTAAAATGCTGCTTCTCCCTGCCCAGTAGTACACGAATGGGAAAAAAACCCATTAGGGGATGGTGCTTTTGCATCAAGTTGGTCACTGTAACCTTTGCTGTGCTGTTTCTTATGCCATCACCCAAGGAAATTGCCGCATCATTGTAAAGGCTGCATGTATTTTTCATTATTTCTACCAGACGAAGCAGGATATTGATCACTTACTCTGCAATCAAGTTTGGAGAGGGCATTTGTCCCCATTCATTCCAAAGCAGACTTTTATTCAAAAGTGCTTTAACAGGCATGACAAAAGGATGTGTATTATGGTCCAACTGATATTCCAGATCTGCAACACCTTGGCTTGCTTTCAGCTCCTTCACTGAAAATTTCATGATTTCACTGAAAACATTCACAGTGGCAACGAGCATTTCTGGTACTGACTGCTGGTGAGCCAGAGCCCTTTCTGTAAGTTTCAAACCCAGTGTGGCATACTCCGTTTTTGTAAGGTTCCATTTGGAGGCTGTGTTCCAGACTTGAGAGAGAAAATTCCAGCCCCATGGACTGGAGAGATCATCCTCAGTCATACTAGCAGCTTCATCTGTGGGAGGAAATGCATCCTGCAGTCTCCTGAAGAACACTGACAAGTTATTCCAGGCGTCTGAGCTTTCAGTGAAATTTTGCTCATAAAATTCTGTTTCATTAGCAAGTATATGACCAACAAGATACAAAAGATTATAGCTCATTGTATTATTTATGCCATCAAGAAATGAGATTGGGCAAGTAGTATTACTAGGAGGCAGTTCTTTAGAGATTGTTCCCAGAGTTCTGTACATCTCCTGTATCCAAGGATGATTAAAACGGAAGAGGATGTCCATTTTTGCAAGCAAGTCCGAAGAAACATGTAGCGATTGGATGATGCATAGCAATGTTCTTGAAAAAGATTCATTATTGTTTTTGTAAGGCCTTGCTACTACTGGAGCTTGCTTTAAGTGTCTTAGTGAGTACTGGAACAATTCAGTAAATGTTTGATTGGCCATTGTTCGGCTTTCAGAATCCCTGGAACTAAAATGTAATTCACAATGGCTTTGTTTCAGGGACTCATGGAAGCTGGAATTTTTAAATAGCACCTGAAATATTATGTGAGTTACATCTTGGGCAGAGCAGTTCTCTAGATTTCCAGCTCTGTGGTACCCATTACCTAAGAAAGGACTCAGAGATAAATGCAAGATATCCACTATCTTTGTTTCTGGTAATGTATTGTGCCCAAACAAAGACTCACTGAAATCCTTTTGAAGCAGAAAATGTGAAAAACCATAAAGGGTTGCAATTTTTTCTTTATTGGTGACTTCCAATCTGTCATCCGAAAGTAATCTTGTTTGTTGCCTCAATATGTCATATATTCTCTGGATGGTTCTATTGTTATAATTGCCCAACAGAGGAATTGTTTCTAACTGGGTGATATTGAAATGGTGTACAAAGCCTTTCTGAAGTAACAGATTCCTGAGAATACTGTTGATTCCTCCTGAGATGTTACTTTTTGAGTCATCTGTACCATAACTTTGTAGTGCATAAGATAAAAGTTTAGTCAACTTCTCCAGTTTTAGACTGAAACCAAGACTAGGCTCATTACCAGGTTCAGATAAATGTTGGTGTAGCAGATTTAGAAAATGCCTGTATGTATTTTGATTTGTGCTATTCAACTTCATGGATCTTAGCTGTTCATGAATATGCTCAAAGGCACTCCATTCATTCCACCAGGATTTCTTAGTGGTATTTTCAGTTCTTTGCATTATTCCTGAAGGATAAGCAACCAAGGAATAATTTGGATTCATGTTTACATTTGTTGTGCTAGAGTACTTATTCAGAAGAGTTAAGAGCTGCTCCAAAATGTTTTTGATGGCTGAAGAATGAGGATTAATGTACAAAAGGCTTTGAGCAAGAACATCAAAGGGCAGAGAAAAAGTATGAAAAAGTCTTTCTAAATAAGTTTTATAGTTTATGTCAGAGGTTTCACTGAAGAAGATTTTTAAAAGACCAAGTACATCTTCCAAATAGACATCTTTCATCCCCCAACTTAAGGCTTCAAGGAACTGATGCCTTTCTGTTTTATTGGGAACTAACCCCATGCTGACAAGAATTAGAGCTTTTCTCGTAATTTCTAGTAGTTGAACATACTGTTTTACATTTGTCACATTCTGGCTGGAGCTCAGCATATTTGCAACCTCTACCAAGACCTTTGAGAAATATTTCTGTTTTGATTGGCTAACAGCATTTTGGCTCACATCTAACAGCCTTGATAAAGTAGCATTCTTACGGGGTTTTGCATGCCACAAAATAAAAGACACGAGTGCTTGGTTCCAGGCCAGTGGACCACCAGACCCTTTTCGTGCATGAGCTTCTGTTTCATCCAGCACAAAATGAGTCAAAAGTTGTAAAGCAGAAGACTCATTTATTGCATCCATATTGCCAAACAATGGTAGTTGGCAGGTGAGATTACTTTGGGAGAGGCTGTCAGAGATGGCTGTTAGATTATCATGCATCTCTTGTATCCAGGGATTCGTATACTTATGGAAACTGTTCCATTTAGAGAGAAACCCTGATGAAAGTTGTAAAGATTTGATGAAACAATGCAACACATCAGAAAAATATTTTTTTTCATTTTGGTGGAATGTATCAAAATTTGGCATCGATATTAAGGTTCTTACTGCAAGCTGAAACAATTCAATAAAGGTATGTTGGTGGTTCATTTGGTTTTCAAAGTCCATGGCAGTCAAAAGAAAACCGCAGTGGCCTTCTCTTAGGGCTTCCTTTAGTGTGACATTGTTCAATAACACTTCAACAGCAATCAGATGAATGTCTCTGACAGTGCAGTTTGGCAGCCTTTGGTTAGATGGGTTATTTCCACTCAGAAAAGGGCTCATTGTTAAAAACAAGAAGTCTGACACTTCTGCTTCTATTGAAGCATTCTGCCATGCTGGCATCCTATAAAGCTCCTGCAAAAGTAACCCCAGTGAAAAACTGAAGAGGGTATCGATTTTTTTTAGGCTAGATGCTTTTGTCAACCTGGGGTCAGAAAGTATATCTATGCCTTCCTTGAGTATTTTAAATAACCTCTGGGCAGTTTCATCACTGGCATTCAGTAGTGGATTGATTGTAATTAATTCATCAATGTACTTCTCCTCAAAGTCCTCTAATACATGTAGAGTTTTCAGGATGGCAGTTAAAACCATTGAGACTTTTGCTCCATTGATGCCTTTTCCACCATACTCTTCCAGTAAATGATTCACGAATTTGGTCAGCTTTTCAAGTTCCATTTTTAAAGGACTACCTGACCTATTGTGGTGGATGTACAGATTCTTGTGCAGTACATCTAAAATCTGCCCATAAACTATGATGGCTGTGTCATTCCACTTGGTAGATCTGAGTATTTCACCAATATGCCAATACATGTTGAATTCATTCCACTGAGATTTGTTAAATGAGTTTTGTATATTCTGATTCAGGGCAAAGAAGTAGGACATCAGTAGTTTATTGTGACTTGTTTCAACATTTGCAATAATATTAAATACTTTCTGGAGTGACAGGAGCTTCTCAGGAACGTTCTCAAGAGTTACAGGTTGAAGCAGAGACATTGTAAAAAGTTTTTGCAGTTTTTGCATTGAAGTTAAGTACCTTCTAAAGCCTTCATGCGTGTACAAAAATCTGTGAGTTATCATTTCCATAATTTGCCATGTCTTTGTGGTGTTAAAATTAATTTTATTTAAAAAAGCTGGATCCCAAACACTTCTACCTAAGTTGGAAACATTTGGAGTTGCTATCAAGTGGGCCATTATGTCCAAAAGGGACAACCCACTGGAGCCTTTCTGAAGCAGCAGAGACAGGAAGCTCCGGAGACTGTGGATTTCTTCCTTATTTAATCCATCTCTTGAAGTATTATCTCTGTCACCTGCTGCTTGCTGGGACAGAATTTCAGCCAGTCTCAGGATAGTTCTGTTCTCATATTGCTTGAATAGCTCTAGGTTTTTCAGTTCAGCAGTACTAAATTTCTCTTGTAAATCCTGGAAAAGTTGTAAAGATTTCTTAATGATTTTTAAATTCTTGGAGAGATGGCTCACTTCACCAGCAAGATCTTCACCAGCAAAATCTGGAGAGAATACTTTTCTAAAATGAAAAACAATGCAAAAGTACACATTAGGTAAAAACAATAGACATTTCCTCAGGAAGAACTGCTCATCTCTTGCAACAAGAGAACAAAGGGGTTTGTGTCATCTTAAAGACTAACACATCTATTGTGGCTGAAGAGTTGGACTAGCATCCACTTCCTTGTTTTTAGGCTGCACCTTTACACTCATTCAAGTCCCACTGAATCAATGGCACTTATTCTAAGTAAACATGTACAGGATTGTGTTATTAGACTGAAGAATACACACTGTCACTTCGGTTCATTTACATTTATTTACACATAATATTTCTTTTATCTATGTACCATTTATCTTAAGATAGGAGATGAACATGCACTGCAAAGGGTTCTGCCATAAATTTTGTTTTACTCTCCAGGGCAGACAGAGATTCAAAAAATGTTTGCCTAGCTATGAGATTCTGGTTTTCCTTTTTATCACAGCACAGTCTTAGCTTACACTTCTATTCTAGGTCCAGCTTTTCGTATGCATGCATTCTTGTTCCGTATCACACCAGCTGCATCTAGAGATTGTGATGCGATGCATGTTCATACTTCAAAAGTCCTACAACATCCACAGGGCTGTCTGGAGAATGCTGGGATTTGTATGGCCCTTTTCTGTCTGAACAAGCAGAGGACTGTGCTCTCAGTGAGGCATGGGATGCTTCTGAGGCTGGTGAGCTCTCCCTTCCCCTCTTTTCTGGGACAGCTCAGTGGAGGAAATTGGAAACTTTTGCTTCCATTTTCAACTAATCATGTTTTGTTAATTTCTCCATGCACCCATACACACTGTGGATAGTCTTAACTATGGTGTAGTTAATATTACATGTTATGTTAATATCCCAGCCAGGGCTTCTAATTTCCCTAAATCGCAGCCATAAATAACCACAATTTTTGATTTACACATGACAACAAATCATAATTAGCTGAAACTGGAAGCTGGTGTTTTCAATCACTTCCTTATAGATGTGATATATACATCTATATATCCTCTCCATCAGGATGTGATCTCCATCAGGATGGAGAGGGGCAGAGGAAGTGCACGGGTTCATGGTTCACACACGTAATCTGAAACTATAGTCACAGTTTCAGCCATGTCATAGAGTTTGTCATCAGCGTCATAGCTTAACCTCCTATGCACATTTAAGAGGAAAAGGAAAATAATTCCATTCATCCTGATTTGCCTCAATTTTTATTTGTTGTCAAATTACCACGTACCCCGTTTTCATGCTGAATCAAAATGAAAGACAGACCGATATAGAATGCGAATCATTCTGTGGGGAAGTTGTCTTGCGTGCATATACTGTCTGGTGCACTTTCAGGAGGCTCATGGTACCATTTTTAATGATGCAGATTTGGATCGTGAGACCTGTGGCCACAAGTGGTGACTTAAGGTCCTGGGACTCAGCTGGGGGAGGCAATAGAAGAGACTAGTCCAGGGCTGAGGGGGATGCAGATCATACTGACCATGGGATCAATGGTGCGTCACAGCCCACAGGAGAGGACGCTGAAATGGGAGACCTTTCCAATGGAGATCACTCCTCCCCCTCAGGACTGGACTGCTGGCTCAGCACTAACACCCGCGAGAAGTGGGTGCTTCTCACAACAGGCAGAACAGAGGCATGCCCGTTTCCACAGCACACCTCCTCCAGGGCCAGGAGGTTCACAAGGAGAGCTTCGGGAACTGAGCTAAGACTTGTGCATGTGTATGTAGTATGTGTATGCTCAGAGATGCATGTGAAACAATAAAATTATTAAGCAAATAAACAGTTTGAGTTTGGTGCTGGTCAGAGGGAGGAACACAGCTCAGTCCAGAAGTTGTAGCTCAGTAATACTGTCTACAAAAACTTTGCAGGAACTATATCAATTTAATGATATAGCTATTAACTGTTTCTTCACGATGCTTGTTCCACATGGCAACAGACACCACCCATTTGGGAACCATGATGAAGTCCATGTTTTGAGACCAAACAGCCAAATAAATCAGTCAGCCACCAAAATATCATGCTTTCTTTCTGCAATACATTCCCTTATAACAGTTGAAGCAACCACTTCATCACTGTCACTGAAATATCGGTGTAACTTTTACATCTGTAGAGTATGTCCTCCTTTTGTTTCTTTCCTTTTTTACCTGCTTGTGTTCTGAAGGGCAGCAGCCATACCCTCCATGCTGGTGACACCTTGAATGATATCTGGGGCCATCAAGAGGAGTCGCCATGTAGAGGTGTCATTCTGCACTTGGGAGACGAGTGATAAGAATGAAACTGTGTCCTTAACAAAGGACATCTGGTAATGTGGATCATGTTGTAACTAAAGAAGAAAAAGGAACATTTTTAAAGGAGAAACAGATTTAGAAATCTAATAATGCAACAAAACTTCTGAAATATGTATCGAATCAAAGAATGATGTCTCTATCACCAAATCATTCACTAGAATGCTTTTGTTGTTTGCTGCTTCTTAGGCCTAAAGGTACCCCCATAGGCTGCCCCCACATGTGAAGCTGCCTGCCTGCCTGCCTGCCTATTATTCTTCCAAAACAAAACCAAAAAAACTAATCCCTCACTGAATACAAGACTAAATTCAATGCATGATCTTCCTCTTTATTTATTTTTATTTATTTAAAACATTTTTATGCCGCCCCCATCACAACAAAGCCTTGCCTTCTTCCTTTCATTTTCTGTTGGCTTGTCAAGTGTAAAGCCCTTCAGATAGAGATCTTTTTGTTATTTTTCTGTAAAGTATACTTATGAATATTCATAGAAATCTTGGATAACTGCTGTCAGAGGCAACAGTGGACAAGATGGACCAGCAATTTGATTCATATTAGGCAGCTGCATGGGTTTCTAATACATTCATCCATTTCTCAAAGATTCTGAGGCTTTCCCTCAAGTCCTTGCTGAATCCTTTCTCCTCTCTGAGGTTCCTTTGCCAGACATTCCCATGGCCAGACATTTCGCTAAACTAGGTATGATCTACACCAGTATAAGCAAATGAATTTGTGGCTGTGTGTGAGGGGGATGTGTTACTTCAGGTCACTTTTCCATAGGCTCATCTCACAAGAACTTTTCTTCCAGCTGAGAAGGAAACAACAACCGGGGATTCAGACCATACTGAGCTAAGGCAGAAGCATGTTTAGCACCCCCTGCCTGTACACTCCTCTTGCTATTAAGAATAGGGCTCCTCCTTTTACATGATGGAACAGATCTGGCTTTACCTGAAAACTGACTGTCTAACTTAACCCAGAGACATCTAACTTAACAAATATCACAGCCAGTATCCACCTTCACTCTTTACCCTTGACCAAGGAGAAACCAGTCTGCCAGTTTCCCAACAGTCAGAAATAAGCTCCACTCCTGATTCATCCTTGCTTCCGTGTCATTTCCAGCTGTTCAAGCATGAAGCTCAAAGAAACATCACAACCCTTTCACAAAATTGCTGGCTGCAGGGCTCTGAGCACCAGGGGATGGAATGAGTACAGTGTGGAAAGCAAGCTTGATAAAAGAAAGGTGGTAACGGCAGGAGAGACACCTTCTTCAGAGCAGTTTGATCAAGGTCATTATTCAGCAGCCTTTTCCACTATACAGAGAAAGGAAAGCTGGATACTCACTTTGGGAATCTGATTTCTAAGTTCTTGAAAGAATGACCCCACAAGAGATAGGTTGCTGAAGCAAAATGTCTGATGGATGTTTGCTCCAATGACTTCCCAAAAGGGACTCTGCGGAGATGCATTTGCTGACATGACCTCACAGATCTCAGCTTTAAGGTTTGCTGCAGACGACTTTTGTACCTGCACCAGTAAAGCAAAATAATGTCAGAATAAGAATTGTTGAAAATGAGCTCTTTGTTTTGATAAGTCTGATCAGATCTGTATGGAAAGCATTCAGCAGCAGTTTGAAGAGCTGTGACTGTTGTTAGTAAAACTGCAGAGAGAAAAGAAATGACAGCCAATCTGAGCTCCACCAGCTCCAAGGGAACACTGAGGCCCAGGACCCTGCAAGTGGCAAGGAGCCCGCAAAGAGGCTGCCTGGACGCCAGAGACGTTGTGGCCAGATCTTCCTCCTGCACCCTCCACGCCTTAAACTCCCTCTCTTGCCATCTCGGGGCAAACGCAAACATCCCTTTGAACTTGTGTCCTCCAGCTACATCGCTTTGCACTTTTGCTCCAGAAGAGAAGCAGGGCTCCCACTCGGGAACTAACTAACCATCTCCCCGTCCCCAGCTGCCACACAGAGGACCCAGCCTGGCCCAGGAGCTCTGCAACTCCTCTGGACTAAAAATGAGGTCTCAGTGTGTGAGAAAAGCTCGTCAGCATACTGTGGGCAGTGGGCTGCCAAAGCTCTGGATGTCCCCACTCAGGGCTCTCATTTACATGTTAAAAGGCAGGGGGTACCAGGCCAGCCCTGAGGAACCCTGTACCAGAGACTCCACCGAGCTGAACGATAACCTCCCGGCAGCACCGTCTGCGGTCATCCACCCAAGCAGGAGTGGGACCTCCGCAAACCTCTTCCCACTTCAGCCAGCCACCCCAGAAGGATACCATGGTCAATAGTGGCATTGCAAGAAGCCTGGATCACTTCTGGCCTGAATTATTAAGATCTTCTGGGCACCGAGAGCATTTCCTCAGGAATGGCCTTACCGCTGTCTCTTTGAGGCACAGAGGCTCATTCCCTCCATTAAAGAGGCACTGGTCACATCCCTGGCCCAGCTGGACCCCCCCTCCCCCCGCTTTAACAAGCCAGGGCAGGCAAGGATCCAATATGGATGTGGCTGCACAAACCTGTCCAGGCACCTTGTCAGCATGCTTAGACTGAACCAACTGAAACTCAGCCAGTGAAACTTGGCCAGGCCGTGTTCTGGGTACCTCACCTGATGCAACTGCTACAAAATTGGATTCTAAGTCCCAGCAGATGCAAGAGATTTGATCCTGGAAGTGCCAGGCAAATGTATTACAGCAGGCCTCAGGTGGGACCAGCATCAGATCGGCTCCAGACATACCTGAAAAGTTCCATTGAGCAGCTGAGATAAGACTGACTAGGAGCAGTGAGGTGCTGCTCCTTCGCTGCTCTCACTGTCCCTAAGTACACGCGTCCAGAGGCACCCACCAGGGCTCGATGGCTGCCACTAGCAGCTTTCTGCTGTCTGCACTCTGGCTGCCTCCTGTTTTGTTTCACTGCCCTCGGCTCTGGGGTGTACCACAAAACTGCATGAGCGCAACTGCAGAGATGGTGCTCAGGAATGATCATGTTACCTGCCTGGGTAATTTCTGTATTCTAGAGGCATTTAGCAGAGCCACCCTTCATAGCAGCCAGAACATGGGCCCTGGGCCTTCTGGCAACCGCCCAGATCCATTATCCTCAAGGGACAGAGAATCCTGTTAGGTCTGCCCCCCATGCAGTGGGGAAAGGGTGCCATGAGTCTAAATCCCAACAGGTAGCAATCTGGCCACGCCAAAGGGACCATCCAAAATCCCTCACCTTCAGATCACTGTACCCATGGCCAACCGAACCGAGTGTGTTCTGCTACATGTGTTGGGCTGATGACATGTTGGGACTGCCCAATTGCTGTCAGAGTCCAGAAATCATGAGATGCCCCAAGAGAGTGTCCTCGGCACAGAGGTTGCCACCGCCTAGGACTAATAACCCAGGAAACCTCAGCACTGCAACCCAGAGCGTCACTTGCTGCCTGGCAGAGGGGTGGGTGGCACATCCACAGAGTCCCATCTGTCTCACTGGCCCAACAGAAGGTGCAATCACTGCAGACTGGTGGTAAGAGTGGCAGGGAGCCTGGAGAGGAAGGCAGAATTCCCACAGACCACAGCAACCACCTGCCCCAACCTCCAGGTGTGCCCGATGCTGAGCAAGTATGCACTCAGGGACACACACAGCCCTACCGGACACACGGGGGTGGGAAGGTTGCACCTCCACTCCCCCATCCCCACTGATGTGATCACCCCACAGGGTGACTGTAGCAGGCACGGGGGTGCATTTGGGAGGCAGGTCTTCCTTCTGCTCCGACCCAGCAGCTCCATAGTTTTTTGCCTTGACTGAGTCATCCCATTCCATGTGACATGCTAAGGTACAGAAGGTCAAGTAAAGCTGGGAAAAGCCCTGACTTCCTGGGGAGGGCTGGGTTCAGATGACAGACTGAGCCAGTGTAGCTCTGAAGCCATGGCAGCTTGTTGTGCTGTGCAAACTATCAGTGTCAATCACATCACATTTCTACCCACTCAGGTTTTGGAAAATGTATTTGTCCAAGACTTCTGGATTAATCCAAAACAAGGTAATTGCCATCTACACAATAAGGCAGCAATCTGGAACAGCAGGACCATGGTTGTACTTTCATATTAAAATAAATGCTCCAACCAACATTAGGTCAGAAAGCGTGAGCTTAAACAAGATCTTGTTAACATGAATACAGAAAAATTACCTCTGCTAGCTTGAGTATCTTGTTGAGCAGCTGAATACTGGCATGGCTGGCCATTGACGAAATATTTTCAGCAGTGTTATTTGGATTGGCTGCTGAATCAGTCCAGTCTGCAGTGACTTTAAAAAAGGCAAAAATATGTGAATGTAGAAATGCTAGAATCTGCCGATTGTACCAAAGCCCGAGAGGTCGTAATTCTTCCCACTTCAGCCAAACAACGCCTCCTTTTGGCACTGCTGCATGCGGGTGTCATAATTCCTAACCCTTCCAAAGCAGCAGCAGCTGGCAAGACAGCTTGCTAGGTAGAATAAGTGCAAATAAGTATTGACAGGGGAGCGGGGGGATCCCTGCCCTTAACTTGCGGTGGCGGGGGGCATTGCACAAGTGTCGCTCCAGCAAGAGTCGCTCCAGCTGACTTCAGCAAACTCTTTGCTACATAGCAGATTGTGGGTGCTGTGGGAGGATGTCCAGCTTGTGACAAGGAGCAAACCTTGACAAAAGAGCTGCAGGATGGAAGATGGGCATGCCACGATGAATCTCCTGTGAGTCAAATCTCCACCATACCCCCAGGGAGCAGGAGCTGGGAAGCAAAGGCACTTCTCTCTTTCCTCCTCTGCCCACAAAGTATTGCCTTCACCTATCCTGGTGTGAATTATCTATGGCCCCCGGCTTGTTTCCATATGTCTATGTGTGGGAAACAAGTTTTGTACCACAGACTAAGGCCACCGGCTCTCATGCTTCTATGAGAAATCCTCGAACATTTGCCAGCATGGCTCTGTTTGGCCTTCCCTGGTGCAGATACGAGTGTCGTACTGTCGTATTTTTGCCTTTCTGCTGCCTTTGGCCTCTTAAGAAATCTTGACTATAGCTTGGCTTGATGTCCGAATTGGCACATCATGCTTAGAGATCAGTCAGTGGAAGAGAATAAAAAAAATAATGGTTTGAAAGGGACTCGCCAGTCAGTCTGTGCCAATCTGCAGTTTAACACGAGAAGCTTCTCTGTGTGAGAAGTTTAACCTGCTGCTTTGCTGAAGCTTCTTCTTCAGTTTTCCTTGCGGAAGGAAAATGTCCTTTACACAACTGCTCTCCTGGGCCTCCACTTATTTATGCATTCCAGAAGGCAGCCCCAAGGGGTGCTGTGTCACAGGCCTTTCTTCTGGTTTAAAATTTAATAGACTTTCCTTATGCCCAAAAAAGTGGAAGGGCTGGAAAGGCCAGAAGAGGCCCCGGAGGATGGCAATGTTGTGAAAAGGCCCCATAAACGGCTGTGCGAGAAGGATCATAAGAGCGCATCGAGTGCTTGGTGCCTTTCTGGCAAAGCCCCACTCCAGCCATTGTCCTGCCTGCAGGAGGGAGGCTGCCCAGAGAGTGGGAGGACGGAAGCAGGAGGTGCACAAGCCACTTGCCAGGCCACGCGTGTCGGGGTCTGCAGGTGCTCCCGCACCACTTGGTGTGCTGCCTGTCAGGAAAAGTAAGTGGCTGATACACTTGCAGGAAGACCAATGCCAAGGGCGACTGGGCAGAAAGAGCGGAGCTGTGTGTGTGCGCCAGGGATCCTGGCATCAAGGTCTGCCAGCACTCTTGGACCAACGCTCGGGATACAACATGAAGGAGCGTGCGGCCCTCTTTCCACGGACAAGCTTCGTGTTCAATCCAGTTCTCAGGAAATACCTAGGCAATCAATTATGGACCCATATGAATGAGATATGAAAAAGCCCCCCAGCCCTGCAAGCTGCCCACCATGACTGAGCACTCCGGGGGCGAGGGAAATTTTATTTATTTATACCATTTCTATGCCACCCCACTCGCAAAAAGCCTCGGGGCGGCTTACAACATCAATAAATGTTGCATTTATTGTTGCAGTAATAAATGTTGCAGGAAATGCCCTGCAAATTTGCTTACTGTAAGAAATATGAAATGAGAATTTGTGGTTGGTCTAACAGAATAATTAGAGTGGGTGCCCAAATGATTATTAAACTTTGCAAGAGAACCACCTTGGTTTGTGCAATATATAACTATTTAAGAAGTACTTGCCACCTGCTTGCACCCATGACTCAGCTATTTTAGACATTTACAGACAGTAACATTAGACTTATTTATGCTTGTACTGTATTATTTCATACAATAAAACAATCATGGTAGCAGACTCAGTATTACTAAAGCATGTTTTTGGGAAGGATGAGCACAAAACAGATGAGTGGCGCAGCCCGTCAAAGTTTAAAGCGTGCAGATCTGGCCAAGTACCTGGGCGTGAACAGCAGGGACAGCCTCTGGTCCATCCTGCCCTTCCTGGAGCAATGGGGGGAAACATTATGTAAGGCAAAGGTGGTAGTATTTGAATGAAAGGGGCAACACACTCACACAAAAATGCTTGAAACACACCAGCCAAGTTCAAAAGTAAATCCTCAGATCAAATATAGCTTCCCTCCTGCTTCCGTGCAAGTGTTTCAGCTAAGCCTTTCCCTTTAATCCCTCAGCCTTTGATGTCTTCTGATCCAGGACAGGCTTCAGCCTCAACTGGCAACACAGCACTTCTGCTCCGCATCTGCCAGGTTCCCTGCTCCTTTCGTGGTTCATTCCTTTTGGCACATTCTCTGCTCTCCCTTCTCCTCCCTCACATCTAGAGCGGATTGCACAGCTAGTGCCGTCCTTCGGTCAGAAGATCCTGACCATCAGCTGAAGATCAGTCCTTTCACACATGCACACGCGTATGCATGCACAGACACACACGCAGGCTTGCATGCGCACGCACAGAGCAGTGACAAAGAGAAAGAATCATATTCCCACTCCGGTGTGACGACCATGGCAAATGGCAAATGCCTCAGGAGAAGCAACCAGCAGGCTTATTGAACTCAATGGGATTTAAGTGCTTAGCTGGGCACACTGGGAGTGTGAGGAGGCATGTCTAAATTTCTCTGATCTGCTGCCATTGTTACTCAGTTTTCCCCAGCCGAGTTCTTTGGCATAAGATGAAATGAACCCAGCATGTAGCTTTCATGCATTGGGTTGATCTGGGCATAGAAAGCAAGCTCAGATTTGCACAAGTTCTATAGCCAGAATGCACACACCCATACTTGTAAAAAGGGGTGTGTGGGCAGGGTGGAAGAGGACACTTGGCTTCCAAAGAACAGCCTCAGGAGGAAAGAGGTGAGAGGACACACGTGATTGGGCAAACCCCCCACTAACCCAAAGGGACGTCACTGGGGTCCCTGTACCTTGGTTTCAGCACACGCCCATGGATGACATATTGCCTAGCTCTGGTTTCAATAACAACTCGCAGAACACTCCCGGCCCCTCTGAGGGCTGTTGGGTGTGGCAAAATAGTTCCATAGGGAGGCCTTCTGGCAACCGTGGAGCAGGACCCATGCATCCTGGTTATGCCCCCATCGGTGCTAGAGCACAAACTGAGGCATTTGGGGAGCATGGGCAGAAGAAGTGGCCTTGGATCGCATGCATTCATCAGATAGGACTGGATCTTCCCAGACTGGATCTTCTGGAAACCAGAGAGCATGGTGAAAAGAAACCATTCGCTCTGAGGAAAAAGAGGTAAGTCCATCCTCACACCTCTCACCTTGGCAAGCACCTCCAACCCCACGTTGGTCACAACCCTGCACTTACCCTTGGGCTCAACAGAAGTTACTTCTGCATAGACTCACCTGGATTTGCACTGTTACTCACTAAAATATTCACAGCCATTTAAAAGAATTGCTTACTCACTCAAATAGCCAGAAAAAGTGGAGCAATCGCCTTAATAAAACTCACCTGGGACTTTCTCCAATGAGTTTCCTGTGATTAAAACTTTGTCTGCTGCAAAGGAAGAGAGGCTACTAAACTCTTAATAGAATTAAATAACCTACCCAGTGAACCATTCCTGCTTTCGGGAGCATCAGCACTCTGGGTTGATGGATTGCTGTCCTTCTCCAGGTTAGCTGACCTTCTCTGTTTTCTGATAAGAAACAGGGAGAGAGAAGGATCCCGCATCATCATTTCTACTTACCCTCTCAACAAAGTTTCTTCCATTAAACCACATTCAGGCCTCCTTTTAGAATGTGGATTTCTTTATGAAACGCTCAGTTTATTACAGCATTGAGTTTTTATTTAGGTCTACTTTTGAAGCTCTTATTTCCTCTAAGGACAAGGGCAGAGGTGTCCATGTCAGGGTCCGTGGCTGGGCTGTGGCCCACCAGAGGCAAGACACGACACAAGCAACAGAGGCACCAAGACCAGGGAAGCAGAACTTCAGGGAAGACCCAGGCCAAATGCAGGGATCCGTGGAAAGAGCAAGTCATGAGGCCAGAAGGATGCACAGGAGGAGGGCAGAATGTGGATGTGCTCAGGAACAAGCCAAGGGGCAAGAAGAACCACAGGAACAAACAGACATGCAGGTACCTTGGCCAGGCTAATAGGGTGGGAAACACAGCGTGGCAGGAGACATGGCACAGCAGGAGCCAGATGCAGCAAGGGTCAGGCGAGATGCCGGGGCTGCAGCGGAGCTCGCAGGAAGCCCTGCGCTGTTGAGGCAACGCAGTGAGGCAGGATACACAGGTGAGGCAAGGCACAGGCCGGGAAAAGGCAGGCACGATAGCAAGGCAGCAGGCAGGCAGGAACCAGGAGCAGACAAGGACGTGGGCACAGAGCAAGAGGAGACCCTGTGCTGCAGAGGCAACGCAGTGGGCGTGGGCTGGCAGGCCAGGGACAGGGAGACCTGTGTGGCCGAGGCCAGTTCTGGAGAGAAGACCTTGCTCTTACACAGCTCTTCCCCCAGAACTCCCAGCTGGTGCTCCAGAGCAGAATGAGAGCTCTAGCAGACCTTGGGACTGATCCTGCAAATGTGGTGGTGGAGGTTGTTTTACTTCCGGCTGCCAGAGCAGCCCAGATCCTGACATTCGAGGAGAAAATAACAGCTTGCTTAAGGCAAGGATAGGACTTTATACAGCTATCTCTGATTAAAGTCATGCTAGGCTGATGTCTAAATTATGTGGTACAGTAAATCTCATGAACATCTATTACACTTAAATGATGTCTCCGTTATGGGACTTATTTCATAGCTAGTCAGAGTATTCTGAGTCAGGTACAGATATGCAACAAAAACCATCCCTGTGGCACATTTGTGGCAATTTAAATTTGTTTGTTTTTAAGGTGCCATAAGATTCTTTGTTGTAAAGTCTAAGTCAGCCAGCTGCATTCTGAGCCACTCAATTTGTGAGTAGGTGGGCTCCTTCGGACAAGGGCTCATGTGATTAAATGCTCTTCCAGACAAATAACTAATTACATCCCAACTCACGGAATGGTACTTTTCGGGAGAAAGGTGCTAGGCCAGCCTTCAGCCTGCACGTGTGTGTTCTACATGTCAGAGCCTTTTGTCTCTTACAGAGGAGCACTGGGTCATGTGAGCCTCACCTCAGCCTGAAGACACAGGTTTACGGCCCCAGTGAGAATTAGCCAAATGCCATCCCCGGGTGTTGCCACTCCAGATCCACAGTGTGTAAAAAGCACACCCCTGGGCTTCAATAAGAGGTTGGATACCAGCCTTCAGAAACCACACAGTCTGCTGTCCTCCCTTACCTCCTTGCAGGCAAGATATGACTCAGCTTGGCTAGCAGGTCTTCAGGCGCATATGGTGTGCTTCTGCATGTGGCATCTGAGCTACAAAGCACCGTTTGGAGAAACGGGAGGAATCCTGCACTAGGAAGGTTCCGGGGAGCTAGATAACCTGGAACATAAGAAACAAAAATGCATAAGTCGGCATGCTAAAATGATACACTTAAGAATCAATACCACTGAAAAAATACTACCAGGCCTCAGATGTTTTATTAAATGTTTCTGACAATGCAGAGAAACAGAACAGAACTGCCCCCAGAAAAGAAATGAAAGATGCAACTGCATCTTATTTATTTAAAACTTTTGTATGCTGCCCAGGGTTGTGCCACAGCACCTCTCAGCAGCTCACATTCACAAGATAGAACACAATAAAATCCAACAACAACATATTAAAAATAGAATATCAATAAAATATGGGCAAAAATACAAAACAAAGGTCAAATGGCATTAACTATTAAAATATTTTTTTTAAAAAGGAAGGTCTTCTCCAGGTGCCAAAAAGAATATAAGGAAGGAGCCCGGTGAATCTCCTTGTGGGGAGCATTTCAGATATAGGGAGCAGCTGCAGGAAAGGCCCTCCTCCTAGCAGCCGCTCCTCTCACCTCCTTAAGGGATGCGCACACAGAAGGGCCCCCCGAGTAGATCTCAATGGCCAGGTGGGCACTTATGGGTGCAGGCGCTCCTTAAGATAACCCAGGCCTAAGCCGTTTTGGGCTTTATATGTCAGCACAAGCCCCTTGAATTGGGCCTGGGCCACAATTGGTAACCAGTGGAGATCTTTCAGTAGAGGTGTTATGTGGGCTGCTCTAGGGGTCCCATCACTGCCCCGCTCTGGGGGGTGGACACTGGGCAGCAGGTCAGAGCACCAGGACCCAGGCACTTGGCACGCTACATGAGCCTATTCAAAATCATGGTCAGGCAGTCCAGAGGCCAAAGCAGGTAACAGAAGGGCAAGCTAAGCCAGTCCAAATAGCGAAGAGTAGTCAAAGCGGTCAGGAGTCAAAAGCCAGAGAGACAAGCCGAGGGGAAGCGAGTACCTGGGATTAGAGTGGGAGGTGGACAGGTGAAGGCAGGGAAGCCGGGCAGGTGGCAGAGGCAGAGGCAGGAGCAAGGTGATGGGCAGTTTCCAGAAGCAGGTTCCAGAAGGCACAGGGCACTCCAACAGTGCTGAAGACATTCATTGCTGAGGCAGCATCTGGAGGGAAGAGCCAGTTCTTATGTAGCACTTCCCTCAGGGCTCCCAGGTGGTGCTCATAACAGCCCAGGTGGCTGCAGTGGACTGTGGACCTGGTCCTGCAACCACCAAGGCCAGCAGATGGAGCCCTGACAATGCCTCAGAACCTCACAATCACCAGCCAAGCAGCCCCATTCTATACCAACTGTAATTGCTGGACTGTCTTCAAGGGCAGCTCCAGAGCACATTGCAGTAATCTGCTGTGGATGTTAGCGGTGCATCGTGACTGTTTTCAGGCTCTGTCTGTCCAGGTAGGGACGAAGCTGGAATATACTCTGTAGCTAGAGGAAAGCACCCTGGACACTGAGCTCACCTGATGTTCCTGGGACAAACCCGGGTCCAGGAGCATCCCCAGACTGTGGATCCTGTCCCTTAGGGGAAGTGCAACCCCATCAAGGACAGGGAATGCCCCTCCAACCTGTCAAATGACTCCCCCCCCCCACTAGCAGCACCTCCATCTTGTCAGGATTGAGCCTCAGTTTATTGACCCTCATCCAGTCCATTATCAAGCTCAGGCCCCAGTTCAGGATGGCAACAGCCTCACCTAGGTGAGATGCAAAATAGAGGTAGAGCCGAGTATTAGCACCATATTGCTGAGTCCTCAGCCCAAACCTCCAGGTAACCTCTCCCAGCAGCTTCAAATAGATGTTAAAGAGCATGAGGGACAGCACTAGGCCCTGTGGTACCCCATGACACAACCAACATGGCGCAGAGCAACTGTCCCCAAGGATTACATTCGGGACCCAGCCAGCCAGGTAGAAGTGGAACCACCACAAAGCAGTGCCTCCGACCCCAAGCCCGGCCAACCTGTCCAGAAGGACACCACGGTTGATGGTGTTGAAGGCTGCTGAAAGTTCAAGGAGAACCAAAAGGGTTGCACTCCCCCATCCCCCTCCCTGCCCAGGTCATCATACAGGGTGACCAAGGCCATCTCCAATCCAAACCCAGGCCTAAAGCCCGATTGAAATGGATCCAGGTAATCCATATCCTCCAAGAGTGCCTGGCCACCACCTGCTCCAACACCTTGCCCAAAAAGGGGCGATTAACAATGGGCCAGTAGCTATCCAGCAACACTGGATCTAGGCCTGCTCTTTTGAGGAGTGGTCTCACTATTTCCCCCTTTAATGGGCCAGGGACCACTCCCTCTCTGAATGAGGCATTGACAGCCCCTGGACCCAGGGCCGCACCTCTTCATATCACCCAATCAACCAAGGTGGGCAAGGGTCAAGAAGGCAAGTGGTGAATCGGACAGAGCCAGCCATCTTGTCCACATCCTCAGGTCTCAATAACTAAAACTCACCCAATAACGGTACAGGAGACACATCCAAAGATTGCACTGCACAAATGGCCGAGCCAGGCGCCAGGCAGATCCAAGTGATTTTTTCCCACAAAGTGTGAAGCAAATTCATCACACAGAGCTGTTGAGGGCTCTGGAGTCTCATCTGGAGAACCAGATGAGCACTCTTGGATGAAACTGATTATCTGGACCCATTTCAGTCCGGCTTCAGACCCAGGTATAGTACTGAATCTGCCTTGGTCGCCCTGTAAGATGACCTGTGCAGGGAGAGATGGAGGAGTACGTCCCTGTTGGTCCTCCTGGACCTCTCAGTGGCTTTCGATACCATCGACCATGGTATCCTTCTGGATAGGCTAAGGGGGCTGGGAGAAGGAGGCACTGCTTGGCAGTGGTTCTGCTTCTACCTCAACGGCCGATTCCAGAAGGTGGTGCTGGGGGACTTTGCCTCTGCGCCATGGCAACTTTGCCATGAAGTACCGCAGGGGTCCATTTTGTCCCCCTTGCTATTCAACATCTACATGAAACCGCTGGGAGAGGTCATCAGGAAGTTTGGGCTGCAGAATCATCAGTATGCTGATGACACCCAGCTCTACCTCTCTTTTTCAACCGATCCAGGTGAGGCAGTGGCTGTACTGAACCAGTGCCTGGCCGAGTTAATGGGCTGGATGAGGGCCAATAAACTGAAACTCAATCCAGACAAGACGGAGGTCCTGTTGGTGAGTGGTTTTTGCTCCTGGGTAGGTGACTTGGACCTTGCCCTGAATGGGGTTGCTCTCCCTCTAAGGGACAGGGTCCGCAGCTTGGGAGTGCTCCTCGGCCCAGAACTGTCCCTGAAGGCTCAGGTGACTGCAGTGGCGAGGAGCACTTTCCTTCAGCTTTGGTTGATCCATCAGCTGTGTCCCTACCTGGAGGACGATTGCCTAGCAACAGTGACACATGCATTGGTTACTTCCCGGTTGGATTTCTGTAACGTGCTCTACGTGGGGCTGCCCTTGAAGACAATCTGGATACTTCAGATGGTGCAAAATAGAGCAGCCAGGTTGCTGACGGGGACTGGGCATTATTCTCATATAACCCCAGTCCTCTATTAGCTCCATTGGCTTCCCATCGAACTCTGGGCTCAATTCAAGGTGCTGGTTATTACCTATAAAGCCCTTAAGGGTTTGGGACCTGGATACCTAAAGGAACACCTTCGTCTGTATTTGTCCTCCCACCCCCTGAGATTGGCTGGAGAGGCCCTCCTCCGGGAACCCTCCATGAAAGACATTAGGAAGCAAAGTACCCAGAGGAGGGCCTTCTCTGCGGTGGTGCCCCGTCTTTGGAATGTACTCCCCACAGAGGTCCGCCTGGTGCCGTCATTATTTGTTTTTTGGCGCCAAGCTAAGACCTTTTTATTTCAACAATATTTTAATAACTTTTAATATCAGCTTATAGGTTTTAATCTGCAGCCAGGGTGGATCTGGATTTTATGTGTATTATGTTTTGTTTTGTTTTATTTTATGTAAGCCGTCCCGAGGCTATGTGATGGGATGGCATTCAAATACTCTAAATAAATAAATATTTTATCAGAGCAAGCAGAATTAACAGCACTCACCAGAACTGGTAAAAGACAAAACAGTATTTATACAGATTCTGGTCATAGGCAGATGAGTTGAGACAATTATACAAAGAAGATATTTCACCTCAAATGGAGCTCACATTTAGAATTATCTTTATGTAGGTGCATTATTAATTACTAGAATTGTTAGCTGTGTTTAAATGTGTGGCTTAACTGATTAAAGATGTTGTAGAGAAAAAGAACCTGGTGGCCAAGCTGCCAAACCTGCAGTGGTTTCTGCTTCTCAAGATGCCATTGCGCTAGCTGCATTCTTGTTAAAACAACAAATAGCAAGAGGATAAAAACTGAGGTTCAATTAAAAACTTGTTACCCTTTTAAACATTCACTTATCCATTTAATTAAGATTTATAGTCTGCCCTTGACTTTACAGTCTTGGGGAGGGGTGCATAAGCACAAATAAAATAATGTAAAATGACATTAAACCCACTTCTGAATCACTTTGGAACCACTGGCAGAAGTGAACTATGATTTTCTTGGCAGTCTTTCATCACAAATGTAAAAGTGCTGCAGTGAAGATATCTGTCCTAGCTGTTGAACAAAGCCTGCAAAGGAGAAAGATTACGGAGGCAGTGTTTATTGATCCGCTGCTACCCAGATTATTTAAAAGGTGAAAGGAAACAAGCCGTGGCATTGATTCAGGCTGCCTCATTGGCTTGGAATAGAGGGCTGATGGCTCAGCTGTGCGGAGGACTGGCCTGGTACCTTATAGGTCCTGCTTCAGCTCTCAGGGCGGACTCTGTGTGACCGAAACTGGTGTTTTATACTAAAAGTTTCATATTTTAAAATCTGTGGTATTCCAAAAGTGTTTTCAAAAAGTAATTGTAAATCTATATAAAACAAACTAGATGTGCTACTGCTGGTCATTTTGCTGATTTGTTTGGTGTGTATTTATAGAATTATTAAAATCGTCACCAATTGTAAGCAGGAAAAAGAACTTCTAGCACTAAAGGAACTTTCATTTTCCCAATTAAGCAGCAGTTCCTGAATTACTTCCAAGTCCCATACCAGGCTTTCCCTTTCTTACCAACAACACCAACTCTCCCCCCGTTGAACTGAACTCTGTGCAGGACCACATGATTAAAGTGTGATCAGGTGCTTTTTAGCTGCCCATTCTCAAATACGCAATGCTTGTTAACTGTACGGTGGAGAAAGTAAGCAGATGAATTTCTTCCCATTGTATGCCACACCCTGCGCATCCTCCTGCGCAACATTTCGCATGCATCCTAGAAGATAACCTACTGATTCCTGCTTGGTGGATGAGAGCATAGTCTTGCAAAAGGCAACTCAGACCTCCATTCTTCTACAGGTAGTCCTTTGGTTAAGAACAACCTGTACTTACAAATGTGCGGATCGCCCTCAACCCTAAATGAAGTTCTCTCATGAAAAGCTGTGAATATCTCTAGGAAACTATGCAATGCTTTTTATGTCATCAGTGGCTGTGTAATTCCTAAAAATATTCATGGTTTTTGGTAGAGATAGCGGTTTGGTACAGAGAGTCATGGCTCTCTCCAAGAACTATGTGAGGCGTTTGGCAACACGTCATCAGTGACAGGTTAGTTCCCCAGAGATGCAGAGTTTAAGGCTTTTTGTTCTGGATGTCTGCTCAGGAGTGTTTCGGAGCACATCTAGGGCGCATAGGTCCTCTTTGGGTTTTCTTTAGCATTTGTCCCTGTTACCAGGCCCTCAGCTGCTACCAGGCCATTTACGCTGAAAAGAAGAAAATGGTTGTGCAAAAAAACCCTTCAAGAAAGCAACTCCAGTGGTAACCCACCCCCAACCCTTTCTCCAGCAGCACAGTCAAACCTTGCCTCTCCAGCACCAGGTCCAACTCCATCATCACCACCACCACCACTTATAGTTAGGCTTAATGTTACTTCAGGAATGTTCTCAACTGTTTTAAGAACTGTCTCTTTTATTTGCTTTTTATAATACTAAATGCCTATGCACATAAATAGAGGTTCTGTCTCTCTTCAGTACCTATAGTTACTTTATTATTACTGTGTCATTATAATAATTCTGTATTTAAGATGTTTTAGTGAATATGGATGTGTTTCTTAAATGTTTTATATGCATAGAAAGCAAAAATACATGCATCTACTAAGACAAACTTTGGCTTACTCATGTGATCTGACTTACATACAAATTTAACTTAAGGAGTCTCAGGATTGCAACTTGTCTGTAACCTGGGGACTACCTGTATAGCTAATAATGTCAGGATTCCATTCATAGTATGGAGCAAACCAAGTCAGAGGCCAATACTGGGTATTAGTTAAGGCTGAAAATAAACTTGGCCAAACTAGGCCTATAAACCTATGTTCCTGGAATGATAAATTACAGATCATGGTCTTTAAATGTGTTTCACAGACTCTCAATGTGTCTAAAGCTTAGTTCTCATTCTCTTTCACACAAAAAACATGCACACAAAGATACTTGCACGTAGATGGCTAACATGCTATGTGTAGAGATCTTATTGCTGATTTAGAGGAGATTTCTGTCTGTAGTCTGCAATGGTCCAATCCAGAACCAGGCTTACTGTATGGGAGGGGAACAAAGCCCTAGCATCACATTGCACTGGGTATGATTTATTAATGGCCTACTTACTGGTAAAGATCTTTTCAGCTAGCTCTCTCCTTGTACTGCTTCTAGAATATCTCATTTGAGTATGATGTCTGTGAGTATCGACATCCAGAATGACAAGGCAATTTGTGTCCTGTGACTCTCTAAATGTGAAATTTGGCATGGCATAAGAAAGTCAGGACTGCTGACAAGTTCACGATTTCGTTCTGTCCACCCACCATTTTAAAGGGGGGTGGAAATAGGTTCTGAAGATTTTGGCAATGTCTATAAAGACTAACTGTGTATAAAGTGAGTTGCATCCAAGTCTCCAGATGTGTTCCTCATGACCAGAAGTATTCTATGCATACTGTCCTGCCAAGCCTGCCAAACCAATTCCACATGCTATCAAAGCACGTGATACCTAAAAATACCAACACAAATCTAATATGTTACTCCAATCACAGTTCTGCAATGGCTGTTGATGGGTGAATTTGCTTTTCCTTCATGCAAGGCCTTTTATCTGGAGAGAAGAGGTGATATTCCAACCAATGGCCAGCAATGCTGAAATAAGATTACTACTAATTTAATAGTATTTTTTAGTACACAGAGTTCTTCACAGTTCTTAATGAATTCAGCTTGAAAATTATGCTGAAAGTGCAAGTCAGGCTGTTGCAGAGCAGCATTTGAACATCAGTCCCAAATACTGTGTTCATCTGTGCCACACTCCCTCCTTGTAAAGTATGTGAAACAGAGCAGCCCATTGGCTCTAATGTCAGCAGGGCTCCTTATCCACGCCAGCCTTTACTCTGAACAGTGGAAGAGCTATCCAGGGTGCTGAAATCTATCTTCAGATTAGATTCACAACCATGGGTAGTTCATTCAAAGAAAAGCTGAAGTGGATAAGGAGTTCTGCTGACATAAGAGTCACCACCCCACACCAATGTGAAATGTTATTTTTAATAATATTTTGTACAGTAAAAATACACAGCATTATATACCTGGCTAGAACTTGGACACAAACTTGACTTTTTAGAAAATCAATTTTAAAATGCCATCTTTCACCGGAACAAAAACTGGCTACCCTTTTTTTTTTAGGATGAGGAACCTAAAATCCCTTACTGTTGCCTTTTAGACTTTTGGGCTTGTGTTGTACTATTGAGGAAAGCTAGTATGTCGAAGTTTATACATTCCTAAATAGGCAATGCTTTCTGAACTTGGTTTTTGAAAGATGATGCAACAGCTACAGAAATTGCATCATAATGGTTCTCTAATCACTCTTGTCCACAGAGTCTGGAGTAGAAATGTTAAATACAGCAGTGTAACTCCAGAAAACAGGTTCCAAAATAGTTAGAATGTGTTGATAGGATTCAGTATCATTAGAATGACATGGAAGTATATGTATGGTTAGTTGGAGAAAGTGTTAAGTTGCAAAGCAGTTTACTTTCACACATTAGGCAGCAACAAATTATGGTGTGTTGTGGAAAATCAGGAAAAGCTTTCATATTTCCTTCCTGTCTGGTATAATTAGGAAATTCAATAGAAAGGTTATTCCAAGAAAATTAAACTATGACATTCAAAGTCCAGTGCAACACAGCATGGCTTCTTGGTACAAGAATAATTAAATGTGCCTTATTTGCCAGGCTTCCCAGAAGGGGAACAGAAGTGCCAAACCACAAGGAAGTGATTGGCTCATTGGTAGTCTTTGCTCATAAGAAGTACACCCAGAGAAAAGGGCAGGTGTTGCCCTTGGGGTGCCAGGAGGTCTATGCCCATGTTAGATTGACCATGCCATCACCCCCACCAAATCACTAAAGCCATTAATGATAAAAACAGGAGTTTAGTTAGAAAAGGTGACGAGAGAGGTTCTTCTGAAATCATACATTGTTTAAGAACACATAAGATAGGATAGAATTTAAAAATTCATTCTTATATCACTAACATGCCTGTAACACATCATAGAATTCTAAAATGTTTTTATGCCTGTGTTGTTGTAACCATTTATCTTAAGTCTGAATTTCAGTAATACTAAATGTAGCCTTAGGAATGTAGTTTAATGGAACATAATAAACAAATGAAATAAATTGTTTGTCAGACTCCAAAGAGTAAATAAAGACTTTGAACACACAGTAGTGGGGTGGATCAGCTACTCAAAGCTTTGCCTGAAAACCATTAACATAAGCCTGAAGCGAACAATTGTTATTGTCTGCTTAGAGACCTTAGCTAACCTGATGTTCAAGACTTGTGTGAGCTTTGTATTTTCTTCTGATATACTGCTATTTTTATCATAAAGAAATAAAGACTAATCTTGTCTAAGAGAGTGATTTCTAGAAATTAAAAAATTTGTATATCCTATATCCAGAATGTTGAACTCAAATCTTTCTTTAAGATGGCATCAGGTTGTGTCTGATAGTCACGTCCAGGCTTTGGAAGCTATGGAGCTGAACTCTGCTGGGTCACCTGGCAGCCCTGTTGTCTACATACTGCTAATGCATTTTGAGAGAATCTCTGAACCAGGGCAGATGCCACCATACTCAACAAGGAACTACAGGACTGAGCTAGACTATGCTGGGAAAAGAATCGTGAATCTTACCCTATTTGCATGTAAAAGGGTAGGAATGATAGTCTAAAAGAGGTAGATGGCTGAAAGGAATGAAACCTCCCTCACTTACATTCATGTGCTCTGCCATTCCAGGCTGTTTGTTTGTTTGTTTGTTTAGTGCAGATTTTTTCTGGTTTTGGGGCTGACTTGGATGAAAAAGGAGTTAGTGGAATAGACGGAGGATTCAGCTCTGCTTTGCAGGATGCCCATTTTGAAATTACACATACTACTTCATATGTGAAGACTCAACCCTGTGTTCAGGCTTGTTTGTCTGGAATCTAATACTGGAGCTCTGATTAATGATGTTGATGTTTTCCAAACATGCATTTTAGGTGTTCACTTACATCTAAAAATACGATATCTGAAAAGACTACAGTTAATAGCTTTATTGCTTTTACTGTCCATGTATTCACAACAATTCCTTGTGGCATGTTCCTGATTCTGCACCATTTTGCCCTGATTCATCCTTGCCTCTAGTCTAACCCTGCCCTGCCAGGTATTGATCCTGGCCCTGCTACACCTTGCCTGGTATCTGACTCTTGCCCGCTTCTGACTTTGCCTGTTCCTAACTCTGCTTTCATCTGGACCTGCAATATCTGGCTGGTATCAGACCTTGCCTGTCTTTGCTTCTGGTCCGGCAACAACCCTGTGCTGGAGAATCCATGGGCCAAGTAACCACCCTCTGAAGCCATTCATCTATATAGGAGCAGTACCCCTGCAATGTAGTACCACTCTTTCCCAGCTCAGGCAGTTTCTCCAGACAGATACCATGGCCAATGGTATCAAAAACTGCTGAGAAATCCAGCTATATCAACAGGGTCACACTCACCCCACCCCTCTCCTGGCATAGAGCATCATACAGGGCAACCAAAGCTATTTCTGTATACAAGCCCTGACTGAAATGGATCCAGATAATCAATCTCATTGAAGAATGTCTGGAGCTGGTTGGCCACCTCCTGCTGAAGAAATTTACCCAGGAAAGGAACACTTGCCACCGGCTTGAAGTTTTTAGGATCTTCCAGGTCCGGGAAAAGCTTCTGAAGGAGTGGTCTCACCACCATCTCTTTCAGGTTGCATAGGACCACTCCATCTCTCAGCTCTCCCTTCCCTGCTGGTTTTATTAGCCAAGAACCATAGAATCATAGAACAGTAGAGTTGGAAGGGGCCAAGAAGGTCATTGGGTCCAACCCCCTGCTGTTGCAGGACACCACGTTACACCATCCGACTCAGATGGCTGTGGGATGTTTCTTTTTGAATGTCTCTAGTGTGGGAGAGCCCACCACCTCTCTAGGCAGCTGGTTCCACTGCTGTATTGCTCTGACAGTGAGGAAGTTTTTCCTGTTGTCCAGCCTGAATCTGGGTTGTCACAACTTGAATTGATTATTTATTTATTTATTTATATTGAGATTTATATCCTGCCTTTTTCCTTCAAAGGGCTCAAGACAGCTTACATCATCTGTCCTCCTCCAACTTATCCCCACAACAACAACCCTGTGAGGTAGGTTGGGCTGAGAGTCTGTGACTGGCCCAAAGTCACCCAGTTGGCTCCATGGCTGAGCGGAGACTAGAACCCAGATCCTCTGAGTCCCAGTCCCATGCTCTTAACCACTACACCACACTGGCTCTGATTATTCCGTGTCTTACACTCTGGCATCAGCAAGAAGAGATCATGACCTTCCTCTTTGCGACAGCCTTCGAGGTACTTATAGAGGGATATCATGCCCCCCACAGTCTTCTCTTCTCATGGCTGAACGTGCCCAGTTCTCTCAGTCTCTCCCCATAGGGCAGTGTTTGCAAACCCTGGATCATTTTTGCTGTCCTCCTCTGAACCCTTTCTAAATCACCAGCATCTTTCTTAAATCTTAGTGCCCAGATCTGGACACAGTATTCCAGGTGAGGTCTGACTAGTGAGGAGTATAGAGGAACTACTACTTCTCATCACTTGGAAGTAATACTTCTGTTAATGCATCCCAAAACAGCATCTGCCCTTTTGGCAGCTGCATCACTTTGTTTGCTCATGTTTAGCCTATTGTCCACAATTACTCCAAGATCTTTTTCTTTTTCAGTTCTGTTGAGCCACATATTCCCCATCTTGTAATGATACATTTTGTTTCTTTTTCCTAGGTGGAGGACTTGGCAGTTATTGAATCTCATTCTGTTGCTTTCAACCCAGTGTTTAAGTTTATCGAGATCACTCTGGATCTTCATTTTGTCTTCTAGGGTGTTTGCTATTCCGCCCAGTTTTGTATCATCTGTGAATTTGATCATCTTTCCTTGTACTTCCTCATCTAAATCATTAATAAAGATTTTGAAGAGCACTGAGTCCAGGACTGAAGTACCTCCATCCAATTTGAGAAGGTGCCATTGATGAGCACTCTTTGTGTCTGATTAGCAGCCAGTTTTGGATCCACCTATTAGTTTTTTCCATCTATTCCGGTTTTTGCTAATTTGCTTATCAGAATGTCATGTGGCACTATGTCAAAAGTTTTGCTAAATTCTAG